CTTGAAGAGTTTGATTTCATATGATTGATTAAGATTTATTCAATTACAATATGCAAACGTACTTACATTGTTCACTTCTGGAGCAGCGATTAATCCTGTCCAGTGAAGAACTGATTTCGATGCCATCAGACTTGTCGGTTCTACGAAAAAATATGTAACATGTTGAATAATAAAATTTATTCTTTAAAAAAAGAAATTAATTAAATTACAGTGGGCAAACATACTTGCATACTTACGTTCTTGGTTTGCAAAGCAGCCTGCGGTCCATTCCTGGGTAGTGTCGACTTTAATACCGGTAACGAATATTAAAAAAAAAAAAAGAAAAATAAAAGATTATTAACGCGTTCGTTTAAACTTCAATCAGCGAACGAACACTGATTCTACATTCGCGTATGACTATTATGCTTATGTGTAGTAACAACTATTGGGCTCTGAGGACAAAGTTTGATACGTAAAAAAGCACTGACTCTAATGGTGGCATCGCGCACGGCCACGAAAATTCCTGTAAAAACGGTATTAGTGTGGATGACGAATGTCGTGAAAGTTATTCTCCCTGTCGAACAAATGTTAAGAAAATACTGCTGCACTTATGATGTTATAACCATCCATTATTCCTCCTGTTGATTATTCAAGTCAGAAATAAAACATCTATTTGATCTGCACACGAATAAATGTAATGCATTATAATTATTATAAAGAATTTAGAAACGATGTGAATGGAGTACACTAAAACTTGAAATATAATGCGCCATCAACCTGCGCAGTCGGTCTACGCATACCCACCGCGCAGATAGACTGCGCATACGGATTACACAATGATATGACGCAATAATTTCCGATCTTGCGTTTGAAAATTCAACGCAACTGTAATTTCGACTCTTTCGTAAAAATGATAAAAATTATTGTTTAAGACCAAATTATGAAGATGTTATAAAATATTCGAAATCGAAATAATGTAATATATGTATTATTTCGCTTTCTAAGTCAAATATAGGAAGATCTAATGAACATACTTTAAAATCTCAAACATAATAATAATTATATATTATAAAATGATAGATGAAACAAATTACCAATGATGCAGTATACAAAATTACTTACCTACATTTAATAAGTCTGGCTTCGATATAGGAAATTCAATATTACCATATTTTCAGGAAGGCTTGGCAAATTTGAAGGCGAGCGAACATGGCGTCCGTATTTCGTTCTCCAACGCGTTCGTTAACATTTGATACCTTTTACATGATTCTCCCGATCAACCGACATACTGCACACACGAAAATCACAATTTAGTACAAATATATAAAATTATCACTAATTAGATTGAAATGCGAAAATAATCGTATTCAGATTTTGATTCAAAAGCTACCGATAATTCCTTCAGACTAATGCGAAAATTAAATCGAGGAAAAACTTGAAGGACTATATAGTCCTATTGGGAGGATGTTCAAAAGTATATTATATGAATACATATTAATCGAATGAAGCTAATGCTACTTTATAGAGGACAAAAGAATAGAAATGAAAGTTTCACTCAATTATTAAGATACGTACCTGAAATTGAATCACACGTCCATTTGCCGCGACGTTCAAAAGGAGAATGACCCCACCCTATCATTGCGTTGCCTAAACGTCAGCGGATTGGTCGAGAGACTTAGCTCTTCCCGCCATTTCAAAAGCCCGCAATAGCAAGAAAATTTGAACTCCGTAGAGGCCGTCATGTTTGACAAATCAGGTGACTGGGGCGTATATATCGTGAAAACCAGGATAACATACTGAAAAATTTATATTCCGCTATTTAATTGTAACAAATAATATTGTTTGATAAGTATATAATATATATTATACAGTATAAAAATTATATATTACTTATATATTATTATTTATATATATTAATAATTGTATATTACAATTTCCTTCGTACTACTACTTTTATAAACTCTCTTTATTCACATATAACATTGATCCACTGCAATTAAGTTCTAATATTGATAATGATTTCGAATATTTGAAAATTCTAGAAACGAAACAGATTTATTGATATAATATATATGATCATTTTGAACAACGTAGTATTCAAAAACTAAATAAAACAAATTGTAAAAGTTACGCGAATCTTTTCTTTAAATAGTTCAAATTATATGTAAATTATTAAGGTACCTTTGAAATGACTTATTTCAGCCATTTCAAACTAAGAAATGATTTGATACAAAATTCTCGAAACACGAAGATTTAATTTAACAATTTAACTTCTTTCCAGTTTTATGGAAAAGATCCTAAGAAATTATGTAATGATTGCAAATTTTGTATCAAGTGTCAATAATGGCACATGAAAAATATGATGCAAATCTTTTACGTTTATTGTACAATAATACATTAGGCATTACCAGCTTTCAATAAAAAGCTGTAAAGTCGGCCATTTGTCAATACGCCGTTCATTCTTTAAACCTTTTACGCTTTCAGGGCACTCCAGTCATCAGAGATTAATCTGTACAGAAGAAAACAAAGATTTTAATCAAACGATCAAAGCTAAATTCAAATATGTTAATAAAAGGTAATGGGCGATCGTCAAATCCGTTACAAGCAGCCAATGTAACTCTAGTACCGAAATACAGTAATATGTTACAAGAACGATCAAATGGAGAAATCGACAAAAAATCTTACAACATTCTATGATATTTTACAATAATATCAAACATGTAATTATACAATGTTCAACGATTACACTAAAGATTAACAATGTTCGAATAAAATGAAAGTACAAACGCACATTGAGTCTATCTTCGTAACACAATTAATGTTCGCCATTACCAAATTCCGACATATATTTCACGACTTTGGTTACAAACCATCAAGGTATCTGTTGCACGTCCTCCATTATGACCGTTGGTGCGTTCAATACGTTCTACGTAATTCTTGGAATCAACTAATAATCTGCAAAAACAAAAATCATAAATTCTGCATGAATGTGTAGAACTATCAGAAATTATATTAAAATAGGAGAATATTCGTACCCGAATTTCAATTTAAAAGGTAATATTTCTTTCGTAAAAGCTGTTAGTAAAGCCGGCAATCAAATTGTGAAATGGAATCCCGAAAAATTTGTAAATATATTTGGTTTTGCCAACATCGTGTTTAAAAAGATATTACATAAACAAATATTAAACGAATAAAGTTAACAATCGTATATAAATGATAAAAGGACAGGAATGAAAGTTCTCCGCAACAATAAATAAAAATATTACTTGAATTCGATCTCACGTCCAGTTGCCGCGATTTTTATGGGTAGACTGACCCCACCCTATCATGGCGTCGCCTAGCCGTCAGCGGATTGGTCGGGAGACCTAGCTCTTCCCGCCATTTCTAAAGCCCGCGATAACACTAAGATTTGAACTTCGTAGAGGTTCTCATGGAAGAGGCATTAACACGAATCACGTGTCTGTGGAATATATAACATGAAAACCTCTTTCCTTCGTACAACTATTTTTATTAATTATTGTTATTCACATATAATATTTATTGGCTGTAATTAATTATTGCTATTCAGAATGAAAATACTAATTAAAAATTAAGATTAATGATACAATTTAGATGATCATTTTGCACCACGTCGAATTATCAAATCAAATTCGTCAGATCATGAAAATTGCTTCAATTTTTTAGTTAATTACAGAAAAGTCAAATGAATTTATGCCAAGTTATAGTTCTATTACTAAAAAGACCATGATATTTATTTGTTTCTACCATTAAGAAAGAAAATACTGTGATACGAGTATTCTCAGAATAAAAGAATTGTTTTCAATAATTACCAGTTTTCGATGAACAGCAGTTACGATTTGTTACAATAGCAGCTATATCGTGTGAACCTGTAGCTGTCAAATGTATTCCCTTCATCAACTATTATTCTGCACAGAAGAAATCAAAATCAAATGTACAAAAATATAATCAATCATATTAAAAGGAAACAATGCTTCATGTCAAATTTTGTTTCAAACGACTAATATGATTCTAATAAGGAAATAAATTAATATTTTTTAAGAAGAATCGAACAATCTAAAAAATTATCTGATTTTGTCACAATGAGATTGCAAACGTTAATAATCGAACGAAACTATTACTAGTGTATGAAAACTGAAACAATAAAAATAAAAGCACTACACAACAAGAAAACATGATAATATACTTACGTGATATTACGTGATACGTCCTAACGATGCGACTTTCAATAGCAGATTGAAATTTACAATATTATTCGTTTAACTGTCAGCGGATTGGTCGAAAAAGCTAGCTGCCCCCTCTACTCTTAAAACCCGTGATAAGTCGAAGATTTGAACTTCATAACAGGATGAAACATAATTTTAAATTAATTATTATCAAATTTTTTTATAGTAAGAATAAAAGATATTAGAAATCATAACTTGTTTCGAATTTAATTTTTTTTCCATTTTACTTTGAATTTATATTTTTTTACTAGAAATTCCGTAAAAAATTTGTTTCTAAAATTAAAAATGCTAAAGACAAGAATAAATTGTAATCTTGCAAGATAATTCTTTTATATTAATTACATTTAAAATTAAAAAAATTTTTCTCGATAAAGGAAATACCATAAATAATAATATAATTGATGTATACAAACAAGTTTAGTCAAACATTGATCATAAATATCATTATAGGCTAGAGAAATAAATACCAACTATTATTTAATTGTAATATAACAAATGGTTTTCAATGTAATTAGTGTTTTAAATTCTTAAAAATCTATCATTCTGTAAAAAATTCATATTTGTCAAAAATTATTAATTCGTTTTGATTTTTGTATGTTCTTATTAGTAGTACCTTCTATAATATTTGATACTTTAAGAAGTTCATTTTCTGTCGGAGCTTGCGCACGATTTCCCTTAGCATGGATTCTTCAAGTGGTGAGCATCCGCATATCCCCTTATTATTTTGTCAATTGCAATATCTTTAGGGAAAAATATAGATATAATTCTTCTATATTATTAAATAGTATTTAATAAATAACAGTTAAGCAATTAATACTTGATAAAATGTCTCAAGCTTATATTCACGCGTGCGAAAGAGCAGAATTATTAGGATTGCCAATACCAAGTGAAGAAGAATGGAAAGAAACACAAAAAATAGAAGCTCAAGAGCATACTAATAATGATGACAAAGATGCAGTGATCCAAGTAATTATATTTTTGTTTCATTAAATAAACATGAAATTAATATTTTAAGCTTTTTTATTTGCTGCAAATATAATAATAATTAATTTTTTTTTTTAATTATGACTTTTATAATTCTAAATATTTGATTGTGATTAATTAAATAAAAGTACTTTTTAAATGTGATTAATAATTTCACATCATCAAATAATTTTGTGTTTAATATAATTTGTAGAATTTGGATTCTTCAGACGAAGCTACACAACGAATTGGTGGTGGATTAGATGAATTAAATAGTATTCTCAATGCAACACAAAAAAAGATCAACAGATTCAAGGTTAATCGATTACACTTTTTTTAAATATTATTGTTTTATGACCATTTTGATCACTTCATTTTAATAAAAGCAATTTTAACCATTTTATTTAAACAGTCATTATTAAGCTTTGAAGTATTATTTTATAAAATAACAGTATTTTACAGACTGTTTGTGGCAGTTTGGGTACTTTACTGAAAGTAAAAGTGGGATTTCAAAAAAATACACCAGATCATAAATTCACTGAACAAAACCACAATGAAGCAAAAGATGTTATTCCTGAAACATCCATAATTGATGAAAACTTGACAGTAGAATTATCTAATGGCAAAAAATACATTGAGAATACAGAAAATAACTCAGTGATGTCAAAAACAATTGATATCAATGAAAAGATGGGATCTCATTTAGATAAATTAGATTCCCTTATCAATAAAGCAGAAAATGCTCAGTATAGTATGCAGTATCAAACAAAACAAATGAAAAAAATTTTAAAGTAATTACATGCAAATGTAGTATTTCATTTTAATACTATCAGGCCTCTTACAAATAAAACTCTACTTATTGTTCATGATAAACGCTTAAAAGATCATACAAATTAAAATTTGTATTGTATTAGATATGCAAAAAACATAGATAATAGCTCAACTAGTATACAAAGATGACTAAATTACTAAAATACTTATGAAATACATATGATATACAAATGTATAATGGAAATTTTACATTTTAAGAAAACAAACATTCATTTTATTTCATTGCTTACTGCATTATAATTGCATATCAATGTGTTATGTATATAATATACAAATTTCCATACAGAAGCATGGTTACTTTTCTAAAATCTTAAGACAAACTCAATAAAAAAAAGGAAAAATGAAATCATATTGGGTAAAAACTGTTCTTCCTCATATTTTTATTATATTACATACATGTGATATATCAAAATGCTATCATAATACTACTGATATTAAAATTTTCCATTACAATCGCATATATTTATCAATATTTAAAATTAATTATAAGTTTGAAATGATTCTTTCTATGAAAGAACTATAAAACTAATCAGTGTAAGTATTAACTATCGAAGAAGTAGTATATATTTATTTTTTTCTTAATATCATATAAACATATATAAAATAAATTGTACTGCAAATATTCCAGATTATAAAACTAATATTATATCATGTTTACTTAACTAATTCTAAATTGTAAATATATATTTATATCTTAAAATTTTGTTATAGTTCTCATAATTTTTAAAAATTTTTTTCTCAAATTTCAATTTCTTATAAATTGAAACCATATAATCTTAATAAGCACTATGAGATTTTTTCCTAATGTTGTATTTTAATTTATTGAAATTTATAGCATATTTATCTTAAAATATCTATATTTTTTATCAAGATTATTTGCAAATAGTTCAAATTTTCCAATATGAGCATTTGTAATTAAAATAATTATATATATTATTGTAATTTAATTATATTATATCAAGATGAACATATTCCTAATAATTATGAACCTTAAATATTGTATCATATTACTGTTAATCATCTGTTTAAGAGTACATATTAATTTTGTTAGTTGAATATATTTTAGATAATTTTATGTAACAAGAAGTATTCTTCCTAATATTAAAAATATATTAAAGAATTAATAGATAAATTAATTGTAAAATCTAATTGTTATAAATAATTTATTAATGTTATAAAAATCATAACAATCAGTATAGTACCTGAAATCAGGTATTAGACAATATTAATAGACCATAGACATAATATCACTTGTTAAAAACAGTTGATTTTTTTTTATAGCTATTATAAAAGCAAAGTTTTTATTGTTATACTTATTTAAGAAATAAATAAATTTTCCAGATATAGTTAATATGTAATGATGTTTAACTGTATTAAAAAAAAATTATATTTTTACATCGAAATTTAACATGGATTACTTAATAGAGATTCACGAAGTAATAAAAATTAAATGTGAGAGAAAGATATGTTATATAATGAAAATTTATAAAAGTGTTTTATACTGTCATTTTTTGTAACTTTTATTTAAAATTTATTTGTATTGATACTGAATAAATTAAATAATATAATAATGTAATAAATAACTAGTTTTATTCTTCTAAATAAACTACTTAAATAAATGAATATGTAAAAAAATTTATTATTTATAGTTCTTATATATTCCATATTAGATACTGCTAAATCATTAAAGAATGTTTCTGAACATAAATATTGTATTAGAAAATTTCTATTTACAAAATAAATGCAATATTTACAATTCGAAAAATATGTGATTGCAAAAAACTTTAGTCTCATTTTTATGTCAGTAAAACTGCCTTAGAGAGAAGTTCCGTTAATATCAACATTCTACAGGTAATAGGCATTAATTTGTATCAAACTACGGTGAAATAATAACAAAAATAACAAAAAAATTTACAAAAGTAACAACTCCGAAAGTACAAAATTTATCCAATTAATCGAAATTTTGAAAATCAATTGATATCGTCATATCAAATATGTTAACGAGTTTAAAAAGCACATTACCTCTGACGTTAACTCAAATCTAACGACTATTCGAACTGGGAGATCATAACAAAACTTAATGTAAAATAATATATCTAATCATATGTTTATTACTTATAATTCTAAAGTTTATACAAATAATTACTGATTTTGCAAATAATAAATAAATATAAGTAAATATTGTATGTACTACATATTTCCACGTAATCAAAGCGGCATATTAAGATCTATCTTAAAAATTTAATTATTAAATATGTCATATACTCCAGACTCCATAAAAAATAAATTAATTGAAGGATTACACGCTTCATATGTGGTATGTATTTTATGTTTCATATTATTGCATACATGTCCTTTTCTTTCTGCAGTTTTCATTCTAACCTCAAATTTTTCATAATAAACCTAGGCAACTAGATGTTATTTCTGAAATATACTCATTAATCAAGGGTTTGCTTGATATATAAGTTATTGAAGCTGCCAATATATATGATCAAAAATGCAAGAAAATACACAGATTGTGTTAATTTCACTGTTTGCCCTTCTTTTGAGATGGTGTATTACATATCATGCTTACAGTGGTCAAGGAAAACCTCCAATGTTTGGAGATTATGAAGCACAACGACATTGGCAAGAAATAACATTAAATATACCAATTGAAAAATGGTACATAAATACAACAGATAATGATTTACAATACTGGGGATTAGATTATCCACCATTAACAGCTTATCATAGTTATGTATTGGGTTATATTGCCTACAAAATTAATCCTTCTTATGTAAAATTACATGAATCTAGGGGATACTCATCTGAAGATCATAAATATTTCATGAGACTCAGTGTTCTTTGCATAGACATTTTGATTTATATACCATCAATAATTTATTTTATATTAACAAATGAAATAGCAGAAAATTTTGAAAAAGAAAATGTATCCATATTTAGTATAAAAAAAAGACATATTAATCTTTTAATAATATTAATCTATCCAGGTTTAATATTAGTAGACCATGGACATTTCCAATATAATTCTTTATCATTAGGGCTATTTGTTATTGCTGTTACAGCTATGCTTCAAAATTCATTTATCATTGGCTCAATATTATTTATTGCAGCTTTAAATTATAAACAAATGGAACTTTATCATGCATTACCAATTTTTTGTTATATACTTGGAAAATATTCACTTTTGAAAAAACAATGTTGGTCATTTAATATAATCATGCTTTTATGCATATCAATTACAGTAATTTTTACATTTTTTATTATATGGTTACCTTTTATAAAAAATTGGGAAACATTTATAAACGTTATTTCTCGCTTATTTCCAATTTCTAGAGGAGTATTTGAAGATAAAGTTGCTAACATTTGGTGTACAGTCAATATAGTTTATAAATTACATAATTCTATTACAAACAAAGGATTAGCCAAAATTTGTTTAGTAGTAACTACATTTGCAGTTTTACCAAGTTGTATAAATCTTTACCTAAATCCACAAAAGGAAAGATTTGTTATTTCTCTTATTAATTGTGCATTATCATTTTTCCTATTTTCATTTCAAGTACATGAAAAATCAATTTTACTTGTTGCAATTCCAGTTTTATTATATTTTCAAAACAATTCATTTCCTTGTTTTTGGTTCTTAATAATTTCACATTTTAGCATGCTACCTTTGTTTATAAAAGATGATTTGTACATGGTATACTGTACTACATTAATATTTTACTTCTCCTTTGTTTTGTGGGCATGTCCTGATGTGTTTGATAGTAATGAAGTATTGAATAATATAAATTTAAAGAAGAATGCACATGTTACAGTAAATCAAAAACAAATTAAGGCAAAGCTAAAAAACATTAGAAATAAGTCAGTTTTTATAAAATTAAAAAAGGATATATTATATTACAAAAATAATTTTGTTTCATTAAATTATAATCTATCTATTTGGACAAAAATTCTATTTTATTCCTCAATGTTAGGAGTAATAATACTTTCTCTTATTAGTGGTTTTCTAGAACCTCCAAGTAGGTATCCAGATCTTTTTGCATTATTAGTTTCCGTATATTCTTGTGGACACTTTCTTGTTTTCTATTTATATTTCAATTACAAACAATTTGTACATGAAATAAACATAAATTTAAAATAAATTAGAAATTTTATGCTAATTTACGTTACATTATTACCATATTTCTTAATGTCGAAAATTGCAATAAATTATTAAAAATTAATTTTTTCTCTACATTATTATTTCCTTTTCTTTTTACTATAATTAAACAATTTAAACATTAGATAATTGCATTCTTTTATGAGTTATCTTTACAGATAAATATTAGATAAATGCATTTTTTTGTAAATTATGTAATACTTTACGTGAATTTGAACCTTACTTTACTATTGAATGTTACTTTACTAAATTAGCATAACAACAATATTGCGCATATAGGTTTAGACCTTTAGTCGGCGTATTTGTAAATGCTGATTTTCGTAGCAACATACATAAATACTTAAGATTGTGCGATAAAAAAAAATCGATCTATTTTGGGATCATTTTGTCTGTGAATAAAAGTTCATTTTTTCAAAAATGTATTCAATTTATTTATTAATACGTATAAGAAATATTTTTGAAGTATATAATTTTATATTCTAAACGTTGCTTATGTTGAGAGAAATATCTATATCTCTTAACATAAATTTTATAACAAGATCAAGAAGTTTAAAAATATTAAAAATTTGTTGTTACTTTTTAAATATTTTATTGTATCTGATACATAACTTTCATATTATAAATGTTACAGGAAGTTACTGATGAATCTGATGGTTGTGGTGCTAAATTTTCTGTAACCATTGTTTCCAGTATATTTGAAGGCAAATCTTTACTTCAACGACACAGGTACTATATTCCTAAAGTACTAAAAAATACAAATATATCATCTTTGAAACAACAAATTTATTGTTTAATGTACTAATATTCCAGATTGGTAAATTCGATATTAGAAAAAGAACTTAAAACAATTCATGCATTTTCACAAAAGACATTAACACCAACAGAGTGGAAAAAGTAGGAAATGATAAAAAGGTAAATTACCTTAATAATCAATATAATTATTCAAGTTTATTATGTTATATTTAAATTTAATCATTTTCTTTTCATCAACAGTCCTATAAATAAAATACAAGAAATTTAAAATGATTCAATTCAAAGTATCTGCTCCAGGAAAAGTTATTCTTTTTGGAGAACATGCTGTAGTACATGGAAAAACAGCTATTGCAGCTAGTATAGATTTACGTACAGTTTTAAATTTTACCGAGCTACCTGAAGAAGAAGAAATCATTAAAATATGTTTTCCTAAAGTAAATTTATTTATGAGTATATCTTTGCAACAAATACAAAATTTCTTTTTTACCAACAAAAACACTGAACATATAGAAAATTATGATATATTCTATAGTAAAGTAAAGGAATTTGTTTGTATTATTAATTATACAAATTTACAACAGAAATTAAGCTTAGAAGCATTCTTTTATCTTTTTATTTTTATTACACAAGTAGAAAAAATTAAAGTGAAGCCATTCGAAATTCAATTAAATACAGAACTAACACTTAATTCTGGCCTTGGCAGTTCTGGTTCCTTTGCAGTTTGCCTTGCTGCGTGTTTTTTACATTGGTCATGTCTACAAAAAAATATTTATAAAATATTTGATTATTCTACTTTAGATGTTATTTCAAAATATGCTCTAAGTTGTGAAAGAATTATGCATGGTAATCCATCTGGAATAGACAATTTTGTTTCTACATATGGATCAATAATAGAATTTAAAAAAGGTGATTATGCAAAACCAATAAATAATGTACACACAATGAAAATTTTATTAGTAGATACAAGAGTAAATAGAAGCACAAAAGCTTTAGTAGAAAAGTTATTAGAATTAAAAAGCAAATATCCAGTTATTATTGACTTGATTATGGATTCAATTGATAATATATCGAAAGAAGCAATTGAAATTATTAAAAAGCTAAAACCTCTCTCAAATACTGATGATGAAGCTTTTTCAGAAGAGTATAGACAATTAATGGTAAGTATTTTATTAAATAATCATGTAATGATAAGTATTTTATTGTTGACCAAATAAGTTAGATTCAAATAGGATATCAAAAAAAGTTCCTAATAGTAGCTGACAAAATTTTTGCCTAACATTGATTAATAATATCTCCTTTAAAAAATAAAATTTATTATACTTTTTTTATTGTGAAACAGAATTTCTCATAATAAAATTGAAAAAATAGTTTATTATTTGGAAGAATTACATTTATGTATATTCAAATGGCGATTGTCTATATTAAAATGTTATTAGTTACAAAAAATGATTATGACTTTTAATACTCATAAATGAATTCAATCTTCTTACTGTTTATAATGTATTATTACAGATACTTATTAACATGAATCAAGGATTGCTAGCCACATGTCAAGTTTCTCATCCATCTTTAGATAGAATTTGTGCAGAAGCACAAAATTATGCTCTAGCAGCAAAGCTTACAGGTGCTGGTGGTGGTGGACATGCTTATATTCTCTTATTGCCAAATACACAACCGGAAACTATTTCCAGCATTTCACGAAAATTAATTGCAGATGGATTTATTATTAAATTAACAACTTTAGGAGGTCCTGGAGTACAAATAATTTAATAATTGTATCATGTATATCATATATATTGATACAAATGAATTTATTTTTGCTTTAAATATGTTTCAGTCTAATGTAAAGTTTATTTATAATTGTAGAAAATAATAGCATGATCTTCCAAAAAATATTTGTATAATTTTTATACAGATGTAAATTGCAAGTTTAATACTAATATAAATTAATAATCATTTAATTAATCTTGTTCTTATTTTAACTGTTCTGAGATTTTTTTTTCATTAATCATGAAAGCATAATTAACTTATTTTTATCTTAGTGTAAGTGGCTATAAAATGAGTGATTTATAAGAAAAATCAAGTAACTTAAAAGTATGTAGTAGATTCCCTTAACAGATGAAGAATAAGTTGCATAATGCTCGAATCTGTGTTATATAAATACGACTTTGGATATGATTATATCGATATTATCGATATTACGTTATATCACCGCATAATGTTTTAATAAATGATTTTACTATATTGTTTCCACTGACTATTTGTTATAATATTGTGACTAGAATTTTACTTTTATTTGCAAAAAAAACAGAAAACCATCAATTTTATTACTAATAAAGCTTTATTTTGGGAGATGTATGATGTTATAGCTTATTTATGTCGTAATATTTTTATAAAATTATAAATTATTTGTATCTATACATCACAACATAATTTGAAATAAAAAATTTGATCTTTTTATATGATTTTTCCACCATCTTTCATGTATCATTACTTGTTAAAATTTCAAATTACAACTTTTTTCTGTAATTATTTACAATGACTATTTTCAAGAATCTTGAAATATATTATCAGTTTTTCTATACATATAACCATCGCATAATATTATTTAAACACTTCTCGTTAGTAACTTTCTAATAAACAATGAATAACTGAATTAGAAGAATAATCTCAGATATATAGAGCTAAGCCCTTTAAACTGTATAATTATCTATAATATGCATTATTAAAAGTATTTTTATGAATATTTCAGAAATAAAGCTATGCGATTATATATATAAAAAAAAATTGTTCAAAATTGTTGTTCTTGACTACATAGTTCAAAGTCATTGAAATCAGTGAGGTGTATCTCTTTGTAAATAATTACTCTTTACCGTTAACATATTGTAAATAGATGTATTATGAAAATTATTAAACACAAGTTTGATTTATTATTACAATTATACAACATTTGATGTGTTATGATGAGTTGGTCGCACATTGTCTGTTAATCCAATATGATCTGACTCAGAAATTGTATCTTCTCTACAATTTTCTTCTAAATTATGAGTAACATTTGATAAAAATTGTCTTTCTACTCGTTTTGCTTCTGCAATCCATTCAGTAATTTCATTAGTATACATTTTTCTTTGTAAAACTTCTCTTGTTCGCGGTCGTGATCCAATAAAAACAGTAGTTCCCTATAATATTTTTTATATAGTCAGGGGAAAATGAAAAATATAGTTTGAACTTTCAAACTTACACCAACTATTAGCGAAGGTCGCAATTTTTCCAAAAGTTGAAAATCTTCTACTATATATTGCAACTCATCCCATTTTAGTTCTACTTCTTCATGTAACATTTTTTCTTCTGTAATAAAATATACACAAATGTTACTAAAAGATTCAATTAAAGTACGATAATAATCTCAAAAAACATCTTTATTTCGGTAATAACTAAAAAAAATTATATATTTTTTGCATTATTTATAGTAAATGATTTTGATCAACAAGTTAATAGTATAATTACCATCACGTTTAGATGTCGATTTTTTATAATGAATTCTAAATCGAAATGCTTCCAAAAAACTGGACACCACAATGGTTAAAACAATCATTGTCACCAAATAAAATATCATAAAATATATTCGTGTATACATTCCAACAGTAAATGCATATGCGTTCATTAGAATGAACCAATTATTAACAACCGTTAACTCAAAAAGAGTCATACCACTAGCTATGAGATTATCAAAAGTATTAAGATAATAATATCCTAGTGCGGTACTTTCATTGGCAGAATATTTGTAAAAATCTTCAACTGTCGTATTCCTAATAAATAGGTTTATTATGTAACATTTAATTTTTAAATGTAATTTATAAAATATTACTTTCTTATATACCTACTTGCAACAATTTCGCATATTATATCCCGCAAATAATTCCATTCCAATAATAGCAAAGAAATAGTATAAAACAAGCATTACTACTGCAGTAGAAGACATCAAAGGAGTTAAAATTACAAGCGTGCCGAAAACGTCTCGATATCTCTTTTTCATTTTAAACAGTCTCAATAGTCGAAGTGGTCTGAATAGAACAAAGAATGTTGCTGTAGGAAAGATGCATAAAATACAAGCAGCAACAAGTGTCATTATAGATGTGCCTAAATCAAATAAATTCCATCCAGAACTGAGGTATCTTCTTGTACCAAGTCCCAATACTTTTATTAATGCTTCAGCAACAAATACTATCAAGAAAAAGATATTAAAATAATTATAATTATTATAATTGTAATATATGACTTTTCTATAAATATTATTTTATACGTGTTTTATAAATATATTTTTTTACTTACTTCCCCCAAAGAGAAAAGTATCCCAAGATGCAGCAAATAAAAGTGTACTATGAAGATTATTACCTGGCTCTAATATCCTTATTATCATCGCAATACCATTTGCAATAATTGTTATATCTAAATATTTAATAATTTTTAAGAAGTATAGTAAATTGTAAATTGATATCATTTAAACTTCTTTTTTTTAAACTTACACATTAAAGTTTCAAAATATGGCCATCTAATAGCAGCATGTGCTCCTGTGCAGAGAATCTGCAAAGGTTGCGATGTACTGTGATACCAAGGCACAGTAGAGTATTGTACTTCCCACTGAAGAATAATAGTGTCATAAATATTTAAAAACTCTTCAACATTTAGAACTCCACTTCCAGAAGCATTTAAATGTTGAAACATTAAAACAGTATCTCGTATGCCTATAAATTATTTGTTTATATAATTATATAGCAAACATAATTTATTTTGGTTTTTACTCTTATTTCTTGCAAAATTCTAGTATATTTTTATAGCAATTTTACATACTTTTATTTGGAGTGTAGTATCGTATTAATCCTTCAAATTGTCGAAAACGCATTTTATCTGGATTTTGTTTCGAAACTAGTAGTTTAAAAGCATGTTGGCATGCTTTTCTTTTATGTAAAAACAACTTTTTAAATTTATCACGTTCAGCTGCTGTAAATGTTTCATTAACTACCGCCAACATTAAATTCATCATTACGTACAACATCGTAGACAAGTAAGATACAAAATATATTGCATACCATTTATTTTTTGAATATGATGGCATCATCACGTCTGGAAAACTAAATATTAAAATTGTCATTACAAACTAATTATAATTAAAAATATCATAATTCAAAAATGTCATCATACTAATAAAGATAAAAATTTAACTATGATAATACTTACTTAGCAGTAGTAAGAAGGACAAATAGACTCACAAAACTATCTTGCAATGTAGAAAAATTTCGATTCATTTCAGAAAACATATAGTAGCCCAATACTGTGTAAAGTGTAATGAAAAATAAAAGCAAACCTAACATATCTAAAATTGGAGGCAATGTTAATAATATTTGTCTGATAAATCTTCGAACACCTCCAAAACATTTAGTATCTACTAAAAAAATAGGCCGTAGAGCACGTGTTACACGAAAATGCGATGACTGTCGTACTAATACTGTCATTGCTTCCAAAAACATGATGACCAATGTGATACACTGTAAAAAGATTACAATTTGTTTTATTATATAGAATGATACATAAAAGATTAAAGTTAAATAAATTTTTCACTTTTTTAAAAGTCAAATCTGAAAATATTTTAGTTACTATAATAATGTCTATTTTTTATATTATTTTATTTTCATAATTTATATTCATTTTAATATTTATCATAACTGAAATTTCTGTTAGTTTTCACTGTTGAAAAAAAAGTGAAAAATTTTTTATAATTATCATTGTATATAATGACATCAATAATTTTATAAATAATAAAATGTTTATATATATTAATACACTTTTTAAAAAAAATTATATGAAAATGTCTAAAGTCTTCTCTAGCACACATTTGTAAAAATTTTGTTTTGAAATGTACTACATTTATTACTTTATAATTATTATTACTTTATCATGTTTAATGAATTTAACTTTTTTACATAAATATATCAGTAATATTTAATACTATTATGTAATAGACATGAAAATAAATAAATTTAATGTTAATAATAATAAGTCAGTAAGAATAACATTATTGATGTAATATATAGATATTAATTAATACTAAATGAGTTTCATTCTTCTAATAAAATATTAGTGATAAAGGTATTAGTATACATAATATATTATAAATGGACAATTAACACAATTATCACTGTTTCGTTTTATTAAAAATGTAATCTAAAATAGTCTGCAGTTGCAGTGTTGCTTATCTTCTCATTAGTACCCTTATGCTTTTTGTATCAGTATTGTGGAAGACAACCATTGTATTGTATATTGCACTTAGGCATATTGACATAGCAGTGGAAGAAAACTGTACTTCAATCTCATAATGATATTTAATTTACTAACAATTATTAAAATATAAATATAAGTAACTATATTCAAACATGAGCAACATATATGTAAAAAATCTTCAATAAATTATTAAATCTAATTTTAAAAAGTTGTTTTTACCTTTAACATTGTTCGTTTGTGTTTTAACATAGTTGACCAGCCAATCCATCTCAATTTCAAAGCTAATTCTATGCCTATAATTATTAAAGCAAAAAGTTCTATAGATCCATGTGCCCATACTGGAATCTAAAAATAGGATAAATAAATAACTGTGGAATAAAAAGAAAGTATTTTTTTATCCATGACTTACACCAAACAATGGGACAGCTGGTTCTTCCACAAGAGCCAAAGCCAAAAGTATAAGAGATGTTAATAAGTCTAACCCATAATACCAATTATTATGAACTAAGAGATATGCTGGTAAATCTTCTGGATGTTTTGGATGAGAGTCAAATTTTTCATTATTTCTGCCTTCCTATGGAAATAAATTTTTGAAAGTTGTACTTGTATTTACATAAGTATAAATATATAAATACCTCTAAAAATATTGCAGCCTCGTGATAATTCATTTCCCAATGTAAATCATGATCTGTGAGTGAATCATGCGATGGAAGTACTATATTTTCAGACATGTTTTCTCTATGCACATCATCTGTTTCAAATTTATGGATAAACTGATCAGTTGTTCTTATATTTTCAGTAGGGGAATTTATATGATTTTCTGCAGAAGAACATGATAGCATAGATCCATATTCTATAATGAAAATAAAAAATATAAAAAATAAATACTATTTCAATAATGCAAAAATTATTAATACTTTAAAAGGATAAAATAAATGATACAAAATAAATAAATAATTTACTATGATAAAAATAATTAAACATTACATATAGTAAAAAGTTCAATAAGTATATTATTAAACTTAATTATACAATTATAAATAATAATGAAAAAGGTTAAAAAATGTACAGTAATTACTAATGAAATTAATTTACATATTAAATATATATAAAATAGAAGTCAACGTGTGATTTGATAAATATTACAAAATAAAAGTGTTGAAAGAAAAATGACAACAGTAATATAGTGCTTAAAATGCAGAACTTTTGTTGTGAGGTTTGCATAAAAGATGAAATGAATTAAAATGGTAAAATTAAAATAGATTCAACTCACTTTGACATGATCGATGCGAAATGTTTTGTTCGAGTGATATATTTACATCATCATTAAAACGTTGATAATTGCCAGAATATTCAGTGGTTTTAGGAGAAGACATTTGAGATTGTGTCACATGTCACATCCATACAGCAGACAGCAGTACATTTGCGTGTGAAATAATGAACACGTATTTGCACTACTTTGTCTAATCCTACACAATAATATCACTAGTCAGAAGCTGAGCACTGACTGGATTAGACTGAAAACTATATATGGAGATATATGCATATTTTTGTTCAAAGAATATTTTACATATTACAATATCATAACACACTGTTATTCGATCTTGTATTTGACGTTCCAGTTCGTGACGCGCATGCGCATTCGTGAAAAAGCAAACAAGTGAACACTATTATTTATTCTGATAAAACTTAATTACTTATGTAATGAAAAGGTTCTACTTTTTATTTTTTATGTATTTATACATATATATACATATATAATTACATAAAAGTTATAGAAACTATAAATTTGCACTTTATCTTTCAAATGATACTTAACTGAATATTGCAAATTAATATTCAAAACATTGTTTTAGGAAAATTAAATGTAACAAATAAAATGTTCAAAATAAAATAAAAAATTGTATAATGTTAGAACTTAAAGAAAATTATAATAAGTAAACTATTTATTTACTTAAATTAAGTATAAATCGTTTTGAGGAAAAAAAAGTTCTATTTCATGTTTCAGTATTTGTTATATATTTGTATTCAAATCACAAAAGATTAAAATTTTAATCTGTGTGGATATTGACTACTTCTCAACCCAAACATTGCTGATAAGTAGGTGAATAACATTTTTTTCTCTTTGTTTCTTCTTATAGCAGAAAGCACAAATTTATCAATTATTTTTTGATCAGCTTTTCTGTCATTACTTGGTTTGTATTCATCTTTCTTTTTACTGAAGATATCACCTTCTTCTTTCTTTGCACGTTTCTCACGTTTCCTCTTGAAATAATCGTCATTGATGTCATCCGGAACTTTTAAACCAGAAATATTAATACGTGTTGACGTAGCAATCACGTAGTTTTGACTAACTCTACGAAGTGGGCAAGCATTAATCAAGAAAGGACCTATTTCAAAAAACATTCCATTAAAGATTTTATTTTATCCAAATTTTATTAAAAATTATACATAAAAGAACTTACCCGTGATTAAAAGTAAACCACTCTTAAGTTGTTTTAAGAAAACAACTCTCTTTCCTTTATGAGCACCAGCAAGTAAAATACAAATTGTTCCTGGTTTCAAGGAAGGTCTAAGATAGCGGCGATGATCACGGAAACATTTTTTAGCATGATGTACAGTTACTGGATCTGCAGTAGGATAATTAGCACGTCTTTTCTTTAATGATACAATACGTTTTTCTCCATTTTTATCACCACTAATTTTCTTTTCAATGGTGACTGGTTTCTTAGGCTTAACCTATAATTAAATATTGGTATAAATATATATATATATATACATATTATATGAAAATATAAACAGGACTAAATAAAATACAAAAACAATTAAAGATTTTTTAACATACAGTTTTTGGTGTCTTTTTATCAATAAATTTGTAAATAGCCTTTTTGTGAAACATACGGGTACGACTAAATCTGTAAACACCGTTTCCTAAATCATAGTTCCTTGGTCTATTTCGACCTCTTTTTCCACCTTTTTTGTCCGTAGAAACATCTTTTTTCTCCGGAGATTTTGCTTTTGTTTCTTTTGTTTCCTTTGTCTCAGTCATCTAAAAAGCAAGGATAAATTACGTGTAACATAATTATTCGCTAACAGGATGATAATTGAAACTTTATCTTATATTATATATTGATTTTAAATAATAAATTAATATATTGAAACAAAATGTATAAAATTTGTATGACTTAATTTTTATTTATATTATAATAATCTCTTATTAAATCTATTCATCGTGTTTCATGGAGGTTATGAAACGATTTCACACTATCAAATTTAAAATGCAAAAGAAAAATAGATAAAGAATTAGGGAAAAATTAAAAAAAATATTCTCATTATTTTAAAAGTAACAAAAACATATTATCTTTTCTCATAAAATCAACGAAATGTCAAACTGTAACCTCTTCGAGTTTAAATTCTTAAAATTTAGAAACATCATACTATTGAAAAAAAATATAGTATTATTATTAAAGAAGATATTTAAAGTGCCTAAAATTTTGTAAAATATATAGTTTTTCTTTTATTATAAGAAGAGATTACTTCGATAATATTAGATCTGTTGATACCATTCCATCTTACCGTAGACCGTGTGCTTAAAAGAACTTACGTTCTACCTCCATCTATCGGTTGTATTCTAAAATCGATATATGTGTCTTATCGATATTGTTACATATCGATTGTATTCAATATATGTAACGATAATATTGTTTAACAAATTTTAACTTTTTCTTTCTTTTCTGTAATATTTCTTAGGTAATCTTTATAGAACTGCTAGTTTTAAATGTAAATTCTCAAATACAATTGTTCCCCCACCTTTAGTTTCCGAAAAATTCGAAATTCTGTTATTTGGTTTTTAACAAAAATAATGTATCATAAAAGTTAAAAACATGAAGTTCTAATTAATCTTACAAGATAGGTGAGGGATTCCTACAAATGATTATAGATATAATATCGTATAATTTTAAGAAGTTTCCACATACTATGTATATTTGCATTTTTATGAAATATTTCAATAAAATATGGATGAATGATGACTGCTTAGCGATAAAACCCCGTAACACATTTCCGATGAATATTTCCTCCGTCTGTGTATTGAAAACTGCTTCAACTCTGTATAGCAAATTTATGCTACGTAAACAACTTATCGTAGAAATGCATATGTAATATGTAGAAATTTCGTGCATTGTATAATTATCAGAAATTTGCCCTCTATCTTTTTAAAATAAATTAAAACTTTGTAACGTTCTTAGGTCTCCATAATATTTGTTTAATGAAAATTAAAAGTTCTTACAAAAATTCGAATTTTTTAAAAACTAAGAACTTTCTGCTTACGGATTTACATTTACAATAAGAAACTTTACAACTATTACCCAATACATATTGCAAACAAAATTTTGTGTTAAATAGTGTAACCTTCGCTAATTTAAAATGCAAATATAATTCGTATTTATAAATATATTTTTTATTAAAATATTATCATCAAAAATAATAAATATTTATATATATAGATTATTATTATGTTTATAATTTTAATTATATTATTTTGTTTTTAGGAAAACAAGAAAAATTGCTTGTTAGAAAAGATAACAAATTATGTATATTCATTTATATATCTCAAATATATTTACAGTTTACTAATATGTTTTATAAGCTAATATCAAATTTTTTATAAACATATATCAATAAATACTTTATTATAACGTTATAAAAAATACTCGTTAAAATATTAATAATTACTTTATTATAATTGTTTACTATTTGTAAACATTGAAAGCTTTCATTAACATACTATATTAGAATAAAAAAAGAAATTTTATTCTTTACTTTTAATATAAGCTTAACATTACCAAGATATTAAATTTAATAGTTTATGTACTTCATTCCATTATGTATTCATTCATTATGTACTTTTATTCCAATTGCAAGAATGTATTTTTAATTTTTTTACATGAATTCTTAACACAAGTAAGCTTTTAAGCAATATTATTACTTTCACAGACTATTATAAATAAAAGGCAAATAATGTCAACATATTTAATATTTCTGTTATTTAAAAAGTATACTCTGACATTTTTTGTAGTCATAGGCTGCTTGGATGCAATTTTATCATTCAACTTTAAAACAATATGTATAAATGTATTTCTGTGAAAGAATACAAGTTATAACATCATGAATTTTAACAATTATAGCTTGCAAAATGTAGTTTATATATACACACACACACACATATGCATGCCATACACATCACATTATGTACATATGTGACTAAGTAATAATCTTAATTTATTATAAAAATTTAATGGTTTCATAACAAATATATTATACATAAATTTTTGTAATTAAATAGTATATTTTCATGTAGAATTAAACATATATGCACTTAATTATCATGATAGTCTTACATTTATTTTATACAAGTATTGTAAATAGATTCAGCATATATTTTATTCATGACTATAAGTATAAAATATTTAGTTCATCTTTAAGTTACTTTTTAATTCATTTAACAAGATAGAACCTATTACCATCTTTTCACAGTTAACACATATTTCCAGATATTCATTACCTATAATTTTTATTGTCACTAATACCAACGACTTTGATGCTAAAGTATGGGCGGCAAATCTGCAAAAATAAGAGACATCAAATTGCGAGTGAACAAAATTTCAATTTCATCATATTAATGTTTTACTTGATTATTATCTTTCTTTTTCATTTTTCAAATGATTAATTAGTAATTTATTCGTATAATTAATAATTTGAAATTCTGTTACCTGATTTCTTCATCATTGCTAGATACCATTGCAACGTTCGCTGCCTCAAAAATTTGTTGAGAAATAGCTTTCTTATTTCCCGAATATTGTACTTTTGCCACATGTTCATTCATGCCCTTTAATTTGGTTTTTTCAGTTGTAAACATACTTTCTGGCAACAGCACAGCTCTTACTATTTCCCCAATTGGAGCTTTAATAGTAACTGGACACGAATGTGTTTCTTCTCCAATTGTAAAATCAATATTAAAATTCGCCGGTTGTGTAGAATCGTTAAAATTGATTCCCAATGTAGAAGATAAATTTGAATTTATTTCCAATAAAGATATTCGTGTGAAATCATGTATAAGCATTCCTTTTGGTAAATTCTATAAATGTAGAAAATTATCTTACAATACTTGCAAAATATTAAGAAGAAAAGATGATTCAGAATTTATATTATATAAATTTACCTTTACTCCCATTTGAATTTCTTTGACAGGTTCATTACCTTCGTTAGAAAATGTTAATTCAATAGTAACTAAGTAAGCACTTACTAAATGCTGTGATCTAGTAAATCTGTATTCAATTTTTAAACCATGACCTGTAATATTACCTAATAATTTAAATTTCTTTACAGGAATAAACGAAGCTGATACTTCTCTGACATCATTTGAGATATTTAAACTGATAGGTGTTAGCAGACCACCTGTGCTTAATGGCATAACAGGTGTCATTGGAATTACTGGAATTGAATGAAATGATAAATATATATTAAAATATATTAATACAGTATATAATAAGTATACAAATAACAAGTAGTTTATCAAATATTGCTTTTTACATTACATTTGTTACAATATCAAATCTTTTCCTTTTACTAAACTTTTATTTATAATCAAATACAAAAAGTAAATTCACTGACATTATATCCCTCAATAATATTCTATTTTTTTTATAGTAATACGTTTTACCATCATCTAAGTCTAAAAGGAGATCAATGTTGCTTTTTGGTTTTTCTTTTGCTTCTTGGTTTGAAGCCTTGTACTTTTCCTCTTCACTATCCTGAGAATTCTCAGATGATTCATCAGAATCTGATTCTTCACTTTCGGATTCACTATTTGACTCTTCGGATACTTTCACAGATTTTTTTTTCTCACTATCATTTTCAGATTTACCAGATTCTGATATATATTCAGATGTCTCACTCTCTTCATCTGAAGAATCACTTGTTGAAGTGTCTGAAGATTCATTTTCATTATTCAATTCTAAAAATTAACAAGTTAAAATAAATTTTTATTTACAAGTACAATAATTTAAAACATACCATCTGTTTGAATATTTTCTTCGTCACTATAAAAAGGTTTCTCTTTTTCTTTTCCCTTTTTATCTTTTTTATCTTTTCTGTAATATTCATCTTTTGTATCTTCAAGAGTACCACCTGCAACATCCCTTAGGGATGGATCAGGAGCTACATCAGGGAAAGGTGGCAGAGGACGGTAACCAGCACATGGCATATCTAAATAATGTGACAATGTACCTAACTGATATTCAGAATTTTTGAATCTGGATGTTAGAGTTGGTGCAGGTTTTGGTGCTAGAAATATTCTCTTTGCAAGTTGTGGAAGTTTTTTCTTATGACCATCTTCGTCAAAAATGAAACGTCTTAAAAAGCGTGCGCGGTCTCTAATATCGTAGTTTTGATCATATTTCGCAAGTTGGAAGACGTATTGACAAAATGGTTTAGTTTGAATAGGATTATTTAGACATAATTTTACGGCTAGATTTAATATCTGTAACTTTACAATATCTTGTTCATTTACGAAATTTTTGGCCATTTTTCTAAGCACATCTGGTGCTATCTTAGGTACCCTATCTGAATATTCTCCTAAGAGCCACAAAATTGATGCTCTAGCTTGTGGTATAGTTATGAAATCCATTAATTTTGCCATATGAGCAATTATATTTTTATGTTCATTTGGTTGAGTTTGTAACAGTTTCTTTATAACAACAACACTTTCTGCTACAACAGCCTCTAAATAAAAAATTACATTTCAACTTTTTCTAATACATAAGTAATTATATCATAAATAGTTCATTAGTTATATATATTACAGAGAAAAAAGGATCAAGTGTAATAAGCTATACAATATGTATCAAATTGAAAAATAAAGAAAGAAAAATGTTAGTAAAAATAAGTCAAGTATTCAACTATTTTTAAATTACCAATATTTTAATATATTAGTAATGTAAATGATTCTTTGTTTTTTATGTATATGTGTATTTCTTTATGGCCTAAAATCAAAAAGTTACTTTATTAGATTTTTAATTCATTATTTGTAAATAATTTTTTCACTTCCATATACCCCTAACATTTCCTTTATTACATAATTACTCTTTCAACAATTTTAAATTCTTATTGAATTATTTGAGAAACATTCTGGATTCTTTGCTGTAATTCTTTCAAATCATTTGTTGGCAAAAAATACATTATATTCTTTAAATATTCCTTCAAAAATAACACAGTAGATTTAAATTGAAAGATCAAGGGTGTTATATTTTGTTCCTTCCCATATATAAAAATCAGTTAATTGTTTGTTATCAAGGTATAAATCGTGGTTAATTAAAAAATAGTTGAATTATTAACATATGTTTACTAATATTTTTATTCATCTTAATGTCATCAAATTTTAAGCATAACTTCTTTAACATTTTAAATAAACACTCACCATCGCGATTACTCAATAAGGAAACTAACCCATTTAAACATGTATCAGTTACTTCTTTTATATTACTTGCACATCTCCCAATTGCTTGTATACTTGCACCAACAAATTCTTTATCACTACTTGAGATGTAAGTTTGAAATTCTCTTAGTATAACTCCAATACTAGTTTCAGTTGCTAAATTGGTCAAAATATCTAATTTCAGGAGCTTTATATGAGTAGGATCTGATGTTCTCACAAAAAATGACTTGAGAAAAGGTTCAAACATTCCCTGTATAAAAATAATAAAAATGATAGATTATATCAAATATTTTACTACAAAAGAAACAGTTTCTATACTATTCATTTTAATGACTTTTATGTAAATTGACATTTGCTGTGTCTATGAGAAATCATTGTACAATAATTACATTAGTACTTACATTACCTTTCTGGCAATTGATATGCTAGCAATGCAGTGAAGAACTATACTCTGAACTTCTCTGTGTCCTCTTAATAATCTAATTAATGCTTTGGCAGCAATCATTACTTCACTTCGTGGTGCTGTGTGGTGATACAATTGAGATACTGCCATTACCACAGAAGCATTTCTGCTTTGTAAAAGCGGTTTTGTATTTCGTAATAATAATCGATGATCTGGATCTACTGTTAATTTTGGTTTCTTTGTATTAGATGAATCAGAATCAGAATCATAAAATGGTCGATTTTCATCATCTTCTATACTCTATAAAAATAGTTGCCAATAAATATAAATCTTATACATATAAACTATATATAAATTTTTAAGATTACACATACATCCACATTAGGATTAATAAACTGTGTTCTTGCATATCTTGTAAGCATGTTGACTATAACAACTTGACCCCATTCATCAACATCTACTAATAAATTACACAATTTTCTGTAATTTTTATGTATTAAATCTATTCTTTCTGGACAAACTTCTTCAAATGCCATCACTGCAGAACCCACAACAAGAGTTGTTTTATCTGATAATAACTTTTCTAAGACACCTATTAACTCTTCTTTTTGCTCAGAATCTAATGAATAAAGTTTAGGAATAGCATGTGCTGCAGTTTTTCGAACATATGGTGACATGTCACTGGCTGAATCTTTAATAGCAAGCATCACTATAGGCACTATCATAGAAACTCGTATACTTGAAAGTACTCTCAAAGCACTGGCTCTTATTAATTGATTAGGATCTTTCAATGCACGCTGGAATGTAGAAATAGATAAAAGAGCAAGATCTTGTTGATCTTCTGCATAACGAACTAAATAAACATAAACTAATTTCTTCACTTCAATATTCTTTGATACAACATTTTTTACTACAGCTGGAAATAATTCTGATGCATCTCTTCCTTTTGCTATCATCTGGAAAAATGATATATCTATTTAATTTATTTATTTTTGCTCAAATCAAAATTAGTAAACTTAATTAAAGAATTAAGTATAGCAAATTTATATACTCTAACAAAGTATAAAACTAATATTAACTCATTCAAAGCCTAGCTTATTATAAATTCATTTTCAGGAATCAATGTAGTTTGAAGTCTTGATAGTTCTAATTAATATTATATATTATTTAATTTTTTTTTCTTTAATCTTTCAGTTAATACCAATTTCAATTTTTACTTTGTCTTATTATTTCTTGTTTACATAATATTACTATCCTATAGTTGTTTTAATACTAAATGATATCAATCTCATTGTAAAAAGCATGTAGTACATCAACAGTTGTATTAGATAGGTCATAGGATACATATAAGATATATTCTCGAATGGGTTAACCTTCTAAAATATATTATTCTGTATAAGACAGGATAATAAAACACATTTCCTATATAACCTTCATGGAAAAAAAAAATTATGAAGTAAAACTAAATAATGAATATAAAAAATTGGTTACCCCAATTATACGTTTCATAGCTTCTAACTTAAGTCCATCTTTGTTGCTATCTAACATTTGTTTTAAGTCTTCATGCCTAAAAAACATAGTCTTTTAAAGTATGCAATTAGATATTCTTTAATAGCATATTTTATAATGAACAATGTAACATACTCAATAATAATTGACTATATCCTATCAGTAATAATATCAACATTAAAATTTAGGACATAATTGAAAATGTCCATAATACATTAAATTTCAAATACATAATAAAAAGATAAAATAAAAAATTCAAAAAAATTACAATTAATATAGAAAGTGGTATAATGAAAAAATATGTTCAAATTTTCATTCATTCTACAGATCATAACATTCCAAACATATATTCTAAAGATAGTTTAGACCCAAACAATATTTCAAATTCCAAAATTGTAACATAAAACTAATATAACCAAAGAATAATAAAAATATAAATAGTGTAGAAAAATTAGTATATTTAAAAAAATATGTCAAATTTCTAATTTGAAAATATATTTAGTTTTCTGTTCATATTTAAAAAAAGATTTGTGATTATATCAACATATTTTTTTAAAAATATCATTAAAATTTATTGATAAAACATTCACTTTTTATAATCCGAATGAAAAAATCCTCCCGAAGCGGGATCTGTTGCGAGTTCTGGGTCTGCTGTACTTGACGGTCTATCATTGCTGTAAGAACCTCCGTTATTCGACAACGAATTTGCAGCAGCAGTTAACATTTTATTTAATTTTTAATTGAACCAAAATAATTCTTCTTTCTTGCTTTAATTACACAAACTTTAGTCCAACACATATAATTCTTTAAACATTTATTATGAGATTGGTTTAGTAAGCATTAACAGATACCCATGTTGCTTAGATCTGTTTAGATTTGAGCCAGGTCCACTCGGTAAGAATTCTTGTCTTACGTATTGAAATGTATCAACTGAAAACTTTGTAAAATATAATTTAATATGTAACTATTATTCATTTACGAATATTTGTATTTCGTTCATTTTATTTCATTGAAATCAAAATTATAAATTAAAAGTTGTGGCATTTCTAAAAATGTCAGTTGGAAAAGTAGAACTGTAGTAAAGCGATATGTTACAAATAAGTTACTAGAATTAGTATCTTTTATTCATCTAGATTTAAGTGCGGGATATTTAAGTACATAAAAAACAGTTATCGATTATTTAATAAGCATTATAGTTCATTATTTTACTTTTGTTGCTATTGTTATTTTATTAAAAAATAATATGATATATAATATAAGTAAATACAATTAAATATCTGTAAAACGTTTATAAAAAAGCATTAAAATACATAATCACACAAAATGCTTATTATGTACGTTTCGTAATAAAGTACTTTAATTAAATAATTTTACAATGTTTTTTTATTACTTATATGCACTCAGTTATGAAATTACTCCATTCTTATTAAATTAGCAATATTTAATTTTATTTTTATAAACTCTATACTTATTTTCTATAATTAGTAACTAACAAATTTTAATTCGAGTGCAGATTTCTTATAAAATAATTTTCTTATAAATTAGATTATTTTTATATTTAGAAATTATTAATTAATAAGAATTATTTGAATTCAATATGATATGTATGTATTCTTTGATTATCAGATGATACAAAATAAAGTACTCGATAGTTTAATAAAGTAATAAATAAATTTTATATATTACATTTGAATTTCATAATTATTTCTAAATATTAATATAAAATTATAATACATAGTGTATTATTTTCTACATCAATAACATTTATTGCAATAAATATAAAATTCAGTTTATTTCTGGACATACTTTTAATTCAAATATGTTAATGAATGTTAAAATATTTTATAATACCATAATCAAATGTTTAATACATATTATATCATGTAAAAATTATGATTTCTGTAAATTATTTAGGGACAGAAAAAAACATTCTTACATATCAATATTTTTGTCAATAAATAAAATATTAAAAACATTAAACCTTTTATACATATAAAAAATAAATGTTTTATTTATATCCATTTTAATATTTATTTGTAAACCCTAATAATAATAAAATAAATAATTAAATCTATATTTCACAAAGTAATTCATTCATTTCTAGGTTAATTATGTTACTTTAAAATTATGAAAGAGTTTATTTTGTATGATATTATAATACAAGTTCAACTAATTTATTGATATATTATATGTTGTCTGGTAACAGCATAATAATTTTTTCTAAAAGAAGTTTGCTAAGAACTTTGTTTCGCTTCATCTAGTTTACTACAATTCCTGGATTTTTGTTGTCTTATTGTGGAATTTAAATCCTCTTGACAATTAGAGTATGCCATACCTAATCCAAAACTTGCCCCAGTTATTACAGGCCACTTTCTTCCTAAAAGAAAATTAATCCTTACATTATTTTAGGATAAATACACATTCATATATTTATTATGATATTATTAAAAAGTTTATAATAATGTTTAAACATTAATATCCCTCCACAATTATGCAATGAATATATTAAAAGTATAAATGATACTTAACCTATTTTATGTGTGTAAAGAAACAATTTTCATTATTTAAAATTTGAGATCCAGTAAAATACTTGTATAAAAAAATAGAATTGTATAAAACTGAGTTAATAATATTATGTTACCAGTATTTTTCAGTCAAAAATTACTTTATTTTAATACTTAAAATTATTTTACATCTATATATTGATTTAAGAAAAAATGAATTAAATTTACTATCATATTAAAAGTAAACATTCATTAACAATGCAAAATGTATTTTAAAGATGTAATAAGTAAATTAAAACTTACGTTTGAAAAAAAATAGGGAGAATACTCCTCCAAGTAGAATTCCTCCACCTACAGAAACATTGTTTTTACCCAAAAGAAATAAATTTGATATTTCTTCAAAATCCATTAATATTGTTATTATTAAGTAATAATTACCAAATTTAAATATAGCATCTGTAAAACACCGATCCCATTTTCGGCCAATTTCGTCCTCAACCCAAGTAGCCATTTTTTATATTAAAGTAGATCTATAATATTGAATGTTATGTCATACGTTAGCCTATGACTGTAGGGAGAAGTAGTATTAAAACATCAATTATTCGTAAAAATAACGTTATAGGGATTCAGTGTTTCGTTAATGAACAATATTTTTTTGAATAATATATGTGAATATATAATACAATCGATGACAACGAAACCAATGTTATTAAATAGTTCCCATTTCCTTCAAACAAGAGAGTATGTAGGGACATACAGAGTATGTGTTGTTACATATTGGTATAAGTTATGATAAAATGTATAAGAAATATTTGTTCATAATTTCACACATTATTCAGATTTATTTAAAATCTGTTCTTTTTTTTAACAACAAATAATTGAATTGTTCTATAAACTTGTTAATTTCATTGCAAGCTACTCAATCTATTTTTGCAAATTTTTAAACCACTCCGTGGCGCCACGTGAGGCTTATAGTTATGCTATAAAACATAATTTAAAAATAAAATTACTAGATATTTTGATTTGTCGCATAAAATTTTTGTTAAAAATTCGTAGAAACAAAGATTTTATCATAAGCATAAATTTATATGCAATGCAATTGCAAATCGAATTGAAAAATTATAAATACAATTAAAACATAAATAAACACAAAGAAATATTATCTCTTTATTTATTAATGATTTCTTTCAGGAAAAACAATTAATAGAAGAAAATAATTTTTCTTTAAAATAATAATAAATTACAAAATGACTATCTATTAACTATGAAATGTAACTTATTAAAACTAATCTTTTTCCATTACATGTATTAATATTCATATCTTAATTTGTGTTAGAAACAGTTCTAATTTAATATTATCTGTAATGGTGTAATAAAAATATTTTCTAAATTTTGATTTTATGTCTTAAAATATAAAAATGTGAAAATATAAAAGTATAAATGTTTTTTAACGCCCTCTTGAAATCGATTCTATTTCATCCGAAGTACTAGAGTATTCTAAAATTTAATGCTCACTGTGTATATTTGATTTGACAACATGGTTGTGCAGAAACATCACTATAAAATTGCAATGACAAAGTTTCCGGCACAAAAATAAGCCAAAATTTGTGTTGAACATGTTCATTAAATATTCCAAGACAAAAAAAGGATAGTTTTAGTTGATGCAGACTTCATGTTAAAGTGCTATAAATTCGACAGATACACATTCATGTTAAAACTGCGTCGCAAATAATGTTATCGATTAATTTTTTAAGAACCTCTGAGTCAATAAGCAAACGATTAAATAATACGAATAGAAAAGCGAATAATATAAAATTATTAATGAGGTTCTCATTTTGTATTGTGATTTTTATTGTAACAACCCACCTATTGTCATCGGTTAGCGCAAGCGAGTCGTTGGGAAACCCGTATAAAATATTAGGTGTTCATAAACGTGCGACTTTACAAGAAATTCGAAAAGCATACAAAAATCTTGTTAAAGAATGGTAAATATTACATTAAATGTTATTGTATTACTGTTTTAAAAAAATTAATATTTAGTCTCATTTTTCTATATTATACAAACAATACATATATACTATACAGATACATGTTATTAACAAAAATAAGTTTTTTTATATTTAGAATTATACACTTCATTGATATTATATTGAAGTTCGCGAATTATTCAAACGTATGTATTTAAAGAACAAACATTATTTAAATAAAGTTAAAATAATTACTTTAATTTTGTGTATAACATTTAAGGACAATTTCTTATTTTTTAGAATACAATGTTATAATAAATGTATATAATTATCTAATTTTTATATAAAGATAATTTTATTGTTTATTTCCTTAGGCATCCAGATAAAACTGATCACCCAAGTGCAGAAAATAAATTTGTAGAAATTACAAAAGCTTATGAGGTAAAAGTAATATTTATAAAAAAGTATGATGAAATTTATCTTCTTTTTTTTTTAGTAAAAATTGTTTTTTATGTAGATTTTAACTGATCCAGAAAGAAGAAAGAAATTTGATAATCATGGAATTACAGAAGAAAGTATTCCTAGGCAACGAAGAGATAATAGCCACTTTAATAATGTCTTTGATCCATTGGAAGAATTATTTGCCAAAAATTTCAAATTTCATTATCAAAATCGAGATATTTCACTTTTCTACAAGATGAGCATTACATATCGGTTTGTATTATTTTGTTAGAAAGGTATCTAATTATGTGTATCTTAAATATGAATATGATTTTTGCAGATCATTTGAAAATGTAATACTACCAAAAACTTTTCGTACACCATATTTGATATTATTTTATTCAGATTGGTGTTTTGCATGTTTGCAAGTAGAACCAACGTGGCGACGTTTGATTGATGAATTAGAGCCACTAGGTCTTGGTTTAGCAACTGCACATGCTGAGAAAGAGTCAGCTCTGGCAAGGAAACTAGGAATTCATTCGCTACCATGCCTTGTTGTTACAATAGATGGTCGTACAAGTGTATATAAAGAATCTCTTTTTAGCATTCAAAAAGTTGTTGGTATGTATTGCAATTATTTTATTTTATCAATATTTTAATATAGTTCATATTTTCATTTCATAGTATGTCAGAGCTAAATACCTTTATTTTTACAGACTTCTTACGAAGCAAATTTCCATACAAATTAATACCTAACATAAATAAAAATAATGTAGACAATTTTCTCTCAGGTTGGATAGATAATCGAATTCGAGCTTTAATATTTGATAAGAAAGAATCCGTAAGATTACGGTATTTATTTATTGCATTTTATTATAGAGATCGTGTCGCATTTGGTTTTGTTCAGGTAAGTTTCATTTTTATTCCTTACTTTCAATATAATATTACTTGGTTATCTAGTTTTTCAATTATTTTAATTATAATTTATTCTTTGTAGACAGAAAAGCCAGAAACTGAACATATTGTAATGAAGTATAAAATTTCTGTGGATTTAGATACTTTATTATTATTTAATGAAAATTCTGAGAAACCTATGGCATCTGTTAGTATGAAAGATATATCTAGTGACACAATGCACAATGTTATTTCAAATAATAAATTCCTTGCTCTACCAAGACTTTCAAACCAAGCAATGTTAGATTCTGTTTGTCCACCAGAGTGGTTAAGACCTCAAAAACGATTATGCGCAATTTTAATATCACAACAAAATAGTCCCCTTCATGACTTAGCTAGACATAAATTTAGACAAGCAGCTTTAGAAACATCTTACAGGTAACAATATTTTAAGAATATATAAAGTTTTAAATATTTAATTGCAAAACAGGTCAAATCGCATAACAAATTTACTATTTTCGTCGTAAATAGAATAACATTTTTTTTTTTATTGTGATTGATAACTAAATAATATTTACATATTTAACATAGATACAATATAATACGTGAGTAACACATCATGCCTTAAGTAAATTTGAAATTATAAGTTTTTATGTTAATTTATACAAAATCACTTTATTCTTAAACTTTTTTTGTATCATTTGTTTAAATAGAATGTTTTAAAATGAAGTTATTAAATTTTTTTTCGATATCTTCTAATTTATTGAAACTGAGCTGTAAAATTGTACTTAAGCTTGTTAAAAGTGATCTTAAAAATTTACGAAAAATATGTTGTGCAATAATCCCAGTACTTTACGATTGTCTTGTATTTAATTTACAGTACTGAAAGGGTTAGATATACATACGTATTTAAGGATACCCAGCCGGAATTTGTATCGGCATTATCAACGGGTGAAGGCAGTCCTTTAGAACCTCTATTACATATTGTAATTATTTGGAGAAGGGATGCAAATCATTTGAAATATGAATGGCTACCTAATGGTTGGGTCGAAGCTGCTCAGGATGAAAGTCAGTGGAATGAAACACGTCGAAATTTAGAACAAACCATACAAAGATTATTACGTGCATCCGAAGCTTTACCATATGCTGCAGTTGTAGGAGAATTAGCAGATGAACATGCACAGGTATACATTTTACTCTTAGAAAAAATTAAGATATGTTATGTTTTACTTTGCATTATAATGTAAAATTTTAATTCTAGGGTACTGTAGATAAACTTATTGGGAAAGCGTTATTAGCTGTAGATTATATTTCGGATAGCCTTACTAAAGAGCAAATATTGTCTTTAGTATCAGTAATTGCTACTTTAATGTTAATTGGTGCTGCGGGATATGGAATGTCATATTTAGCGTAAGTAATATTATTTTGATATAATGTGACATTTAGTTTAGAGAAATAAAAAATTCAACTTTTCGAGTTTTAATATTATTTTTATTTTTCTATTCTTGGTTTCTAAATTAGTTTGAATTATTTAAAATAATTTTGTAAATATAGTTTATTTGATTATGTTGATTTTCAAAATTGTGTAATTGTAGAAAATTAGAGGAAGCAAGTATTCAAGCTGAACGTGCTCAATGTAAGGATAACAGCAAATCAACACCGTCACAACCACAGTTACGATTACATGAATTACGAGCAGAAAAATACAATGGTTTAGTTCGACTACTAAAACCAGGTTGTAGAACCATTATATTATTAGTTGATGTTCAAAGTAGACTAAAATTATTACCAGCTTTCCATAAAGCTGTGTGGCCTTATAGGTAAGTTTTACAGGTGCTTTTTATTGTTTATTGGTAGAACAGTTGTTACATAAGTAAAACTATATCATAATTAAGTTGTAATTTAAAAATAAATTGTCATAGGAAAAATAAAACTCTTATGTTTGGACACTTGTCCCTTGAAAGAGGATTAGATTGGTATAAAAAACTGTTATCCCTCACCTTGCCAGAACAAAAAGAGCTAAATATAAATGCCAAAAATTGTGTTGGCACTGTATTATCTTTAAATGGGCATCGTAAATATTTTTGTATGTACCATGCCAAACATCCAGAATGTACTAAAGGCAAAGGTTCTAAGGTAATGTTAATCATACATAGTCACATATTTATTAAATGTATAAAATAATGAATTTTAATAATATTTTTATATATAGAGAATAGAACAAATGACAAAGCAGTTAACTCGAAGAACATATGATGCAGAAGCTGGTGCATTTATAGGCTTTGACAGTTCCAATGAATCTGACGTTTCTGAAGAAGAGGTATGATAATTTTATGCTTCATATCTACTGATTCTAGCTAATCAAAATAACGTAATACAGTAATACTTTAAAATATATAATATATTGAAATATAATATAAAAATTAGTGGTTACTATTGTTCAATGAATTTTGTCATTACTCATATTCTAAAGATTGATATTTATAAATTGATCTTTTATAAATTATCATATATAATTCTAATTGAAGAAATTGAATAATACATTAAAAGAAAATTATACTGGATATTATATTAGATAATAATATACTAAATAAAGAATTATAAAAGAAATTTTAAACTAGATTTATTTATTTAAAAAATAATTTGATGGTTTCAAGTACTTTTTTAAAATTAATATAATTAACATGTAATTGTTCAAATGTAGTTAATAAGATTGTTTATAATACTTCACAATTACAAAAATTTCATAGTAAGATTATGATTATACAGATAATACTTATATTACAGGGTGGAAACAATGTTTTATGTCAGGACAATCTTTTGGATGGTTTACCAATGTGGCTGGATAGGCTATTTGAAGGTTTAACACATCGTTATTATGTAAACTATTGGCCCGAGTTCACTGCCAAGTAAATGAAAATTGATATACATTCTGGTAATGTGTATACTTTTTGCAATAGAAAAAGGGATCCAACTAGTCAACAATATCATATATCATTTAAAAATTCTATACAATTTAAAAAGATGCATCCTATAATTTTATGTAAAGTTAGGGTACATTCATTGTATATCTATGAGATATTATTTATTAACTCATTCGCGGTTTTCTGTACACAAAATTTAAATATTCCATTAACTACACATAAAAAAGAATTTTATAAATTGCCATCATGTTGATAAAGCTTTTATAGGTTTAAAATTACTTTTCATCAATATTTGTGAGTAATAAGTATCTTTCATAATTTTTAATAATTCTAGTCGATGCCATTACAGATATGACAGTACTTATATTAAATGTCTAAATATTAGACACTTGTATGTTACAAATCTAAATATTAAACATTGTATATTACATGTTTAAATATTAGACACTGTATAGTACATGTCTAAATATTAGACATTGTATGTTTATATATTTGTAATATGCCAATAATTTCGGTTTTTTCCTTCAACGTAATGTATGATAATGGTATATTATTATTTTTATACCATTACATTACCATGATTTTTATTTTTCATGTAACGTATGAGGTTTGATAAAAAAAAATATTCGTATATTCAAAATTTGTAGCTATAGACATTGTTTTAATATTATGTTGATTTCTTTAAAACAAAAATGTGGAAAAACATATTGCAATGTCCTTCTAATTAGCTTAAAGGTAACTTTTATGTTTATATTATTTTTGAATATTTTTGGTATATTAATTAGAAGTGAACTTTTAAATATGGTTATTATTTTTAATGTAGAATTTTAATTTTCTACAAAATTCTTTTCAGTTGAAAAATCAAATGTCAGTTTTCAAAGTTTAAAACGTTGTGTATATTTTCATATAAATTTTGTCATTTTTAATAGAGCATTATATGCAAATGTTATTTATAATAGGATTTTAAAATATATTTATTTATATTTGTAGTCAAGGCATTTTCTTTTTTTATCAAACTTTGTATGTGAAATGTTAATACTTAAGAATATATTTTTGTGCCTCTTATGAATAACTATTTATAATATATGTTTTTTATTTTCATATTTTTATTTGCCTATAAAGATTGACAACAAAAGTCTTTATATATTTATTCATTTATTAACACAATTTCGATTGAAAACTTACGATAATGATAAAATAAATAATTACATGCTTTATACAGTGCATATGCAAATGAGAAATGATAAATAATTTATAGTTGATGGAAAGAGATTAATATTCTCATATAGAACAATAATATTAAATAATATAAAAACTAGTCCCTTTTTCAGCTACATTTAAATAATCTATATCTCTAGATTATATTTTGAATAATTACAAAGATCACTGCATTATCCATTTGAAAGTTAAGTCATCACATTAGTAATGTCATTTCTATATCTATAAGATTAATTAAAATTGTTTATTTTTTCCTGATCATTCAAATTTATATTTCACATGATTGCAAACCTTTTTAAGTGAATTATTTTTTTTTTTTATTTTAAATAATGCTGTGTTATTTATGCTTTAAATGATCATTTCTTTATTAATTATAAAATTTTGTATTTAAAAAAATATGTACGCTTAAGATTTGCATTAAAATATACAAAGTCATATAAAAAATTACAAATTTATTATTAAATTTTTTAATTTTTATATTTCTTGTTGAATTTTAAAACATTATTATATAAATTATATTTATAAAAACTAAATTATAAAACTATATTAATCTAAATGAATTATTAAAATTGTTTTATTTATGTGACAATTGTTATCGCAATTATTGGTAATATTTTCTATAAAGAAAAATTAGCTATAATACATTCAATTTACACCTTTAGTGATAATCTAGTTAACAAAAAGTAGCAACAATACCAACCTAAATGAATTAGTAAAATTGTTTTATTTATGTGACAATTGTTTTTATAACAATTGTGGGTAATATTTTCTGTAAAGAAAAGCTAGCTATAATACGTTCAATTTACATCTTTATAGATAATCTAGTTAATAAAAAGTAGCAAGTCTTTATCTTTTTTAGAGCAAAGATTAATCTATTAAATATAGGTTGTTATTGGAACTTCATAAAAATTCAGATTTTTCTGTTTTTTTAACAATTAAATGTAATTTTAAGTAATTCTATTTAATTTGTTAAATAATAGTTTTTTTTATAGATATAAAACAATTTGAAAATATGTCTCCTATAATTTTCATATATTTCTTACAATAAATGAAGTCATTTTTACTAAGTTTTTAATAAGTTTTATTTTTTTTTACATCAATTTATATTTTCAATATTCAATATTTTTAATTGAATATTAAATATTAACATCAATCAAATTATATAATTGAATATTAAATTATTATAATACAAATTGCTATAGTTAATGTTATAGAAATAATTTAATATATGATATATACTTAATATGATAGAGAAATAATTTTAAATATTATTTATTGAACAAATTCAAGTTTATTAACCACTTAGTTTAGAAAGTAAACAAAGTTTCTACTTCTTTCTTTACTTTCTTTTTCTTCCATTATTATTAACATTTACATATTTTATATGGTGCCATTTAAATAATTATATATCTGAATAGAATACAACAATTTGTACAGTATAAAAGTTTTAAACCACTATCACTGAAATGGCATGACTTATGAGATGATTTGATTGCAGAAGAATCAGTTTAAGTTGAATGTATACATTGATCATGTTTCATAAAATTATTCTCGAAATTTTTGAATGCATGAAAGAGAATTATATATAAAAAATTGTTTACATTGTGTACACATTCTATAAAGATATTTAAAATATGCTGAAATAAAGATATATAAATAAATATGTATATTGTGTTCATTCAATGAATATGTTTCATAATAGTTAGATACATCTCATTCATTATTATTCAAAATTCAACATAAATATCTATATGTCTTAATGTCAATTATATATCAGCCTTATTAAAATATATGATAATATTTGATAAATAAAATCAAATCATTATAAATGATTATCTTTATTTTAAACTTGTATTTAAAATAATCCTACAATTTGTAATCGTGGAAAAATAATTTAAGTTATTTCTATGAAGTATACAAAAATCTTTTTAATAACATTACTTATTTTTTTTTATATATATATATTTTTGGTATGATAAATTTTCAGGAATTTATTGATACTTACTCTTTTATTTTCTTATATTATATTATATACATAAACTTACTTCATATAAATAAATCATATACACTTTACAGAATTTTTCTTTAGGTCATAATGTAAAATATAAAGATTATTTAAATTATATAAAAAATCATAATTATAAACTTATGTTTCAAAATTTACTGTATTCGTTTAAATTCTGGAAATATTTCATACATTACAACTTCAAAGACATCCTGTAAGTAGAAAAGATTTGTAGAAGACAGCAGATACAGCATAATTTATAAATATCTTCTTAACTGAGGATAACTTACATAAAACAGCTGTTTATTTAAATTCACGTTCTGTAAGGAGTCAAAAATTTTAATTGCACCGCGTTGAGCACTTTGCGTTCCTACTAAATTTGTTAACACGTCAGGTATATTATTTAAAAATTGTCTTCGTGCTTCACCTCGAGTTTTTAATTTTTCTTCGTCTGTACGAGATACTGTTTCAAAAATTAAGTGACCATTTGGCCACCATGATTTTGTAAATAATTGTATGTAATAATGAAGTATCGGTTCTGAGAACACCCATGCAATAGTATCTCTGATTTGCCTAATGGTCATATTTGTTATAAATTGTATTTTCATTTTAAAAAGAATATTCAAAATTTTTTATTTTAATGTACTATTAGTCTAGGTGTACATTGAACATAAGGTAAAAGAGTATAAAAAAGGGTTTCCAAAATGAATGTGTTGTTTCAGTCATTACACATAACAATACACATAATTATACTCTATTACTATTGGATTGTTTGGAAAATTTGTGCCGATTTTTGGTAGGTGGCGTAAGGACAGGTCTGAATATATCAGAACGATTGAAAACAAATGACATGCATACATATCATCAAAGATGGTACTTGAGGCATATTTGGAAAAATATTTGGATACGATTCGTTAATTTTTGTCAATTTTATACGCCTTCAAATATGGAAGAAAACCAAGTGCATTTTCAATTTTCCTTCAAAATCGACACGAACTTTCCGGACAACCCAATAGTATCAAATTCGGATCTGATAAGAACAATTTTGTTATATAATACTAGTAAGAAATTGTAAAATTTGTATAGAATGAAGTATGATGCAAAAAGTAACAGACAATATGTAATCTAATAATATATGCGAAACGCAGAAAACTCGTTCATAAGTCGATTATAATTTTCTAGTACACTTTGTTCAATGTGTTCTTAAACTTATTTATATGTTCATAAACAAACCTGTTTATAGTTCGACCATAGGTAATTTGAACAAACGTAATTAATGATCGTTGAAGCCATCGAAATACTCCTCGCAGATCAAAAATTTCACTTAAAAGCGTATAAAGAGGTTCAGCTATTGTATCTTTATTGATATTTAGACATCCATCAGTAGCTAATCGATTACTATCAGTATCATCTAATAACAATGAGTAATCTTCTTCTTCTTCCTTATCACGAAGCTCATTATTATTATTAGATCTAAAATAAATTTTATTACATAGAATTCCAAATAAATTCAAATTTTCATGTAAAAGTTGGAATTTCAATTTCTGAATAGAATTCTTATAATGAATGTGAATGTGTTATTATTATTATACTTACGTTTTGAATAATGTTGATAAAGAAAATCGAGATTTTTTAGAAGGAGGAGCATATTTTAGATGTTCTGAACTAGGACTAAGAAATGTATATAAAGCCTCGCTTTGGTTTAATTTTTCATCTTCTAAAACAAACTAAGAACACTAATAAATAAGATATTTAAGATGAACAATACTGTATTATAGATTATATTGTATTAGACTTTTAAAAAAATTTACATTTAAATATTTTTGTATTTGTAATTTAGCTTTGTCCAAAGTATTTTTATCAGATTTTCCAAAAAATTTTAAAGGTTGTGATGGTAAATCTAAATTTTTTACATTAGAACATAGTTGACGAAGTTTTCTATGAAGATCCTGAAAATCTTGTAACCTTCTCAGTACAACCCAACCACTATATATGCTTTCACTGTTATCTTCACCTTCTGCCATATGGACAACCAAAACAAATTGTGGTGGCTCTCCATTACTTGGTATCTGTTTTAAGAAGTACTTTCTTCATTAAAATTGAATAACATAAGGAAAAATTTTTGTATTTAAATAATAATAATATTTCGTTTACTTCTGCACTTTGTACTTCTGCTCTCCAATGACCCAAATGTTCTGCCCACATTTCCGTATGAGTTAAATGTGCTTCTAATTGCTTTTTCTCGCTTTGTAACCATTCAACTTCTTTAGCTAAAAAATTTAAAACCTTACTCTCTGGTTTCAATGACGATTTTAGTGCTTGTAAAGCTTGCATTTTATTATTTAATTTTTCTTGTAATTGGTCCAATTTGCTACGAGCATAGTTCGAATGTTCTCCAACCAGTAAAGACATATTTTCCGATAATGTTCCATTTCCCATACGTCGATCCTCAGCTAGATCTAAAAAGTAATTTTATGCCAGTAATTATATAACATTAAATATATTACTAGTTTCATTTTTAATATAATTATAATTTTAAGACTTGAACACTAACCATCTGTTCTTTCATTAAGCAATGCTTCTTGCATATTTTTGTATTGTTCACTAACTACAAATGAAGGATAATACTTTTCTTCCAAAGTTTTAACAACATTATCTTGAACTTCATAAAATACATTAGGTCCTATATCACCTAGTAAAAAACTTTCCATTTTTTTACGAATAGTTCTATCAACTTTTATTTCGGCAGTTGAAGATGTAATATAAGTATAAAATATTTCAGCCCCTAATTGATGCCAATTAGACTTATCAGCACTACGTAACTCTTGTACCGCTGCCCAATACCCAATTAAATCTTGACTAGCAACTTGTTCAAGAAATTGAGATAGGTATCGTCTACCTATTACACTATCTAAAATATATTGCAATGGTAAAATTCTTTCTTCTGTAATCATTGCTGCATCAATTACATCACTAGCCTATAAAATACCATATAGTTAAATATAGTTGTTATTATTATTTATTACAGAGAAATGATTTTATAACCTGAACAGGATATCCATTCCATCCTAATGATTGCATATGACATTCACATGTGTTTTTAGCATATGTTAGTTGACTGATATATCTTTTTAATTTTCGTGCCTGAATGGCATCAGACTTTCCAAATGCATTATTATCCGAATCTAAGCCTTGGGCTCTTTTAACATTTTGTACAGTTGTAGCTTGCATAATTTCAGTTACGATATTATATCTGATATGTTTCAAAACTTCTAAATCTTTGGAGCTTTTAATCATACGAATAAAATCCTCAAATGATTTAGCATATTCATACGTTTTTCTATGCATTGCTTCTGCAAGCTGTTGCTGATCAATATATGACAAAATCTTTTGGTTAATATAGTCTGGGTTTGTAATTAAATCTATTACTGGTTTTAGTACTGAAAAAAATATAAAGAATTAGGTAAAATGTATATGTTCATAACCATAATTAAATAAGCCTGACATACTCACTTTTACATGCAAGAATTTCTCTCAATAAATATTTTATTGGTGCAAGGGAATAACAAGGTGGTAACAAAAATAAAATATATAATTCACTGACTTTTTTTAAGTAGTCTAATTCAGCTGTGGGTGACATTAAATGTGTAGATAAAATAAATACTGGATCTTCACCTTGCATCCTATTTAAAACATGATTTCTTTTAAAAAAGAATTACTTAACAAAATAGGATTTTTTATGTTATATACATACATATCGTAGTAAAAATCTTGTTGAGATTAAAAACATACTATGTAATAATAAAAAAGGAAAATATAGTTGAACTTACGATGCAGTTTGAGCAATTCTAATTTTCTCAAAATGAAATGTAATCTTATTGACTATGTTACAAACAACTAGTTTTGTATGATCTACGTTTGACAAACGATCATGAAGAGTTTGAATGGCTCCCCATATATCTTGTTTCATATTGTCTAGTATATGTTCAGAATTAAAAGCTAATTCATCTAGCCATAGACCAACAAAGTCCTGAAAAACTAAGTCTAATAAATTCTGCAAAGCACCATCCACCATACGAGTAAAAACTAATGGATATCTAATATGCTTCTTAGAATTTGTAGCTTTAACTACATATCCTTTCTGAAATAATAAAACATAATAGGAGTGATTACAATCAAAGCTTACAATATAACTTTTATCAATAATGATAATATTTAAAAAACATAGGTTATTTAAAAATTAGGTTTGGTTAGGTTTAAAAATAAAAAACATTCCATGAAAGAATATAAATAAAAAATACAAAATAAGGAAGTTAGTTTTTATAATTTAATTAATTGAATTTTGACAAAATAATATTATAAGTTTACTCAATTTTGTAGGTAAGTGAAATAAGATCTATGATATAAACTAATTATCATAATCTAAATAAGCTACAAAATAAATAAGTTATGAATATCATAAAATATTAAAGGCAACTAAAATTAATGACTTGTAAGACTATAAAACAATAACAAAAATAAAAGATTACAAAATAACAATAAAAATTAGAAAAAGAAAACAAAAAAAATATTCTGATAAGAAATAAATCTACGGATAAATATTATAAAACTTTTTATACCTGTTATCTTATCTACATATATATACATATCAATATAAAACTAATTCAATAATAACAAATCCTTTTTTAATAAAAAATTGAAATTTGACACATTCAATTACAGAAGTTTAATAATTATTAATATCAATAAGTTAATGAATTTATGAAAACACAAACCATTAACAAATTATGAAAAGCATCCATTTCTGCAATTGTTTTTATAGTGGTTGCTCCAGTTTGATGTTTCGGAGAAAGTGCGATGTTTATGAACATAACAATTAAACATCCCAAGAAGAAAGAAGATACGGTTAATACACCAAAAACATAACACCATAATAAATTATTCCAATAGAAAAACATGATTATAATTGGAATGTACAAAATACTGATCCACGTCATTTTAAATTTTGATTCTAAACACGTGACATTGAATATTACATTTCTAATTTCATATTTCGAGAATAGTCTCGTATAAATCATGAAGAGAAGCCAATAATATCGACAGTAACGCCATGACGAGTCACACACTATAGTTGGAAAAATCAAAAACTACCAGACTCACTTCTGTGTTCCAAAAGAAATCAAAAATCTAACATTTAGAAATTACATATAAAGCATTTTAATAATAAGCGATAAATTTATGAACTTTTGTAGTTAATGTTATGTAATGTAATATAAAATAAATAAATAATAGTACCAGTTTTGTAATTAATGTAATGACAATCAATATTTTTTAAATGTTTAAGATTAAAAACAAAATTAATTATAAGAATAGTTTTGAAAATATATAAAACATAACATCTATAGCTTATTATATCTTAAAACCGCATCCGAATAAAAATCATTAAGCGATTTATCGCATTTTTTGCTGTAATTTTCAATTATAAAATTATATAATTTGATATACTACTAAAAACATTATTTATTATTATTTATTACAAAACATTTACTATTACAAGTTAATAAGTCATTAACGAAAACCACAAATTATATTAGTTGAATGCAAAAAAGATATAAAAAAATGATCAATTTCTAGTTTCCTAGAATCGAAAATTTGTTTAAGAATTTGTATTAATCTCAATAGTACTTAATTACTGTGAATAAATGTTACACGGAAATAACAAAATTTATTAAAAGTAGTAATATAGGAAAAAAGACAATAATAAAAGACAATCATATGGTTTACATACATCATATCTTATTAAATAGATAATTTTATTTCTTGCTAAAAGTACATCGTTTTTAATAATATCACCAACTTGTTAAACAATTTTATTTACCAAAATTAAATCATCGAATATAAATATTGTCGTATGTTATGCCCTGGATTTCATGGTATAGAATCCATAGACATGTAATTTACCAGTCGTGAACGCTGTAGGAAGTTCAAATCTTCGTCCTATTGCGGGCTTTAAAAGTGGTTAGAGATGCAAAGCCTTTCAGCCAATCCGCTAACAGGTAGACGACTCCATGACACATCGGGTCATTCGCCTGTTGAAAATCGCGGCGCGTAGACGTGTGATTCAATTTCAGGTATGTATATCATCGCGTTTATTATTGAGTGAAACTTTCATTTCTTCTCTTTTGCCCTCTATGCAGTAGCATTAGCTTCGTTCGATTAATGTATATTCATATAATACATTTCTGAATATATTTCCAATAGGACTATATAGTTTTTCAAGTTTTTCCACGATTTCATTTCCGAATTAGACTGATAGAATTGTCGGCAGCATGGTAGGCACAATTTGAATACAATTATTCTCTCGTTTCAATCTAATTAGTGATACTTTTACATATTTGAGTTAAGAGAAATTGAAATAATTCACATTTTACATTACTTTGCTTTCGAATATTTTACATCGTCATAATTTGGGCATAGACAATAATTTTTATTATTTTTACAAAAGAGTCGCAATTACAGATGCGTTGAATTTTCAAAATCAAGTTCAAAAAAAGTTATTGCATGCTATCATTGTGCAGTCCGCATGCGCAGTCAGTGTGCGTAGTAGGTATGCACAGCCCGAATGCGCAGGTTGATTGCGCAGATAAATTTCAAAATCTCTTGTATTTCATTCGCATCTTTTTTAATTGTGACAAGGTCGAGAAATTCTTTATTATAGTTACAATATATTACACTTATTCATGCAGTGTGTATTTCGGGACTAGGGTTATATTGGCTGCATATAACAGAATTTACGATCGCTTATTACCTCTTGTTAACATAATTGAATTTAGCTTTGACTGATTGATTAAAATTGTTGTTTTCTTCTGTACAGATTAATCTCTGATGATTGCAGTGGCCTGAAAGCGTAAAAGGTTCAAAGAATGAATGGCATATTGACAAATGGCCGACTTTACAGTTTTTTATTGAAAGCTGGTAATGCCTAATGTATTATTGTACAATAAACGTAAAAGATTTGCATCATATTTTTCATGTGCTATTATTGACACTTGATACAGAATTTGCAATCATTACATAATTTTTTAGGATCTTTTTGATAAAACTAGAAAAAAGTTAAATTGTTAAATTAAATCTTCGTGTTTTGAGAATTTTGTATCAAATCATTTCTTAGTTTGAAATGGCCGAAATAAGTCATTTCAAAGGTGTCAATAATTTTCTTAGTAATGTTGAATTTCTTATATCGAAGCCAGACTTATTAAATGTACGTAAGAGCTTTTGTTTACTGCATCATTGGTAATCTGTTTTGTGTATCATTTTATAACATAATTATTATTATATTTGAGATTTTAAAGCATATTCATTAGATCTTTTTACATTTGATTCAGAAAGCGAAATAATTCACATATTACATTATTTCGGTTTCGAATATTTTACATCCTCATAATTTGGTCTTAAACAATAATTTTTATTATTTTTACGAAAGAATCGCAATTACAGTTGCGTTGAATTTTCAAACGCATGTTCAGAAAAAGTTATTGCGTAATATCATCGTGCAATCGGTATGCGCAGTCAGTATGCGCGGTTGGTATGCGCAGTCAGTGTGCGCGGTCGGCACGTGCAGCCCTAATGCGCAGGTTACTCGCGCAGTTATATTTCAAATTCTATTGTAATCCATTCACATTGTTTCTAATTTCTTGATAAGATCGAGAAATTCTTTATAATAGTTATAATGTATTACATTCATTCGTGTGTATTTCGAATAGATATTTTATTCCTAACTTGAATGATCAACAGGAGGAATAATGGATGGTTACAACATCATAAGTACAGCAGTATTTTTTTAACATTTATTCGACAGGGAGAATAACTCTCACGACATTTGTCACCCCCAGACTAATACACTTTTTATAGGAATTTTCGTGGGCGTGCGCGATGCCACCATTCGAGTCAGTGCTTTTATACGCATCAACCTTTGTCCTCAGAGCCCAATAGTTGCTGCTATATATAACCATAATAGCCATACGCGAATGTAGAGACGCGTTAATAATCCTTTATTTTTATTTTTATTTTCTAATGTTCGTTACCGGTATTAGAGTCGACACTAATCAGGAATTGACCCAAGGCTGCTCTGCAATCCAAGAATGTAAGTATGTAAGTATGTTCGCACACTGTAATTTAATTAATATCTTTTTTTGAACAATAAATTTTATTATTCAACTTGTTACACATTTTTCCGTAGATACGACAAATCTGATGGTATTGAAGTCAGTTCTTCACTGGACAGGATTCATCTCTGCTCCAGAAGTTAACAATGTAGGTTCGTTTGCATATTGTAATTGAGTAAATCTTAATCAATTATATGAAATCAAACTCTTCAAATATTTGCGTCTTCATGGTATAACAGTAGTATTGAACGTTTTGTTGCAGATTTTCTACAGTCTTCGTTTTTTCATGGATCTGACAATTGAGTTACTATTCAAATCAGCCCCCTCACTGATGACGGTCTTCACGATGACTTCCTCTGGGCCACTACAGCATCGTTCTCCGCACCATCGGTGAGTTGCATGCATTTTGGTTCCTCTGGTCATTCAATCATGTCGTAGGACGAAAGGTCCGAATCGACACGGATGACTGGTTGTATTACATAGAACTTCTTGTGAGCATAGTGGCCTCGGATGTTTATTATACTCGAGAGTAGTGACAAAATTTCTTTTATGATTTATTAATCAATTCAGGATAGGTTTTCTTGCACGTCGCGTTCTTGAACAATAATAACAGAAATATAAATAGTTAGTATTGGTATATTGGCACATATAATATTATTGGCATAAATAATATAATATTGACTATTAGTTCCTTCTTACTATAGTCATTTTTAAAATCAAAACATATTTAGTATGGTTATTTGTCAATAATAGACATGAATATTTGATTATTTTGTAGTGAAGAAGTCGAATGCCCTTCGACTTTGTTATTATGAAAATTATAATTAATATATGACAACAATGATTATGTATTGCTATTCATTGTTCCTTTAACAAATAAGTGCTAATTCCATTCGAATTTCGAATTTCAAACAAGTGCCAATTCCATCGAGTCTTATTCAAAACATAATAGTATCACTGCTACATTCCGCTAATGCTAAAATGCATTGAACATTAAGCGCAAGAAAACATTTCGCGACATATATATTTTGGAATCAAAGAAATAACTTTTGTACTTTTGTGCTTTCGAATATGATGTACTTTGGTGAAAGAACCATCTGAGGTTTTATTATATTTCCATTGTTATATAAATTAAAGTCAATTATTTCATCACGTCGAGTCCTAGTCTTCCTTTTCTTTTGATAAATAGATTTCTTATCGATTATGAATATTTTCTTCTAATATTGAAATTTCTATAGCTTGTTATACTTGTAAAGTAAAGTCATTGCGAAGGAAATGAGAAAATAGAAGATGGAAGAACGTTAGTCCGTTAAACAAAATATATGTCGCTAATCAGTTTTCTAGCTCAGGATTTTCAAGTTTAACCCCATCCGTGTTCATTGCCAGGAACTCATTCACGTGCCCAGGTGTTACTTGAGTGAGCTACTATTTTATTTTATATATACATAATTTACATATGTATATTAATTAAAATAGCATTCATCGAAGTTTATACGTTTTTCTAACAAAAGATGTATGTCTATGTAGATTTGCTTTGAAGAAATTATGAAATTCTCGAAGTTATACATTCTTTCGTGGCGTCCACAAATATTGAGAAATTTTTTTCAACAGATATTGAAAATGGAAGGGTATAGAATAGAACTATTATGTGTATTCTTCCGATATTGCTTCTGGAAGTCCTGTGTTCACATCACCGTCTTACACTCTATGTTACCGACAAAGCCTCGAAACGGATTGTAGGACATGACGGTAACTGTAATGAATTCAATTAAAGTAGTTTGTAAATACTGCAATGAAAATAATTTCTGATTTATGAAAGATCATTCTAATATTGTTTCTGCGTGGTTTCTCCTCCAGAAAAGCCTACAGAATTTTCTCGCGTGTAGTAAATTCGTGTCAGATGAAAAAATTGTTTATAAAAATACAAGAATATGCGTAGAAAGTACGCTCGAAAGCTTATTTTTAAAATTTGATGACTGATTATAATTATCCAGAAACACAAATAATTCTAATTGTGGACATTAATAAATTAATAAATTAATACTCTCATCTAACTTATAAGACAAGAATGAACCATCTAACTTTCTTACTTTTTATATAACACTCCATTTTAGCCAAAAATCGCGCCCTTTTAGAAAAACACACATTTTTGAAATTGAGGGTGATAGAGTAATTTCGATTATGGACTCGTGTTCAGTAAAGTAAATTCTATAAAAATCATGTAGTGGATATTACGGATTAGAGTTAATGTTAAAATTTTTTTGGACAGTGTCAGATATTTTTATACATGTATTCGTTTATACATATCCTATTACAATATAATAAATAATCCACAAAATTTTGTTCCAATGATTAATTTTATTAATTAAAACTGTTTGAGTAATTTTTGTGTTATCAGTGAATAGTTAAAAACTTTTAACTTAAAATTTACACGATCAAAACATTTTTTAACAAATGCTTGCAAGTAAGTAAATATACAAATTTTGTAGAATTTTCATACTTAAATAAACAAAAAAATTATACAAATTTGTCCATCTAACTTCATCGCCTGTAATAATTCGCTTGTTGCTTATAGTATCAAAAAATATTTTAGACATAAATTAAGAGGTTTCGAGGGGAGCATAAGTTTATGTGTGAACAACTTTTTTCCAAGCGAATAAGTGAAGTTCATTTAAACCTCAACTTTATTTTTTCAAACAGAAACATATCTTTTAATGTATTAATTAACCCAGCTGATAATTTTCCGTAAAAGGTATTTATCTATTTATACCGTCGAATTATTACTGTAGAAAATACATTTGTAAGTTACTTTTGTCTGCCACTTACAAGTTTAGTTATGAAACAAAACTTTAAAGTTGTTTATTTGAAAAATCTCTTAATTATTGAAGCGATAACACTTTGTATCATTTCAGAACGTAACAATTGTGAGCAAACTGCAATAATTTATTCTTCCACATGTATATATATCTTACTTTGTTGCCGTTTCAGATTCAAACAATACTTGTACAGAATAGTTACGTACGGACATAATAGGTAAAGAATATTATCAGTTTGATAACTAAACTATATTTAAAATGTATCAAAGTTGGCAGCGAATATTTTCTGCAACTACTCTGAATTTTGTTCAATTCGAGTAATAAGTGGCGGACAGAAATAATATAAATGTAAATATCTTCTAAAATAATGGTTTCTCTGGTATACATAAATAGGTGAATACTTTCTTGTGGAGAATAATTAGAAATATATGTTTCTATCTTCAAAGTCCCTTCAAACTGTTTACGCTATCTTAAGCTCTCCTAGGAACCATTCAATTCAATTCGTCTGAAACATTTTTTGATAATATTAAAAACAGGCGAATTATTCGAGATGACAAAATTAGATGGGACACCCAATAGTTTTAAGTGCGATTAATTACAATGGGTAATCAAAGCGATACCAGTAACTTTAAAAAACACCATTTTCAGAAATAAGTTATTTAAAATGAATTTCTTTTATGATTTTATTCTCTATCTCATTGTTTTTATCGTTTTTATTGTTTTCTATATAAATTCACATCGTATATTTTGAAAAATCAATTTTAAACATAAGATTTAGAACAGAATTTTTTTTTTAAACAGAAATTCGAATAAAAAACAATATGAAAGATGCATAAGATAAATGTAAATACAGGAAGAGATGCAAGTAAAGAAAATGAGATAAAGAGCACATCGGTACTTCTCAGGGTTTTCTACTACATCGAAGTTCTCTATAACAGGTGCGTGTGAGCTGAGGTGGGAAGTCTTCATGTGGTATGTATTTCCCTCGAACGGCATAACAATTCATCCGTTCCTATCATACTTTCCATTTCCAGTGTTAGTATAACGTGTGCGTTAAAGGTCGAGAATAACGAGAGATAAATTGAAACATGCATTATGAGCTTTTTATCGTTCATCGTGAAACAGTAGCTTTCTATATAAAATACTCACGCTATTAATTTCGATGATCTGTTTTATGCGTAACGCCATGTCGTTCTACGTTCTCCTGCTATCACAGTTTCTCTTCCTAAATTCCCTGCTGGCACTAAAGCTTTACAAATCCGAAAATAAACTAGATGCTGTGCTTAAAACGGTAAGTACATCGTGTCATTTTTATTTTTGCCATTTAAGTTTCTGTTGAAGCGTAATGTTCGGGATGCGAATTGCAAATCCATCGACTTGTCTATCTTCGCAATTTAGATTTAAATTTAATTGCGGCTTTGATGCAAAAATGAAAAAAAAATGCCCAATTCTATAATCACATAATTTTTAAACAGTAGCAATTTTTAATTTTAAAACAATATTTTGTATAACATTATTTTTTATTTTACTTTCATGGAACAGCCAGAACTGATAAAGAGTCACGGTTACCAAGTGGAAATTCATAATGTTGTAACAGAAGATGGATATATTTTGGAAATACATAGACTTCCATGTGGACAGTACGATTGTGAAAAGAACTTTGCGAGGAGGAAACGACCAGTTTTAATTCAGCATGGTTTGGCGGGCAGTTCTGCAGATTGGATCCTTATGGGGCCAGCCAGAGCATTGGGTAACTAAATTTAAAATACGTAAATGAAAAATTTTATTTTACCGTTAATATGATAGCAGAATTTCACTTTATATATGAATATGCATATATGAATATGCATAAATCAGTATCTCGAAAATATCAGATTAATATTGAATATTACGAATAAATATAATACAAAGTTAATTGCACTAAGAAAATTTAAAATAGTATTTTAAAAAATAAATTATTGTTCGCATACAATATTATAAATTGAAAAATGGGAAAATATCTTTTATATTTTTTAAATCTTTAATTACGTTCTAGTTCATAATCAAACATATTATTATTCGCAGTAATTATATTCAGTTCAAAATCTGTTCTTGTTTATACATATATATACATTACAGATTTATAATATTATTCTACTCTTATGTCATTGTTAGGTAATTATGATTACATTGCGACCATGGATTGTGAAAGTTACTTACAAATTAAATTTTTTTGGTTGTAATGGGAGCAGCAAGTTGCATACTTGAAACACAGTTTATTTCGTAATCATTAAAGAAAGATGAAAAAGGAAAAGAAAATTTGCTAGAATTAAAGCGTAATTATTGAAAATTGAACTTTTAATTCGATGTTAATTTTTAAAAACATTATATTTAATTTTTAATTAAAATTAATCTTCTTCTAAAATGTGTTAAAATCAATTCCTATTTTTTAAGAACATACATTTACAGTCCTATTATTTTCAGCATATACACTAGCAGATGCAGGATTCGACGTATGGCTTGGAAATAACAGAGGAAACATTTATTCAAGAAATCATACCACTATTCTACCAACCGATCGAAATTTTTGGAATTTTAGGTATATTATATATACACGAGGTTTTCCTCAGATTTTCTTATTTTCCTCTGTTCTTTCTTTATTTCAGTTATCACGAGCTCGGTATTTATGATATTCCAGCGATAATCGACTATATTCTTGATCGAACAATCTATGAAAAACTGTTTTACATTGGACACTCTCAAGGAAGCACGCAATTTTGGGTAACCATGTCGCAAAAACCAAATTATAATACAAAAGTTAAGTTAATGATTGGTCTTGCACCAGTAGCTTTTACTGGCAATATACGTGGACCACTTACAAAACTTGCTAAATTAACATATCTAGGAGTGGTAAGTTACTTAATTATCTTAATTTAATTACATAAAGATTAAAATAAACTTTATAATAGTATTGTAATAGTATTAAGATTAAAATAAAGTAATACAAAATTAAATTAAAGTAAGAAGAAAGAATTTACTTATATTACAGCGGATAGGTGAAGCGTTCGGTTATCCTGAATTACGTTCACGTTCTGCTTGGGGAAAGTTCGTATCGAATGTACTTTGCCGAGATACGACGGTGCTATTTTGCAATAACATTCTGTTCCTGGTCACTGGTTTTAAACAGACGAACTTGAGCGCGGTAAAAATTCAAAACTCGATTAATATTCTTTCATTAAGATGGTTATTCTATAAAAATCGGCAATTGAAAACATTCAAAATAATAAGATGAATATATGGTAAACTTTTATAGGTATGCTAAAAAGGAGTAAATTTTACAGTAAGGTTCAAATGTAATTTTCTATCATTTTCTGATATTATTCTTTTTTTTATATGACAAATTATACAAAAGTTCAAAAATTTGCAATTAAGACAAAAATTTAGAATATTTAGAATATTAAAATTTCAAAGATAGTTTTTCCATATCTTTACTTACAATACTGTAAATATACTTGCATGTAATTGATAGATACTTCTCTAGATTGAGCCTGATTTCTATTTTTTTCTTTAAATTATTTATAAAAAATTCCTAATAATTTAAGAATTATAATTCTTCTTTCATAATTTCTGAATACGAAATAATTTTTAGAGTAATATTAATTAAGTTATAGTCATTTTTATCTATTTTTTAAAAACAGAAAATACATAAAACTTTGTTTTGCATAAAACAAAATTTTATTTGACGAATCTAAATGTTCGTATAATATTTTATAAACATTGATTAATTAAATCATTATTTTGATTATTTAGATGAATTTATCAACAATTATGAATCATGTACCGGCCGGTGCTTCTTGGAAACAAGTAGTTCATTTTGGTCAAGGATACATACATCCAGGTATGTATTTTACTTATATGTATTTCATTATAAATAGCAATAATAATAATTTAAAAAAAATGACAAATATTCAATAATTTTAGATCATTTTAGAGAGTTTGATTATGACAATAGCGAAAAAAATTATAAAATTTACAATTCTCTAGAGCCACCGGAATATAAATTAAACAAAGTAACTGCACCGGTTGCTCTCTTTAGCAGTGATAATGATTTACTTGCAACGAAAACGGTAATATAGTTTTATATTTATTTTTCTTATAATATTTACATAAAAAATGTCACATCGTAAATAGTAAAATATTCTTATTCTAAGTAAAAAAATTTCATATTTTATTTATTAATATTTTACTAAAAATTAGTAGATTTTATTCTCTTATAGGATGTCGGTCTCTTGAAGAGCAAACTTGGTAATGTTGTATACCATAATGAAGTATCTATCAAATCCTTTTCCCATTATGATTTCATATGGGGAACATCTTCGGTGTCAGTTATATTTGAACCTATATTAAAATTATTATTATTTTACGAATAATCTTAAGAGGATCAAAAGGCAAACAAAAAATAGGTTTAATGTGATTTTTGTGTTCGATAATTTTAAATAAAAATATTATTAAAAAGAGGGTAGTAATAATATATGATTATATAACATTAAACGTCAAAGCTTACAATATAAATATAATTCGTTTAAATCTTTTGATTATAAATGAATTTTTTTCCATGACTAAACTAATCTCGCATTAATCGTTAGAGATCGTTTTTAAGGTACAGGAAAGATATACTAAAGAAAACTCAAAAGATCAGAGCTTTAAGGTGATTCCTCTTCCTTATTTAATATGTAAATCCTTTTCGAAAAAATACAAATAATTATTTTGATTGTAAAACTATTTTATTTTAGGCCCCCAACAACTTAAATGGTATGATTCAACAACGCAGGGTTTAAAATGCTATCATTAAAATTTATTTATACAGTATCAGATATTTATACAATATCAGATAACTGATAACAGTCAGACTACGAAACATAAGTTAAAATTTATAAAAATCCTATTAACGTGTTGTCATACATAATAACATTTCGATACAATTTGAAGTAGGTATCAATAAATCATTACCATTACTAAATATCACTATATCATCATCATAAAAAATGAAAGGAATGTTTTAATTGATTTATCAGTCACTTATTACAATAATCGAAGAAATGAATTTACTTCCATTTATTTCTATTTGATTTTCTTCCTTATATATCTCATTATAAACAAAGCATACTACACAAAATTTTCGTTTTGGTTTCGATTACATTACTAATTAGTCGATCATTTTGTTATAAAACAAAATGCACTACACGAAATTTTTATTCTGATTTCGTGATTATATAATTAACATTTTATTTAAACGTCGAACATTTCTCGACCGTTATTAGTTAATATTAATAATTACATCAGTGTACAAACTCGTTCTTCGACCGAATGTGATTTCAACGCGATGGAAAACTGAGTTTCGAACAAGGCATACATTGTAAAATTCCTTTCATGTATATATACATATATATATATATAAATAGATTGATATATATATATATATATATATAAATATTTATACAAATAATAACAAGCATTCTCTTTTCACTTTGAGCGCTAACAATAGAATATTTAAATAACATAGTTCTATAATTTTATCTTCGTAGTCTTTACTTGCAGCAGAAGCCATCTTTGTTTAATATATTTTTTCTTTAATTATACTCTGGGAACTTCCGTATGGAACATATTTTCCGACACACGAAAAAGTATTTTGTTGTAAAACAAAACACTCTGTAAATAATAAAAAATACATTGTGGATAAAATAAAAATAATTATAACAAGCAAAATATGGGCAATTTTTCCATATCTTTACTTACAATACTGTAAATATACTTGCATGTAATTGATAGATACTTCTCTAGATTGAGCCTGATTTCTATTTTTTTCTTTAAATTATTTATAAAAAATTCCTAATAATTTAAGAATTATAATTCTTCTTTCATAATTTCTGAATACGAAATAATTTTTAGAGTAATATTAATTAAGTTATAGTCATTTTTATCTATTTTTTAAAAACAGAAAATACATAAAACTTTGTTTTGCATAAAACAAAATTTTATTTGACGAATCTAAATGTTCGTATAATATTTTATAAACATTGATTAATTAAATCATTATTTTGATTATTTAGATGAATTTATCAACAATTATGAATCATGTACCGGCCGGTGCTTCTTGGAAACAAGTAGTTCATTTTGGTCAAGGATACATACATCCAGGTATGTATTTTACTTATATGTATTTCATTATAAATAGCAATAATAATAATTTAAAAAAAATGACAAATATTCAATAATTTTAGATCATTTTAGAGAGTTTGATTATGACAATAGCGAAAAAAATTATAAAATTTACAATTCTCTAGAGCCACCGGAATATAAATTAAACAAAGTAACTGCACCGGTTGCTCTCTTTAGCAGTGATAATGATTTACTTGCAACGAAAACGGTAATATAGTTTTATATTTATTTTTCTTATAATATTTACATAAAAAATGTCACATCGTAAATAGTAAAATATTCTTATTCTAAGTAAAAAAATTTCATATTTTATTTATTAATATTTTACTAAAAATTAGTAGATTTTATTCTCTTATAGGATGTCGGTCTCTTGAAGAGCAAACTTGGTAATGTTGTATACCATAATGAAGTATCTATCAAATCCTTTTCCCATTATGATTTCATATGGGGAACATCTTCGGTGTCAGTTATATTTGAACCTATATTAAAATTATTATTATTTTACGAATAATCTTAAGAGGATCAAAAGGCAAACAAAAAATAGGTTTAATGTGATTTTTGTGTTCGATAATTTTAAATAAAAATATTATTAAAAAGAGGGTAGTAATAATATATGATTATATAACATTAAACGTCAAAGCTTACAATATAAATATAATTCGTTTAAATCTTTTGATTATAAATGAATTTTTTTCCATGACTAAACTAATCTCGCATTAATCGTTAGAGATCGTTTTTAAGGTACAGGAAAGATATACTAAAGAAAACTCAAAAGATCAGAGCTTTAAGGTGATTCCTCTTCCTTATTTAATATGTAAATCCTTTTCGAAAAAATACAAATAATTATTTTGATTGTAAAACTATTTTATTTTAGGCCCCCAACAACTTAAATGGTATGATTCAACAACGCAGGGTTTAAAATGCTATCATTAAAATTTATTTATACAGTATCAGATATTTATACAATATCAGATAACTGATAACAGTCAGACTACGAAACATAAGTTAAAATTTATAAAAATCCTATTAACGTGTTGTCATACATAATAACATTTCGATACAATTTGAAGTAGGTATCAATAAATCATTACCATTACTAAATATCACTATATCATCATCATAAAAAATGAAAGGAATGTTTTAATTGATTTATCAGTCACTTATTACAATAATCGAAGAAATGAATTTACTTCCATTTATTTCTATTTGATTTTCTTCCTTATATATCTCATTATAAACAAAGCATACTACACAAAATTTTCGTTTTGGTTTCGATTACATTACTAATTAGTCGATCATTTTGTTATAAAACAAAATGCACTACACGAAATTTTTATTCTGATTTCGTGATTATATAATTAACATTTTATTTAAACGTCGAACATTTCTCGACCGTTATTAGTTAATATTAATAATTACATCAGTGTACAAACTCGTTCTTCGACCGAATGTGATTTCAACGCGATGGAAAACTGAGTTTCGAACAAGGCATACATTGTAAAATTCCTTTCATGTATATATACATATATATATATATAAATAGATTGATATATATATATATATATAAATATTTATACAAATAATAACAAGCATTCTCTTTTCACTTTGAGCGCTAACAATAGAATATTTAAATAACATAGTTCTATAATTTTATCTTCGTAGTCTTTACTTGCAGCAGAAGCCATCTTTGTTTAATATATTTTTTCTTTAATTATACTCTGGGAACTTCCGTATGGAACATATTTTCCGACACACGAAAAAGTATTTTGTTGTAAAACAAAACACTCTGTAAATAATAAAAAATACATTGTGGATAAAATAAAAATAATTATAACAAGCAAAATATGGGCAATAATTTTTCTTTGTAATTAAATTTTGTTTCAACAACGCTGCAACGAAAGATAATGCTGTTCGTTTCAATACCAATGATAGTAATAGTAATAATAATACTAACAGTAATAATAATAATAATAATAATAATAATAATATTATTGTTAAAAAATAATTACAATGTTTAAATTGGTACATATATATTCATTATATATATTTATATAAACGGAACAGCAAAACGAAGTAAAATAGTCTTTTTAAGTTATGTACATGCATAAATATATATACATTTAGTATACAGGGCGAGGCACTTAAAATAAAAGCAATAGAACCATGTTTTTTAACAGTAATAATTAAACTTTTTATAAGATTAGATTTCTTTTTATAGGATTTAGTATTACTATATTTCAAACGGTTAAGGGGAAAAGAACATAATAATTATAAAAATGTAAGTCGTTTTTGTCATTTATGTAATCTGTAATATTAATTAAAATTAATTAATATCTATTATATAAATACATAAAATTTGCTTTTATTTCATTTAAAATGTTAACTTTGAGGTACATTTCAACTTTCACTGAATGTGAGAATACCTATTTAGTAGGGTATGCATTGTACTTTTTATAATTATATTTCAGAAACTTTTGTTATTTTTTTTTTATTTTTATATTTTTTTGTTTTATTATTTTCATTGATATGTTTCATTTCTATATGAATAGATACTTATTTTTAAAGCAATATTTTATTTAAAAACACAAAAGTATGTTTCAGTAACAAAATTTATCAGATCATTCAAGTAGTAAAAAGGAGTAACTTGAATATTTGAATAACAGAAGTGAAACTTAGATTAAAAAATTATTTCTATCTATAATGATTACTAATACATGATAAAAAATAAAGCAATACTTCTTCATTCATCATCTGGAATGTATTATTTTATTAATGTACTTCAAGTAATATTTGGAATTCTAATCATTAATATTATTTCTTGTCCAGTACTTGCATTGAAAATAATATAATTTTTCAAATTAATTAAATTTAGATGTTCAATGGTTAAGAATAATTGCAAATATAGTATAAATATAGAAATGAGTCATGCAAGAAATAATAGAATTTAATTGATAGTTCTCACAAAATAAAAAAACTCTAGTAAAGCTACTTTTTACATTTTGTCTCAATTATAATGATTAAAAAATATATATTTGCATAATTTGTGCAATCTAAAACTAAGTCTTTTTAGTAGTTAAAGCCTACAAGTGTCTTCCTAATTATTGCATTCACTATTAAAAAAATATACATATATCATTAAGTTATTTTAGTTTAAATGTATTTATAGTATTGTATTTTTCTTTCTTTCATGAATCATTTGTTTAATTGAATAATTAAACTGTTACAAAGATAATTTAAAACAATATAAAACAGTTAGGCATTATTATATCATAATGAATTGGTTTTTGTAATTATTTGATAAATAAATACCACAAAGACACTAATTATGAATATCCACAACACTGAAATAACATATATAAAAAATATCATGTATATATATTATTACTACATACAAAAATGTTTTTTACAACTTAAAATTTTAAAATAAACATAATGAAAACTGCCATTACAAAAAGAAAATATTAGACTCCAGTGTTTCAATTTATAAATTTAAGTCGTAATAAATTTTGGAAAAAACGGAATAACATAGTTCATTCTATCACGTATTAATTATAAGTAGATTTGCTTGATGACTTTTTAATAAAGAAAGAAAATAAATATACTTTCAGAAATAAGAATAATTTAATCGTTTAACATAAAATATTTATTTTGATTCATTCATCAATTCAACTCAAAAATCTTAATTGAAATTCATAAGAATCAAAATGTCTCACTCTGCATAGTATAGTATACATATCTGGCATGTTAGAAATGAAAGAAAAGTCGTTAATTTTCTATATAACTTCTTTCATATATTTTGGCAATTTCAGTTTCGTGTGTGTCCTTATTCTAAATACCTTTCAGATTACCTTAATTTTTATGTCAAACCTTCGTAATTCTCTATTTTTTTCCAAGATTTTTTAACGCCTTTTTATATTTATAATAATCACAGGAGCGAATAACAGCAGTAAACAATTTTGGTACAAAGTAAAAACAAAAATATAACACGAAATACATGAGTAGATAATTAGAAAATTATTAAACATTTTCCTGAACAGTAATGTAAAATTGCACAAAATCAAAGTACTTATATTATTTACTCAAAACATTTTCAATTAGAAATACTTTAATTCGTTAATTGGAAATTAATGAAAATCTTATTCTTAGTCTTGTCAATTAATTTTACTATAAGGAGAAATATTAACACAAGTAACAGTAAGTGTGGAATTTCTTTATTTCCTTAATTACGTAGACGGTGATCTAAGTATTGCAGTAGGTACAAAAAAATATGGCAGTGGAAGACCTTTTTATGTTACTATAAATACATTTGGTTTATAAAAACGATTAAACAGCTACAATTTCTATTAAAAATGTGGAAGTAGTAATAGAAATTGGAAAATATAGCACTTGGACAAATTAATTCATTTAAAATACAAAATTAATGCTTATAATTTTGTGCAATTTTAACTTTTTATGTATTAGAGTCTCATAAGTTGAATACATTATAAAGATGATTATATTTTTTATAGCTTTTCAAAAAAAAGGTTTCTTATAGAATGTATTAATAAATATCAATGTGATTTTATTTGTAAAAGAAAGCTTTATACCAAAATTATTTACTGTATAACTTTCACATCCTTGCAACACAAACAAAAACATTAGAAAAAATTTATAATACTATATTGTGATGTGATTAAGATTCCTTTTTCCTTTTTTTTTCTTTCTTTCTTTCTTTCTTTCTTTTAATATACATCGTGATCAACAGTTTCCTTTTAAAAGTGTATCACTAATACATCATAGGTTTAAATTGTTCATATATATATATATATGAAATATATATATATAAAAAAAAGAAAAATGTAGAAAAAAAAAAATTAATTTTTTTAGAAATTTTATACTTACGTTTGCTATATTTTTTCAAACGTAATTAATCTATAATATACAGCATTTTTCTTAAATAGATATTAGTTCGTTAGAAATATTTTGTTGCTATTGTTTTTAGTGAATACGTTCATGCAAGCGATATATTAGATCGTACAATGTTTGTAAATATTAATAGAACGACTGCACAACGGAATGACATATTACCTACGAGATTAATCGAAGCAGTCAGGTACATTTTCCGTTTAAATTCATTTCTCTTCTAAAAATAGCTGAAAATAATACCCATTAATACGCTTAAGTTGCAGCACCATGTGAAAGAAGAGTTCAACACGATCGTATATAATATGTGGCGCAAATTAAATACTTTTTTCTCCAATAGTACAAGGATTCTGTAAACTTTAAAGTTGTTACAGGTTTCAAATCTCTTGCAATCTACAAAATTTATATTAACTATTGATTAGAGGCAATCTCGTAATATTAAATAAGCCTTATTTAGCTTAATTTAATGGAAGGCAAAACATTTGCTTCAGTAGTCCTTTCTTTGGACTTTCATCTTCCTCATCGTCGTAATTCTGTTCATCATCATAGTTACTAATGATCTCATTGTTATTGCTAAAGCCATACGTTACGTCTGTGATACTTAGAGAACTGGAGCATATCGGACTTTCGTATCGGAATGGAAAAGGTGGTGATAACCGATATTCATTATAATTATTGTCGTTCTCATTCTCTTCGGAGTACGTCATTAAAAAAACATTATTATGATAACCTCGATTTCTTGAGCTGATGTTCAATAGGGGATCGATTCGAAGCTTCGCAAGTTTGTCTTGTAATTCGTACATGTAACACGATTGTAACTGTTGATTATGAGTGTGACATGGCACACTAACAAACGGTTCTTGTCACACACAGTCTTCCAAAGACATAAGTAACGGATTCACATACTCAAAACCCTCGAATTCACTTTGATCTATCTTTTCGATCACTCTCCTGAAAAACATTTATTGTTTTTGTAAGTCACAAGTTTATCTTATTATTTTCTGTAAAAGAATATATTTTTATTTAGAAATGTATGTTCTGAATAATGATTTACAGAATACATTGTTGTATACCTCTTGAGAGAATGAAAAACTTTAAATGCATTTTCTTTGAAATAACATTTCAAATTAACGACGTACTTTTCTCAGTAACTATTAAACAAATTAACTTGTATTTCTGCATATATATAAAGTAAACAAATAGTTATCAGTTAGATCAAAATTAAATTGGTATTTGTAATTTAAAAAAACAGTCACATACTTTTTTAAGTTGTTGCTGAGATTTTAAACTAAATATAAAACTTAATATTAAAAATAGCAGCTTGAAATTTTTTGTTTTGTTTTAAAATATGAAGATAAATTAGATAAATTTTGTGTAATAAAACTTACGGATCATCCGGTGTTAAGTGAACTGGTTCATCTGTAAATTCCGGTGGGAAGTTAGCTAAGTCACGGTCAGAATCTAATCTTGGTTTGTAAGGTGGTGTTACTTGTTTTTGCTCCAACTGAAAATGCATTAATAATATTTCAGGTAAAAAATATATTTCTTGTATAATTTATTTATTATATATAGTAGTTCCTATATGTGATAGTGGTAATGAAAGTAATATTCTCATTAAATTAAAATTAATCACTGGCTATAAAACTATAATCAATATCAAAATTACAATTAATTGAATTAATCCTATCTTTATCCATTACTATGGTGACAACATTATGCTAAACAGGATTAATCTAGACTATATAACTACTAACATCACACATTCAAGGACGCTATCTTATAATTATTTTCTAACAATTTTTATGGTCTCATTATATCTATGTTAATTCTTTAATTTAATAAAAATTACCATTTCCCAATCTATCGCTTTGAAGAAAGAATGAGTAATAATGTCAAGGAAAGCTGTTGGCCTCTTGCCACAACCTAATCTTTCAGTTGGATCTTTACAAAGGAAACCTTTAAGCACAGATGCTGCTTTGACCGATAACGACCTTGGTATACGAATTGTCTTCTGTAAAATAACTTGGAATAGATAATCTTCGGTATTTTGGTCAGGATTTTCTGACGCGCCCGCGATATCAAACGGGCTACGACCTGCAAGCATTTCATACAGAAGTACACCAAGCGCCCACCAATCTACAGAGAAACTATAATCTTCACCCCGCAATATTTCAGGCGCTATATAATTTGGAGTGCCACAAAATGTAGCGGTTGTATCACCCTCTCTAACGCCTTCTTTGCACATGCCATAATCAGTCAATTTTACGTGTCCTTCGTGATCAAGCAACACATTATCCAACTTTAAATCTCTGTATATAATACCTATAAGAAAAGTCATTAATTAATTTATATGTTGATATGAACAACAATTAAATTATATTTAAAACAGATAAAAATATATGAAATGTTGATAAAATTGTATCATATGCCGATACAAATAAATATAAACAAATTATTGCTTTTCTTTGAAATACATTTCACTATTGAAAAGATTACAAATTATAATATAATTATAATTAATTTATTAATATAATATTATTATATTATTGTAATAATATATAATATTATTGTGGTATTAATATAATTATAAAAAGCTGAGAAAATACTTGCGAGATATTTCCAAAGAAAAACTAGCTTTTATATTTTCTGAAAACAATGCAAGAAATTTTTTGTACCTTTTTCGTGTAAGAAATTTAAAGCAAGACTAATCTCAGCTGCATAAAATCTGGCATGCTCTTCCGGAAGTCGGCGTTGTCTTTGCATATGAAACATCAGATCACCACCACGTACAAACTCAATTACAAAGAAGAGACGAGAAGGTGTCTGAAAGCATGAGTGAAGTCCCACTAGGAAAGGATGATTCGAGGCGGTCTCAAACACGTGTTTCTCTGTTTGAACCCAATCGATGTCCTCATCATCCGTTACTAAGGCTTTTTTGATTACTTTCATCGCGTAAATCCTCTTTGTACGCTTCAATTCTACCATCAAAACTTTCGCGTAGGAACCACGACCGATTACCCTAATCAGTTCGAAATCGTTTAACGAATATTGCCTCTGCATATCATTGGAATTGTCCGCATCATTTAACGTATCTAACGGCAACTCCTCCCTTTCTTCACTTCCGGTTCCTATAAATAGATTTAATTTAATAGATCATAATAATTCAGTAATAATTCAGTAAATAAGATAAGAAATCTTTTCATAGTTCTCAATAGGTAAATAAATTTCGTTTATATATTTAATACTACCAAATAAATATTCAAATGTTCTTACGATTGCGTGAATGCTCCTCAATAATTGGCGAATCTGAGATCTCATCCTCGAGATGAGTTACCGGACTGCATTGAACAGAATCAAGCTGTTGTTGATCGCCATTCCTGTCGATCGTCTGCGATTCTGCGCTTGGCATCTGTTGCTGTTGCTGTTGTTGTACACTCAAACATGGTTTGCGTACTACTTTGTGACATTTCTTGTGTACCAGCAGCTTGCATTGAATGCACTTGAACCCCTGCCGACCTAGTCCCCAAATCCGATCTTGGCAGAACGCGCAAAACGCTCGCTAAAGAGTCAAAGAAGAAATTACTTGTAAACGTAACCATTTCCAACTTTTGGAGCTAACTCGTGTCAAATCTTGGGAACAAGAAGAATGCAAGCTAACGTAATTGAAAGACTAAATTATTGTTTGGAGCATTTCATTTAAAGAATAAAATATCAAAATTTGTTTCAAATTAGAATTGTTTCAGATAATGAAAACATTAAATACGTTTTAAGAATAATTCTACTTCTTTTGTTCTTCTTCTTTTTTATATTTCAATTAATTTAGTAACCAATATAGATATCAGTATACCATTATATATCAGTGAAAATAGATATTATGTAGCATTTCCATTTGTATAGTCTCTTTTGTTAAAAACACACACACAGAAAATTTGATAATGAAGTTTTTTAGATACACATTGGAACTCATTAGAGCCTTATTATACCTTATTTCTTCTTAATTATTACCTACAAATATTTTATCTTATCTAACTTTAAATTACTTGTGATAAGGAATTGTAGTTTATAATATAATAAATTAATATAAAAAATAAAGCTCACTACTTATACAATGTTACAAATTCTAGCATATAATAACTCACATTCTTACTTGTTTACACTAAACGTTACACATTAACCATTTACTTCTGAAAATGAAATAACACAGACCTACATCATTCTCATTCTTAAGCATTCAAGGGAAGAATCATTATCAGAATTGACATTCAATGAATAAATATACAAAATGATCGTCGATGTTCACTAGCCAGCAAGTTCCTCTGATCAGGAATTACAATCTATCCACCACGATGAGATGTTGCGACTGGAATGCTGATGTGTTGCAAGGATGACACAGTACATCGTGCGCGATTGATGCAAATATGTGAGAAATAATATGAAAAAATGAGTGAAAAGAAAGGATAAAATGCGGAAAGTAACAATGGGGCAATAAGTTGAATGAAATGATGCTTACCCGATTGAAACGTTTCGCCTGAAATATATGACCATTCACTCGGTACAGCTTCCTCCATCTACGTGCGCCACGTCTGTAGATGCTTCCTTTGGAAAATGAAAAAACATAAATATCACGAGAGAACCAGAGAATCGATCTTCAAAGTCTGCCCTGAATATTTTTCTCAGTTTAATTTCTTTACTTGTTATTACTTTTCTTTCGGAATGTATAACTTTAACAGATTTAATTGATTGGAAAAGACGTGTTACCGATATTACACGAAGCCTATCGTACAAAGCTGTGCATGCCTGTTAACAATGCTAGTTTCTGATTAATTACAAGGAAATGTGTATCTCGATTAATGTTAAAATATGAGTATATCCTCATTGGAATACCGCACTGAAATATCTGCAATAAAACTGCGACTGGCCTAAGTCCCTCCATATTTCCCGACCGTCAAAACTATCGTATATCTTGACAAGGGCAAAACAATTGTACTAGAGAATTTGTAAACACGATAAGAACACCTCAATCGCCAGAAACCCGCGGTATTTAAAATGGAAAATATTGGGATACATAAAATCGTACTGATCCGTGACACGAACCATTCGTTTAGACTCTGCTGGTACGTTAATATAATGCATTACACCTGATCCTTAATTTATACGATATATGAACAAAATCGTGATAATATCTAATGATACTATCGTTGTTATTATTATTATCATTATTATTATTATTAGGTCATCCTATAAATAACACGAGTACTTTTCTTTTTTTGAAAGGGATAAAATAAAGCTAATTATATATAATATTAATAATCATTAATATATTTTTTTAATTTTCTACAATGGTTTATTATAAATCAATTAGTTGCTCAATTCCTCTGTCAGGAAATTTTTATTTCGTCGCTAATATTTTAGGAAAATCCCTTTATTTACGGGATGACCTGATATTACAATAATATCTTAATACACAATTTTGTTGATAAAACTATTTTATACTGATAGACGGCAAAAAGACAAAATCAAGTTTAATTTTTGACAATTTTATACGTATCATTTGTACATTCAGATATTATTAAATTTCGAAATATCGTTCATTCGAAAGACGTGTAAATTACAAAGAAAACAAATTAGCGAAGTCTTAGAACCGATTCTTCATTGTTAACTATTAATCTATATTAATCTTTACCGTAAAAATTGAGAATCGGGTGTGCGTATATAATATATATATATAAATTCGTGTAAATGATGAAACTTAAAATAAGCGCATTAAGATCGTCAATGTTCCATGAAAACTAAAACAAATTTGCTTGATTCTAAATGCAGCAATAGAATATTCGAAAAGAAAAAGCGTCGGCGGAGAGAACGATTCTTTTAACAATTCCCTTTCCTTTTCTTGAGGTGAATCGGTTATAGCCAGGCTACTCTTATTCCTTCGTGAGAAAAACTTAAACTTATCATTAATTAAACAACTCGCTGGCTAGTATGGTACAATGTTGGAAATCGCTGAATTATGGAAACTGTATGTATGTTAGAAATGGCACGTTAGGAAAAACTGTAACAAAAATAAGTTATTTTTTAATTTCATATCCTACATTATTATTATATCATTTGCATTGGAAAAGACAAAAGAACACGCAGTTTAGAGTCGAAACACTAAGCGCAAATATCGAAGAAACTATTCCTTGAAATAAAGGAAAGAAAAAAAGATTATTTAATTTGGATATTTTACCTGTACCCTAAAAATTGACAAACATGGTAAATCAAGCATAATCAACTTGGTATATACATAATCTAATATAGATTGCTGATACATAGAGTCGCTAATTGTAGTGTACTCTGAACGATCAAAAAACCAGCTGTAAAGCACGGAAAGAATATCTTATGAATATTCAACCATGCAAAACAGGCATCACTATGGTAATTAGCCCAGGGATCCATTCATTTTAATGACTAAATTCATTACTATTTTTTTTTGTTAAATTAATACGCTTTGGGTTACGTACATTTATAATGGTTAACGTGACTTTCTTTGCCACTTTTGTCTGATCTACAAGAAGAAAGATTTCTACTTTAGTTCGAGAGGAAGATCATCTTCTATAGGGACTACTTGAAACGACATAGCACACATTCAAAAACGAACAAGTAAAGGATTGTTAAATTTAATAAAAATAGCTAAACTGAATTTTCTAAGGATACACACAACATGCTGGAAAATTGTTGTTAAATAAAGGTTTAAGGTAAGGTTTAACATTAATCGTATTAACAAAACGAGCCGTTTTCTTCTATGTCATGAACAACAATGTGAATATGAAAACACATCATGCTGTCAAATTTTTTATATGCAATCCAGAAAACTTGATGAAACAGAAATCTGTGAGATCAAATGTTTAATGTTTAACGATACGATAACAGTAAAATATGTTTCGAATACCAAGCACACTGAGCTGCTAGCGATTTGTACCTTTACAACTGCGAAGTATTTTATTGTAAACGGATAACATAAATATGCAAATATGAAATATACGAGCTGTAAATATTTCTTAATCTTGGTATTCGTTATATCGAAAATTACATTTAATATAAATAATAATTCAAAGAGAATAAAGAAAATGTTTCGTAAAGATGCACAATTGATGTACAATATATATCACACCTTAATGATATAACGTATATGATACAGTATATCGAACACCTGAACTACGTCACAATATTTTTTCTCAATATTCAATCTATTTATATCAAAATCATGAAAAAATGTATCATTTTGATAGCTAAATATGATAACCGCTAAACAAAATATGCATTTTATCGATCCGTAGCACAAGGAATATTAACGAATAAAAATAGAAAATTAAAGAAAATGTTCAAAATTAATTTATCTCTATTTTTCATTACATTGCCAATTTATACGATATTATGTAAGATTTCACGTCGAGCGTGAAATAAACTATGCATAAACTTCTATCTAATGGATCTTTACAACGTTATAAATATATATTTGAGGAGTAAACAAATTTTAAAAGCGCGTTAAACGAAATAAAACGTCCAAACGTATTTAAACTTAATGCGATTCTAATTTTTCGATTATAACGTATAATACGTATTCTTAAATATTTTTTTTAATATTAAAACTTCTTTTAATATAAACATACGAACACGTCGTATTTCATTTGAAAATTATTAAGCTTTAATACGTTTCTACAGAATTTGTATTGAAACGAGATTATAAAGATTACAGTGTTCCTTTACGGTGAAATCACACCTCTATGTGTAGCTACACATGACGTTCTTGATTTGATTAGATCATAATTGACAATTAAGTTATGAAACATCATCTTACAATGTATAGTTAGATACTATATCGTCAGAAGTCGTTATCCTACCTGTGTTGCTTTTTTCTCTTTAATAAATAATAGTTAAAGCTTTTAAATCATAAAAGATCACTAATTATGAAAAATAAAAAAGCAATAAGTATGAAAATATTAGCAAGTAAGATTAATAAAAATAGACACAAAAAGTACAGTATTTTCACTTAATAACTTCATTAGATGTATACTTTGATATCCAAATGTCCGCCAATCCCAAGATTATAAAAATTAGAATATTTTTTAATGGCGAAACCATTTCTCAGTGTTCTCAACGTTCGTTTTCGATTTGATTAGAGCATAATTGAAACTTAAGTTATGAAATAACACATGATTATACACAGTTGCGGGAAAGATTGAAGTTATCTTACCTTTACTGCTTCTTTTCTTAGTAAATAATAATTAAAAGAAAATTTTCTTTGCTCCCACAAATTTTTAGATTACAAGATGTATACGTGTATAAAAAGTGAAGTACCTTCATTCAATAACTTCGTTAGATGCGTTTTAATATCCGTAGGTACGAAATTACAGGCGACCCCAAGTTTCCAGGCCATAATGTACGTATATCCACTAGCCAAAAATGTATAATAAAGTTCCTTTCAAAAGTAACCCGTGAAATATCAGATCAGTTAAACGATGTGAAACGCAAATAATTGAATCGAATGTTCGTATTATATGTAAAAGTAAATCCAAATACTAACGTAGATCATGCATTATGTATAACGTCATCATAACGTTATAACTGTCTCTCTGTCCAGCTAGCCTTAGGACACCATGGATCAAGACGCGATCTTCGGATGGTATATACCCAACGTGTTCCAGCACTCGCGTCTACCAAATCGTGTACAAAGATAACGATCTATATTAGATTTCGGAAAGTAGTCACCTGCCGCGAAGTATATCCTCTACTGTTACTTTTATTCCATAACCTGATCATAAAACGCGGCCCGATAACGGATAACATTGAATTCAATTGATGCGATCGTTGTTATCGCTTTTATCGGCGTAGGCTTGGTTAGACACAAGAGTAGCTGCAACGTTGTTTTCAATGTCCGCCGTTACATTTAGCTTAAACAGCGCGTTAATCGATCGTCCTAAACTATCGAGCTGAGCCCAATCTGACGAATTAAATGAATTCTTACACGTTGTTCCAGTTTGCACGCCGAAATAGAGACTAATCTGGGGAGAGCAGTCGAATAATTTAAGGGCATGTAATGGCCGCAATACAGTAAACAGAAAATATATTAGCTACGGAAATTAATTAATTTCGAAGGAGATGCGTCGAGATAAAGATAAGTATTTATATCGAGCCTAAATTTTGTCAACTTATTTTAACGCTGGAACACTCGTTACATACTATCGATAATTGGAAAAATCAAGAAATCGGAAACCAGTCATGTCAATTGGTCTGATAGTTTCAGCGTTGAAATTGAAAATGTTTTTGTCGTCCATTTTGACGAAGACTTCAACATTTTCATAGAATGCTACGAAGTTTGGAAATTTTCGAATTTTAAATCGACAAATTCTTTTACAGATATTCTGACAGGATATAATCATTGCGAAACCTGTACATCTTCCCTGGAATTAATTTTTGTAAGTAATAAGAAATTTGTTATCTTATTTAACACTACGAACTTTTAAATTACACCTTATTTTTTTGTTCATTCTAGGTTTTATCACCAACAGGGACTCGTTTCAGGATGATTGGAAATTTCAGTGGAACACAGACGAGAGTCGTTTTATTAGCACTCGCGTGGCCGTTAGTAACTCCTTTTATATCAGACTTGGCCAATCCGTAACATTATTCTGTGCACTCTTCGAAATGACCTTTATATAACTGGTAATATCAGCAAAACTGCATTTATATTTTATATAACTATATTTCTTGTATCTTTAATTCATAGAATTTGTTATATAATTATATTTTAGTATTTAATCTATAAAAATCTAATAATCTCAAAGATAAACAGATATTTATCTGATATAGGTTCATGAGTAAATAAAATAGACTGCTTTGAAATTTCATTATTTTTATTTTTATAGTATTATATTATATTATGTTTACTTAAGAAATGTTAAAATATCAATCATTCCAGGGAATAATTGGAATTGACTAGACCCCTTTTAGACTCAAATATTGCTTTCCTTCTACCCATTTTTGTTCTTTCATTTTATATAAATTGAGATTCTTAGTGCCCCTTAAATATTTCTATTTGAAACCTATAAAGCGTACTATAAAGTAAACAGTGAAGATGTTAAATGTTAAATTTAAAGCAATATTGTATAATATGCTTTATAAGAATTTAATTGCATGGATTGTTTTTCTGTAATTGAAATATTTTGAGTATTTTGGAAAGAATTTTTAATAATTTCAGAACTGGAAAATTGATTTGTATAATAATCCTTCTTTATATGATAATATTAAATAATTATGCCTAGAAATTTGTACTCCTTGAATAGTTATAGATTTTTCGTATAAGTGAGATAAATGCAGAGATGGATGTTCATTGGTTCAATTTAAATTATTTCAATATTTAGAAACGTCGAAATTATTCGAGCAAATCAACATTTTCTCACTATTCAAACGATTAAATTATTTGATATATATTTAGATCGATTCAAAGTATCCAGACAACTTTGAATATTTACATAAAACTTATAAGAACGAAAAATCAATCATTAATAATACATGAAAGTATTATAAACAATAATTATAAACGAAATTTACTAGCATTCTATTCTTCATAAAATTTATCAACAATTTATTCTTTTACAAATCATATAAATTATACATAACTTAACAATGAAAAGCAATTAATTACAATATTGTATACTAGAATAACTATTAGTGAAATATTCGTAATGAAAATAATTTTCTCCAACGTCAAATACATACTTTATTTTATTCCTCTTTTATTTTTCACGAAGGGTAGAATCTTTTACTTACTATGAACATATTCTCTACCTTTTTCTTTTTTTAAATTTCAATTTAACATTTGTTTTGTTCAATTGTTCACTTCTGTAGTAATACTGTTATCATTTTTCGACAACCATGGACAGTTTTTTTTCCATTTCCCTTATCAAATTCTTTAAGCTAGATTAAAAGTATATATGTATAATATCTTTTACGTGTTTGAAAAAAAATTGATCGATAGATATCAATAAACACATTGATTTCCTAATTAATGAAATAAAGCTGCGAGATATTTGAAATAAATTCAGTTCTATTTTTGAAATATATATCAAATAATGCATCGTTTCTATTCATCTGAAATATACTCTTTGCCGACAAAGATTTACCAAAATTCTTTTCATTTTTACCATCAAAAATAACAATGAAGAAAAGTAAAGAAAAAAGAATAAAAGGAAAAGTTTAAAGGTCACATAAATTCAAAGGATAAAAGTAATTCTTTCGTGCTAAGGAATACAATTTTAAGATCATCTTTGTTTTTTCAAGTGAGCTTTCATTGTTTTATTCTTAATACAATAGCCTCCGGCATACGGTAGAACTGTGTAACTTTTATATCCACTACATTCTTCTTGTCCTTAGAGAAGGGAAAAAATATATGTTGCTTTTACTGGTAGGTTTTCCTTAATTAAATATTCTTCTAGTTCTTCCAATTTTAGTCTATTTATTTTTATGCGAATTGAAAAAATTCGATATTATATGATATTAATTTAAAATATAAGTTATGTAAAGTATATAAAATGAAAAGTGAAAATATTTAAGAATAGGAACTATTGCAAAATATGTTCAATTTGTGAATTATTTAAATAGCACCATTAATAGTAAAAGATACTCAATAATATATACGATGATAGTCAACTAAAAACTTTCAAACCTACATTATTCTAATTAATCAAGGAAATTAATTTCTTTTTCCTTCCAAAATGTTCCAGTTTTTGATAAACTGATTTTTTATATTATTTTTCGAAGTGAAAAATATTCAACTAAATTTTCGAACCCAGATTGGAACCTTCTGCTTGGATTTACGATTTAAAAAGGTGAGTATCACGATCATAGTTATAATATCATAATAAAAATATATTCTAATCTTACATCTAATTTCAGGTACCCTGGTCCATGTTCCAAAAATTTTGGAATTCTGTAATTATTTCGGCACATGAAAAAGCATTCTTTGGATCTATCAGCATCACGTATCGAGAAACTAAAGCCGTAATGTTCTGCAGGTAAAACTGTGTTAATTATCACTGAGTTAATTGCTTGCTATCTAGCAACAGCTATAACCGAACAGAAGCAAACAGAAAATCTTATTTATAGGATATTTTATATCGACACTCTACCTTTCGGTTTTCATCACTTTGTATAAACAGGTATTAATCATTTTATATTTACTTTTATCCAAATATCGATCATTTTCTACAGAAAAGAAAAGTAGGAAAAAGATCGGTAAATGTGATAATAATCATTTATGAAGAAACAGTTTGTTAAAATATTATAATAATCGTATCCATAATTCGTTTAAAAATGTTCTTCGCATTATAAATGCCAAGATTATTTTCTATCCAAATGAAGGGAAAGATTTTTCTATCGAATAAAAATTAGTTATAGAAAATAATTAAGATAAATCCGTAGAATGAAACGTGTAAGTAAAGTCGGGAGACATTTCAAAAGAATATATCCAGTGTTGAATGCAAAAGCACATTGTGACACTTCTAAAAATGGGACAATATCAAACAGAATATAACGATAATGGATTACATTTCAGAAATCATCGGATATGGGAATAGGCGAAAAGGCACGGTGGCACAGATTAGATAAGCGCACATGTAACCGCTGTATCAAAAGACACCCAAGATTCTTCGCGATCGATGTTCAACAATTCTATCCGAGTACTCAAATCGGCGGGCTAAATCAAGATTATGCTCGATCGGTAACAGTAAAAAAAGACAGCTGTTCGCCTAAATCAATAACTATATAAGGTACGTGCAATATGAAATCAAATAAAGAAACAAGGGGAAAGAAAGAAGTAATAAAACAGTAACTGCTAGTAATAAAAACAGAGACGTTCGCTAGTATCGTGCTTCGTTGCAACGGAATCGACGAAATTCAATCGTCTTTAGCGAGGAGCCAGGTCAAGACCTACCCCAGGTGATGTCGTTGAACCAAAATTGCGAAGATCCAGTTGTATCGTCGATCAGAGACGGCATAGGTCCTGCAGAATCCAGTGGTGGATTGCACAGTCCATGAACACGACACGTACTAGTCCCTATAGCTCGATTAGCGGTCGCGTACATCATCTCCGTCGCGGTAACTTCGTCGATATCAATCTCGGACGTGTCATCGATATCCTTGTCGCATAAAAGTTTCATCCTGGATGAGGAGGTGCCAGGTTGCGCGAATATATCGTCACGGGGACTGTTATGGGGTGAACATTCACTTCGTAGACCGGTAATCGGTTGCTCGTATTCGGCTGAATCGCTGCTCGGCGATGGTGGATACGTGCTGGTACTCGATTTAATAGGTCGATCCCTTGGTAAAACTTGAATACCAGTCGAAGAGGTGGAGGGTCCTCCTTCGACGACAGGAAGTATCCTACGCCCAACAGTGGCCGCAGTCGCAGCTGCCGCCGTAGCCGTGGAATAAGAATAGAAGGAACCACCCTGTATCATCATACTGCAGGGTGGTTCCTCCACTGCGGCACCGGCACCAGGCCCTGTAGAGACGGCAGAGGAGGAGCTGACACCAGTAAGCTCACCTTGTACTTGCGGTACACCGTATATCGCCTGCGAAACTCCCGTTTCAGCTTGAAGATACTGTTGTTGCTGATGCTGCTGCTGTTGCTGTTGCTGATGCAATATCTGATGCTGTTGTTTATCCTTTTCACGACGAGGTGACCGACCCCGATCGCTAACTGATGTTGCGCTCCAATAACCCCACGCCATTTCGCGAACAATTTAGCCGTATATTTATCTTGAATTTCTTTTATCCTGGCTGCCTAATATCGTCCATCAACAGTCGTACACCACTGGCTCCCGTCTTTTGCTCGCTATTACCCTCTAACTCCCACCCCAAGTTTTCCCTACTTTCCTTCCTACGGGTACGTGCGCACACACTCTCTTTCTCTCTTTCTCTCTTTCTCTCTCTCTCTCTCTCTCTCCCCCTCTCTCTTTCTCTCTCGCTCTCTCTTTCTCCTTCTTGCTCCTCTGCCGTCCTCTGTCCTCGTCTTTTACCGTAGCCCGACCTCTTGCAGGAGAACCCGGCTGAGAATGCGACGAGTCAGCGCGATCGATGCTGGTTTATCGCCACTTTTGCAACCTCTTCACTGACAACAGCGATTGTTAAAGGTATGCTATCACAACCTCTCGACATGAATCGCCAACCATTGAAATAGTCTGCCGCAAGCCTCTCCTCGGAGTGCTGTTATCGTTCGCCAACGTTTCAGGCTAATCAACGTTCTATCTTTCTCCTGTTTTGCCTCGAGTCGAATTTGCTTCCCCTTTATTCCGTATTTTATCTTGTTTCCTCCTGTTTCTCTCTTTCCTTTTTTTTTATCCTTTTTCCTTATTTTTCCCCCCTTTTTTTTTTTTTTTTTTTGTCTTCGATATCCTTTCTTTGATTAGATCCGTTGAACTATCTTCTCGCGTTTAAACGCATCTCGACGATGAGTTCGAATGTACTTCCGTGAGGAAACTTCGTGGCTAATCGGTCCGCGTAAGAATATCGACTGCTGCCGCGGGATTCGTTAACTACCGCCGCCGCCCGACGCGCTTTACTCCACGAAATGCGCAAACGCTAGAATAAAGGCACACTCTGGAAAACAGGACTGATTTCTCTTTAACAAACTACCCAACCCTTTTCCCTTCTTTCCCGCCCATTTCCCGTGCTTCTTCTTCCCCTTCTCATTCATTCCTCGCTCTCTCATTTTCACTATTCGTCACTTCTTATCATTTCTTTTTTCTCCGATTTCCATCCTCCGTTTTCTTTCGCACGATCCTCGTGTTCCTTATTACTTCCCTTATTGTAAATTTAATCGTTTTGTGTCGCACATGCTCCTTCCTTTCCGATGAACACTCCCTTTCTTATAATTTTAATTATGTTCTTTATCACCTTCTGCTGGCATTTTGACTAACTTTTTTTTCGGTATATTTGAAAGTTGCGTATATGAATAACACGTAGAACAAATGTTAATTATTAAGTATACACGAATAATCACGAAAAATAATGGTACGTAAGAAGCTACATGATTTCAGAACTGTCGATGACTGTGCTTTTCATTAATTATAAAGGCGTTTATAACTGTTTCTAAATGTTCGTTGAATGCAGAGAAAAGCACGAGGGAAAACAACGCCGTTACTTAATCAAGTTCATTAATAAATTAAGCGCTTAGCTTTCCATTTATATTATAGTAACGTCATACGAAACAATATGTAACCCTTTTGTAAACATTAAAAGTCAAAATGTGATAATATTTCATGAAATACATTGTAAAGTACAACAAATTAAAAAGTACTCTGACACGATATTTCAATTATACGTATTAAATATTAAAAGTTGAATTTGATTTTTTGAATTGCTCAAATATTATTAAATAGAAGATATAAAAATGGACATCTACAAGTATTTTTGTATTTCGTAAATATTATTTACACGTTGTCCGTTAACATGAATAACGCTTTATTTTTAAATATTCTACTGATTCTGTAATTGTTCTTTAAGTAAAGATACCAAAATTTTGATTCTTATATTTTAACGATTGTTATGCATATTATTTAACAGTATAACAAATATTAATATTAAAAATATAAATATTTAAATAATGTAATACAGATATTTCAATTTTATAATAAATTTTGTGATTGTATAATTTATATTTTATGTACAAAAGATACATTTTTAAATATTGTTTCAGATAACAGAATTTTTTTAATACTTGAATATAAATACCTAATTAAGTTCATTTAATACATGATTACTTCAATCATAAATTATAAATTAAAAGAGGAAAATTTGGCAATAATTCGAGATAAAATCTTTGAGTTAACATTAACTTTAAGATTATAGTACTTCAATTTTTAAATATACTTTCAATTTCTATTTATATTACTAAAATCCAGTGTATTGAAAATGAATTCACATTACATATACAATGTAATTTGCACTACAATTTTCAAGTGTACATTTTTAAAAACTACTATATTTATATACTTGTATACATACTTTGTTCAAATTTTAAAAGGGCATTTCGAATATTTTAAAACGTATTAAAGTGTTAACAAAATGTTAATAAACAGGTGACATAATTTAACATATGATACATATAATAAATAATTATGTGATATTATTTATATATTTGATGCACACAAAAAAGTATATTCTTTTAACATATGTACATTTATAAAAAATACTTACCATGTATAGTTATTTCAGTATCCTTTTCCAGTTCATGAAGACGAAGTGCTTCATCCAGTTCATGTTGAGAAGCAATCCTACATGGATCACCTTCATCATCAACCCATTTCATTGTAAATTGATCTGGTCCTGCAGCACCAAATCCACATATTGTACGCATTTCTTCTCGTAGTGTGTCTACTGAAATGCCAGGAGTGATATACGTAATCTGCACTTCCCTAATACAAACATAAGTCATTATAATTTTTTCTTTCTTAAAAAATTTCAAATGTAATAAAATTTCCTTGGTTATTTACCATAATATATTAGTAATATAAGAAAATTAGAACTATAAATTACTCCTAATGTAAAAAATTAATAAAAAGCATATTATAGCACAGTATCTCAAAAAAAAAATTATTAAAAATCAATGATAATATTTAGATAGTTTATATCAGTCTATCTAATTTTTATACAATTTAAATTATAATCTTTCTTTATTATCTTTATAAATTAGATAAATTAAAAAGAAAAATGACAATTAAAGAAATAAGTAGATATAAATAATTTCATAAAATTATTTAACTTAATAAATAATTGGATATCGCTTTAGTTTTAACATAGCATCTGTATCTTTATACATTCATATAGCAATAATAAAGAAAATATAAATCAAGAAATACAAATACTAAATTCCATAAAGTTATACTTTTGGTATAAAGTATCATTTACATAAAAATAACTACATAAATAAATAGAAAAAACCATATAGGACTTTTTTATTTATTTATTTGTTACCTTAATTATGCACTTTCCAACATGAAAATATATTTCATACTCTTCATTTTTATTGTGCTAAAAATATTATCAAGTGTTTTATGATAATTGGAAGATAAATCATATAAGCTTATTTAATCATATGTTCGTATACAATATATCTATATCAAAATAATTTTATATTAAACATATATATACAAATACATCCACGTTATATTCATTATAAGTAATTTATTCTTAACTATAAAATTATATTAATATGAATATTTAAAAGAATTATTTATCATGTGACACAATTCTTATCTCTAAATAGTAATAAATGTTAATAATCTAATCATTTTTATAAAGTTGAAAAAAAAATCTCCATTTCCTGGCAATGTAAGCTGAAATAAATAAATCTATCTATCTATAAAGTTGAAAATAAATCAATCATAAAAATAAAACTTCATGTAAATGAATTAGTATTTCTTTTGTCGTTAAATGTTATTTATATCCAGTTTAATAACATTAAAATTATAATTGTGTAATTTTATGATTACAAAATAATATTAAATTATTAATAAATGTAAATATTTATTACTTAAATGTTGCAAGAAAATTTGTTATACATTTATATCTCTAAATGTATAACCGTTTATTTTAATTTATTTTAATACCATAATTAATAATTTAATATTATATATATCTTAATTGTACATGTAATACTAGTTTATAAAATTCAAATTCTGAAAAAATCTTTTGTATTACCCATTATAAACAATTTTCACTCGAATATCATCATTTTCTGTTGTCTGTGTAGGCATTTTTATTCAGTATCAATATTCTGTACTATGCTGAAACAGAATTACATTATTAAATTATTAAACTATTAATCTGATCATATATTCTTTAAATGTAATGTTTTAAAAACATAAAACATTTAAACAAGTCAGCCAATGTTATAAAAAATAATAAATCAATTACATAATACTAAACATTTCAGTCAATACTTGCTTACGTATATACACATTATTTATAATATTATATAATTTCCTTTTAGATTACACTCTTTTTTCAAAATAATGTCTACAAATTTTTAATGAACGTTTTTATTCGGTAGAAATGCATCGTAATTGTTGTATTTACAAACAAACTATTATACAAATTTATTATAATATAAATTTACTTCAATTTATATCACAATATGAACATAGCTACAACTTCAAACAAATATTTATCTATTTTCTTTCTAAAGATTTTAAAAATCAATTAATTATTTGGAATGTATAAACTAGAATACCTAAAGATCACTACGTATAGAAATTAGTCCACTTTAACTACCTTAATTTTAATACACGTATAACTTTTGATTCAGCACAACGTTTTTGTTCAGAAAATGATTTAATTGATACGTTAGATGGAATATTTTACAGTATTATTTTGAAAGAATAAAATAGTTGTCTTATTTTTTAAATTACTAGCTAGAAATAATCATGTAACAAACACAAAATTGAAAAGCACTTAACACAGTAAAACGCGTTGTCACTTGGCAGTCGCCATGTTTATAGGATACACATCTTCATAAGGAAATCTTTATTTTTCCTATAGAATGACGCATACATACTGCTTTTATTAAAATGTTTAATTTTCTAAAATTAAATAAAAAAATTCGAACACAAATTAAATTACTTGATATCAATTATTAACTAAAATTAACTAAATTATGTTATTGTAATTAATTGATTATATTTACCATAAAAATTGTTCATTTTACTTTAAAATTATTACTATATAATTTCGCTTTTACAAATAAATTTATAATTCAGTTTAACTATAATGTACAAGAACAATATTTTTAAACATTACTTTGATTTAAAATTGTATAATATATTTACGTATTCTTATTACCCATTCTCTAATATTAAAACTTTACATATACAAACTATTAAATTTATGAAAATACTAAATACAGTATTTATATTTATACTTATAATCTACTAATAGAATAACTGCAATAAAATTATATTTCCAAAATATTATTTTTTTTAGCTTTTATTACTTAGTAATGTAAAAAATTAAAAGTTTATACTATTTACTATATTATACACAATAACTTATATTATTTGCACTAATTTCAAATATGATAGGTAATCGTAAGAAGTTTATGAGACATAGTGAATTTCTGTAACTAGTGATCTTTAGTAATATCGTAAAATATAGAACTAAATTTTATAATAATTACAACTTCATATTATTATTTAGTTTTTGAGATATATTTAAAAAATTTTATTATTTAAATTGTAATATAGTTTTTAAATAAATTAAATTGAAATCTAATTTATAAAACCATTCCATACGATATTACCAAATTACATAAAATATTTTGTTGTGTTTTATTGTAATTACTTTTTAATTACAAAAGATCGATTTAATAATACTGTTAATGATTACATTTTATTCTTAATTCTATAATTGCATTGTGTAAACATTAAGTACAAATCATGTTTAAATATCACTAGTGTTTCATGTGAGTGTAATCAAATGATGCATATAATTTTCAGTTAACAATTGCAGTTTCACACATTGTACTAATGAATAATAAATAAGTAACATTTTTAAAATTAAGTACCTTTCTTTTCTGTTAATTTTTTAACATAGTTCGTCGTGATAGTTATGGTTTTTGAGGTTATTTTATACAAGAGGTTAATTTACAATTTCTCAAAATATTATTAGACGTAAATAAGGTAAGAAACATTTATTAATAAGTTTTTAATAACATCAAGTTAATAATTAAAATTTTATTTATAATATAATTATAAGCACCAAAAAATTTGTTTTGTTCTATATTTTATTCATAAAATACATTAAAATTATAGAGTTATATATTATAAGCTTATTAAAAGGTACTTAAACTTGCTATTTTCAAATTTCAGCTACAAAATGAAGAGATCATATTCTAAACGAGAAAGAGATGGTTATGAACGTTATAAATATCATTCTAGAGATCGAAACCGTGAACGCAATCGTGATCGAGATCGAGATCAAGAACGTGATCGAGATCGGTATTATTATGAAGATAGAAATAATAAAAAGACTTTTTCCTCTAAAAAAAATCATAATGCTGAGGAATCCAGCATGGAAGTGCAATTATATGACCGACATGAGTTAAGAAGATCAAGAGATCATGAAAAAGAGAATAAAAAAAGAACAGAGAAAAATAAAATAACAGATAAAGAAATGGGAAGGAAGCAAGAATCAAATGCTTCTGATGAAGCAATTGAAAGGCAAAATCGAACAGTTGAATTATTGACATCAAGAACAGGTGGTGCTTACATACCTCCAGCAAAATTACGTATGATGCAAGCAGAAATTACTGATAAATCAGGAGCTGCATATCAACGTATTGCATGGGAGGCACTTAAGAAGTCTATACATGGTTACATTAATAAAGTTAACATTAGTAATATTGGGCTTATAACCCGAGAACTTTTAAAAGAGAATATTGTTAGAGGTAGAGGATTACTTGCCAGGTCTATTATTCAAGCTCAAGCAGCATCACCAACCTTCACATCTGTTTATGCAGCCCTCACTGCAATTATTAATTCTAAATTTCCTAATATTGGGGAATTGATATTAAAGCGTCTTGTAATACAGTTTAAACGAGGTTTTAGAAGAAATGACAAACCTTTGTGCATATCTTCTGGCACATTTATAGCACATTTAGTAAATCAAAGAGTGGCACATGAGATTTTAGCTTTAGAAATTTTGACTTTATTAGTGGAGACACCAACAGATGACTCTGTAGAAGTTGCAATTGCATTTTTAAAAGAATGTGGCATGAAATTAACAGAAGTTTCTAGGAAGGGTATTGAAGCTATATTTGAAATGTTACGAAATATATTACATGAAGGACAGTTAGATAAAAGAGTTCAATACATGATTGAAGTTATGTTTCAAGTTCGGAAAGATGGATTTAAGGATCATGAAGCTGTTCCAGAAGAACTTGATCTTGTGGAGGAAGAGAATCAGTTTACTCATTTAATAACATTAGATGAAGCAACAGATGCTCAAGATATATTAAATGTTTTTAAGTTTGATGCAGAATATGTCAATAATGAAGATAAATATAAACAATTAAGTAAAGAAATATTAGGGTCTGATATCAGTGGTACAGAAAGTGAAGAAGATGATGATGAAGATGAAAGTTCTGATGAAGATAGTAGCACTGCTGTAGCAGAAGAAAAAGAAGATGTAATTGTAGATAATACAGAAACAAATTTGACTGCTCTTAGAAGAACAATATATTTAACAATACATTCGTCACTTGATTTTGAGGAGTGTGCTCATAAACTAATGAAAATGCAACTAAAACCTGGTCAGGAAACCGAACTTTGTCATATGTTTTTAGATTGTTGTGCAGAAATGAGAACATATGAAAAATTCTTTGGATTATTAGCTGGTCGGTTCTGTGCTATTAATAAAATATATGTAACACCATTTGAGCAAATTTTTCAGGATTCATATCATACAATCCACCGTTTAGATACAAATAAGTTACGTAATGTATCTAAATTTTTTGCTCATTTGTTATTTACTGATTCTATATCATGGGAAGTATTATCTTGTATAAAATTAACTGAAGAAGATACAACAAGTTCTAACAGAATATTTATTAAAATCTTGTTTCAAGAACTCTCTGAATATATGGGGCTATCTAAGCTTAATCTACGTGTGAAAGATGTTACATTACAACATGCATTTGAAGGACTGTTTCCTAGAGACGATCCTAAAAACACTCGTTTTGCAATAAACTTTTTTACATCTATAGGTTTGGGTGGACTTACAGATGACTTAAGGGAGCATTTAAAATCCCATCCAAAACCTGTTATAATACCTGCATTAGAACAAAAAATTGAAAGTGCTTCAGATTCTTCACCGGATTCTTCTCTTTCTAGTTCAAGCATATCATCATCATCATCGTCCTCCTCCTCAAGCAGTTCAAGTTCTGATGATTCTGATTTATCTTCAGATGAAGAATTAAAAAGGGGAAAAAAAAAATTAAATAAAGAACGAAGAAAGAAGCAAATGATGAAAGAAAACAAAAAGAAACATAAAAAAAAAGAAAAACCCAAAAAAGCAAAAAAGCTCAAATAGAATTTATACCTGAAAGATAATAAATATTTTTTGCTTCTCATTAAAGTTATTATTTTCTAGTGCGTATACTTACAAGATTTATATATAAATACAAACTAAGAAAAGTTCAGTAATATATATAGATATATACATATGTCCTTAAATAAATTTTTAATTTGAATAAATACATCTTCATTAACAGCTTAAAATAATTTATTTTGAAAGAATAGATATTTCCTGTAGGTGTTAAAAATAGATGGAAATCAATATTTAATGTAATATTTGAGAATCCATATCTATTTTTATGTACTTAATTAGAAATATTTTTGTTTTATTAAAATTTTATTCTACTATAGAATGTGTCTACCTTTCTTTGTGATATTAAATTTAAAGTATAGAAGATAAATACAAATAGAAAATTTACAAATATATAGAACAGATTTTTTCCTTACTTTATGTAAAATGTACTAATGATTTTAAATTTGTAAATAAAAGAAAATTATATTTGACATCACGGTAATTTGTAAGATAAATTTTGCGATTTGTTTTAGAGTAAGTGACTAATGATAAAATTTCATATAAACGATTTCTAAGAAGCTATTTTCTACAACTATATTTCGTTTCTTAAAATAATATAGTTTTGTTCCAAGAAATGCTTTTATACACTAACGAGAGTAATGATATTTATATCTATATATTCATATAAAATTTAATTTTATTTAATTTCCTTAACATATAGTTTATACAAAGATATTAAATTTATATTATTATAAAAGATACTAGAAAGTTCTCATTTACTTGACAGAATCAAAATAAACTATTACCGATACACTGGAACTCAAGTGTATACAACGCGTGTTAAGTTTGCCCTGACAATGAACGCGGAATAGCTGCACTTCTATCCATGTGGGTGTAGACATGTAGGCTATTTTGACGGGGGGATCACGTGATTAAATACTTAGCCGTCACCACCACCGCCACCACGGCTGTCGTACGATCAGACCGACACTATGCCACAACCCATAGATACGCAGGCTCAACCATTCCACATCCTTCGGAAGCAAGCGCGGCTAAGCGAGCTGATCTGTAATGTGCATATATATCCATCTATATGTGTATATCGCACACTGGTTAGATAGATACGAAAGTACGATAGAGACGAAACTGCTAACGTGGTAGATACACAGAGCGTGGTAGGAGGCCAAGCGTTATGCTGGTTTGGTTGAAGAAGCGGTGTTAACAAGGGATATAGTGAACTTTGCTTGACGACGTGATACTTGTGGAAAGAGTATCAAAACTTGTGTAAAGTTTATAGTCATTCTTCGTACTTCAAGCAAACATGAGTGCTCGAGACAATTGTACACACACGCATACATATAGAAAATTGTATGTGATTAAGAGTACAATGCTCTGTATGGTTACAAAAGTACACAATGATATGCGGCTCCTGTAAGGGCCTTGTGTTATCTTCTTGTGTTTACATACGCGTATGATTATAGTGTACGTGCATATGTGTGCAAAAAAAAGAAGTAAGGTGGAGTATTTGTACCACAAAAAAGACATACTGTAGAAGGGTGGGAGGAAGGAGGGCGGGAGGGAAGGAGACTACACGCATGCAATCGACGAAACGTCTTGTCATGAAAAGTGCGAGTATAAACATTAATATTGATTTGAACTAATATCACGTATAGTCAACGAATGACTGCAGTGTGGATAATCAATCTTGTGTCCACGTTATTTGTAATTGACATCGTGCGATGCCATAAAAAATATGCGTATCTTTTTGAGTGGTTCTTCATTTCTCGCTCCGTGTGCGATCAATATCACTTGGTCGTGGTGTGCCGAGTCGATCCATTGTCTAACAATGTCACTCATCATGATGATAATATTCATCCATCGAACGCATCATCAATTTTACTACTGTAATAAATAGCATTAATAGCATATTTATTTATCTCTTGCTGGTGATCGTCATAGTGAACGACAGTAACGACAACAGTGGTGTCGGTGGTAGTGACAGTGGCGACGACGGTGGCGGTGACTGTGACGGCGGCGGCAGCGACAGTGGTGGTAGAAATAGCTGTGGCGGTGGCGGTGGCGGTCGAATGGCGGTCGTGGTGGCGATCGTGATAACGACTGTAGCGACGGTAGAGACGATAATATCAAAGACAGTGACGATAGAAACGACGGTAGTGATAACCAAGTTCGTGAAACAATGGATATGCATTACTTTGGAGAATATAGACCTCATATTAATAATAACATGAGAAATGGAAAAATATGCAAATGAAATCAGCAAAAGGTAGAGAAAGAAGAAGTAATCGCGAATAATCGTGTTTCGTTCGTAGTGTTAGTAAAGAAACTTAGAAAAACGAATAAAGTGTGATAAAGGTAAAATTCAACAAGAACAAAACATCTCGATTATAGATTCATTCGTAGTGACATAAACTTGTTCAAGCAAGAACGAATTATCATGTACATGGAAGCAACGTTGCGATGGACAATAGACTGCGGATAATAGATAGTCGGATCGTTGTGTTGAATATAATATTACAGCAAGGGGAGCAGCAGACTTAGAAAAAGACACATGAACGGGTTAAGCTTGTTCTCGACTTGCGTGCCAAAAGAGAAGCGATGAAATTTAACAGCGCATCAGCTAAGATGAACACTTTGTATTTTTCCTTACTTAGTGCTATTTTTCTCTTATAATTAGAAACGTGGGCTAAATGAACAATACGTCGAATTAATTGTTACAAAGTGTACGTATGTAGGTTTCATGTATTATGGGTGTAAATACACCTATATTATGAATCGTACAAAATAGCGTGGTATGTCACAAGTTGTCTCGAAAATTTCATACAACGATCGAACCTATTATCTTCTCGAATCTTTTCACGTACAATACAAATAATGGAGACGCTATTGCCCGGCAATACGAATAGTCAATCGTATAGCCCGCAACTAAAGACCGTCTTGAAGACATATCAGCTATCTGCTGTGAAAAGTTTACAGGGTCCGAGTTCGGCCCTGCTTGGTATGGACTGCAAAAGTCTATTGCAAGAGCAAACACCTTGTTACTCTCCTTCAAATCGATCGAGTAATTGTGTCATTGATTCTGCATCAGAACATATTTCTACAAAAGATACTGAAAAGGATAATACGTCAATAACACCTATCACTCCTTGCAAAATTCGCAGAGCAGAACAACCACTGGAAGATTCGGACGAAGATCCGCAATTAGAACGATCGAAAAACGTTTGCGAAAAGAGAGAGTTAGAATTTCAAATACCTATTTTAACAGCACCCGACCAAAGTTGCTCTGAAAGATGCGAAACGATTTTAGAAGGCGAAAGAATATCGTGTTTTGTTGTAGGAGGTGAAAGGAGGTTATGTTTACCACAGATATTAAATACAGTCTTGCAAGAATTTTCCCTTCAGCAGATTAATCAAGTTTGCGATGAATTACAAATTTATTGCTCACGATGTACACGAGATCAGTTAGAAGAACTTAAGCATTCAGGAATTCTGCCGCGTAATGCTCCTTCCTGTGGCCTTATCACTCAAACAGATGCCGAAAGGCTTGTCAGTGCTTTACTTTTACGGACAGAATCATGTGATCCCTCTCAAATTGGTCAAAACCAAGATAGTATTGAAAAGAAAGTGTGTACTAAGAATGATAATGATGAAGAATCCATTATCAAATTTAAGGTGTATCATGAGTGTTTTGGAAAATGTAAAGGCATTTTTGATGCAAATTTATTTGAATCTGATGATTCGGTGTGCATAGAGTGTATCGAATGTGGCTGCCAATTCTCGCCTCAACGTTTTGTTAGACATGCTCATAGATCTCTTGAAAATCGTACCTGTCATTGGGGCTTTGATTCTGCAAATTGGCGATCATATCTATTACTTTCACGAGATCAAGAACATTATAATAAATCACTTACTTTATTTCGAGAATTAAAGGAAAAACATTTTACATTGGGTTCCAAGCGAAAATCAGAGGTATTGTATTCCCACATTATTTTCATAAGTGTTAAGTTTTAAATTATTTATAAAGATAATTAGAAATTCACAAATAATAAGTATAATTGAAGACAACTATATTTTTACATTCTCTTCTTGAAATATTGAATTTTATATGAAATTTTTATATATCAAATATAAATTAATATTACGATTTTATAATACTGTTTAAATACTGAAAAATAAACAGAATAGAAAGAAGAAAATAAAGAACCCTTTTCCAGTTGCGGCATGATTCAGAAAAATTAAAACGAATTAGAAAGGATATAGGAAGAGAAGATTGTCCAGGACTTTATAATGGAAATGGCTTAGGCATGTACCATCCTGTATCTCAAGTAGCAAATGCAACTGATCCATATCTACAAATGCAATGGGCAGTATTTGAATTAGCAGCTAGAGGAGCATCAGCTTTTAGACCATGGAATACCACAAATACTTGCAAGCATAAGGATAAGTAAGTGTAGTAAACAAATATAAATAAAATAAGAAGTACAAATTTTTTTCAGTTGTAATGCTTTATAATAAGTTCATAATTTTGTGTAAACATAAGAAGAAGTAAGCGTAGTAAGTAAATCAATTAAAATAAGGAGAACATTCTTTTTTTAATTGTATTGCTTTGTAATAAGTTCTTAATTTTTTGTGAAGATAAGGATAAATAAGTGTACTAAATAAATACAATTTAAATATGGAGGAAAAATTTTGTTTCATTGTGTTGCTTTGTAAAGAGTTCATAATTTTTTGTGGGCATAAGGATAAGTAAGTGTAGTAAACAAGTATAATTAAAATAAGGAGAAAGAAATTTTTTAAAGTTGTATTGCTTATTAAGATCATAATTTTTTTGTGAACAGTTCATCATTGGTGCCTGCATACCTTAGTCGTGGTCCACCTGTACTACAACATCCAGAACGTGTGGTTCCCCTTTCTGAATGCAAACGTTTTGAACCACATTTTCAACCAAATGTAGCCTTAGCACCTATACCTGCACCATCAGTGCCTGTAGTACTTCCACCATCAGCTCACCATCAGCGACGGCATCATCATGAACATAAACGTTATAATCATCACTCATCAAATTGTAATGAAAAAAAAGAAGCTTCATCAGATAGTGTCAAACCTGAGAAAACATCTCCTAGTTCTGGATCTACTATTAGCGTATATTCTGCATTCCCTTCTTATGCACCTGGAAGCAATCAAAAAGAACTGCCTCAGAAAAATAAACACGAAATGGGTGAAGAAGAAGAAAGTAGTGCTGCTGTAACATCTTCTACAATAAATATAGAACCGCCTTCGGCTGAAATTGGAACATCTTCACTAGAAAGTGATTCTGATTCTGAAGGAACGGCAGCAATAGATTTGGAAGAAAGGTTATTAGCCCTAGAAGTACCGCAGGATGTTCTGGAACTAGCGCGGCGCATAGTTTCAGAAAATGCACAATTACGACGTCATCGACGTTCGGACGCACGTGAAATATCACGATTACGTAATCAATTACAAATGCAGCAAATACAATCATCTAATGATGGCGATAAAAAGGAGGAACCAGCAAATGCAGCAAGTGCAGCAGATAGTACAGAAGGTAGTGAAGAAACAGAAGCTATATTACCATCAAATAATAAAGAGTCTGAACCTGTTGTTTTAGCTGTTAGTAAAGAATAAAATCAGTGATTAGAGTTTTTTAAATTATTTAATACAAAACTGCTCAGCAATTTTTTGCAACGCTCATCTTTATCAGATAAGCGTGCATTAAATTTAGTACTAGCTATAATAATGATAATGATAAATTCTAAATGAATAAAAACTGTTTAGGTTATGTGATAGATAGAGAGCCTTTAACGTTGTAACCGTTAATTTGAAATTTTTATTGTAACCATATTTCGATTATGTCGATTTTAATTAAAATCGAATGTAGATATTGTAATATATAGAAAAGTAACATAAGTTAACCAAAATTTACCATGCCATTTAATAATTATACTTAATGGTCTTTAAATAAGTTTCTTGTGCATATTAAATATGCATACACCACAAAGATTTTTATGGTCATTTGTTTAATTGTAAAATTAAACAGTGATCAGAAAATAAGAGATTAGATTGCTTTCCATTTACTTTTTTATAGTCATGATTGCATAATGTAAATATGATCCAAGTATCATAGATGTATGTTTATATTGATAATATTATCATGCAAAATATTGCTAAAGTACAAAAATCTTTAGGTGCTATATTATTATATTAGGAATGTTCTAAGCATAAATCTAGGTGTATTTCAACAGTTCGTACTACACCATAATATCAGAAATCTCGATTATGTTTTAGTTATCGTCTTTACAGCGTTAAATAATAATGAAATTTTATTTTTCGCTAATAAACTTAATTTGAGTGATTACAAATAAAATAAGTTAATTTATACATTTCAAACTCGTAAAATGATTATTCAAGTGATATCACAGTGAATTGTGGGATTCTAATTTATATAAAAAATTATCGACTTTTTGTACGTTGAGTAATTCCTACATTGTAACGAGGAATAAATTCCAACTTTTAAAATATGAATTCATTATATTGTGAACTGTTGGATAAAGAATGGAAAAGAATATTATTATATAAAAAATACGTAAAATCGTATTATGTATAATTTGTTTCTATTTTTTTTTTCTTTTTTTTTTTATTATATAGTATTGTATAATATCCCCTGATAATAAGTATCTTATTGTCAACTTTTAATTTATAGTAAAAATATAAAACAAGTAAAATTGCTGTAGCAATTTTTGGTATTAATATTTATTTGTAACATTATATCTACATATCATTTTAGTTATATGTAAAATTTAACAAAATTGACCCTGTGGGTTTTAAAATATTAAATGTGATTTATTAAAAATATTTTTACATGATCAAAAATTAATTTGTATGGAAATAATATAATCAATATTTATAGGGGATTCTAAAATGAAATTATAAGCACAACTGATTCTTATCAAATGTTATTTTTATTTTTGCTCGTTATAATGGCGTGTACATGATATAATAGAAACAACACATTTTTTCCAGGTATTCTTACAAAAGCAACACTGATTTTTCTTTTTAATTTTCTTAATTTTTTCTTATACATTTGTGTATTTCTTCATTTTCTTAAATTTTTGTCATTGTTTTATTTGTTTTATCTCGCAATATGTGAAATTAGCATAATTTGAATATAAATTTCTTATATTCAAATCGAAATTCTAGAAATCCAATGTATTGTTATTAAATTATAAAAACATAAATTTGTTTTCGTAAATGACTAATTAAAAATTTCAAATGTATAAAATATTTTAAAAATTAAACATTAGAAAGGTTGTTTTATAAGCTTTAAAAGCTTTTTGTATCAGGTACATACTAGAACAATATGATATAAATCTTACATATTTACATATGATATAGTAAAAAAAAATAGTAATTATACATTTGTGTATTTGAAATATACATATACACATATTTCGAGACTGCTTCGAGGATCTCTTATAACATACATTTTTCTAACATAACAAGAGTGCCAGTAATTCTTGTCTCACATTAAAGCACAAGGCATAAAAATTTCCATTTTCAATTTTATTATTCATAACACTCGCTTTTTAAATCCAAGTAAATCATGAATTTTCAAAGCAATCTGTTAGAGAAAAAATTGATAAAGGTGTATAATATAATTGATTATGTAGGATAAATGCATTCATTATTATACTCCATATAACATTTGGTCAATATATATGACATGTATGTTACATCGTATTGTTGTAATAATATAAGCATCCCACCTAAGGTGAACAATGTAATAATTTATGATTTTCATACACTCAGTTTATTATAGGTATCTAGAATATGTGGTAAATAGTACATGTATGAATCGCATACAACTCGGTTTTTTGCATATATCTGAGATCTGCGTATAAAGTTTCGATAAAATCATGTAACTGCCATGACTAAAGATGTATTTTAATTTTGAATGGGTGATGTATTTTAAGTTAAAATGGGAAATTATAAATAAATACATAATATGCGACGCCTGACTTTATTAACATTTATGCACGATATGCAACGCGTTAATGTGGATTTCGTTCGTTCGAATAAAAATATATTATTCTGCCAATTGGCTCTTAATTGATTATAGGGTGATTTATAAAAATGAGATGTTATCAAGTGTTTCATAAATAAGAAATATCGTTATTGTTATAGTATATTTAGTTCAATTTTGAAAAGAAAGGAAAGAAGATAAATCACAAACAGTAGCTAGTGTAATTATTACATTATATACGTACGCTCAATATTATATACATATTCGATATGCGTATATTAATGTATTAGTATTTAAAAACTCGTTCGATTTTTATTTCAAACATTAGGCTATAATAGAATTCTGTGCTCATGTTAGACGTAGAAATATGAAATACTAATCGAACGAGTTTCAATCTCTTGTTTTCTCTTTATGTGTCCATGAATCGAAATTCAAGAAAATAAACTATTGAGTGATAGATAAAGCGTTCATTATGCTAAATATCCAAACGCAATAAAACATAATTCGATGCAGATTATTTCATAGAATTAAATGACCTTATACATGATAATTATAAGATAAAATATGCGTAAAATATTGCTTTGTGGGTAAACTTAGTATTAATAACTAGTGTGTTTATTGGTCTTAATAAAATATATAAGTAGTATGCACATTCTTTTGAGTATGATAGAACGTTTTATTTTAGACTGACAACAATTATGAAATATCTCGAAAACTAATTGTCACGAATTTGTTTCATTAATGAGATAAAGAATAAACAGAAACTGTTGACTATCTTAATGAATTAGTGATAATATGAAAACGATTTGCATTTACCGGGGACGTGGTATGTATGCATGGTAGTAAAGTATGCCGAGATCCAAGTACAAATTATCTCGGGCATACTATCAATAGTTTATTTTCTTAACTTACCCCTACTGATCGATAGATGGCATAATAGATTTAGAATAAATGTGTTTCGTATACTACATAATTAATAAATACTCTTAAGAAATTAAATACATAAAAAAAGTGCAATATGAAAGTACAAAATTTGATGTTTCATTTGAATTTTGTATATTTTACAAAAAAGGGGAAAAATGATAAATGAGGAATATATGGATAGCTTTTCCAATATTCTAAATTCTCTTAACTATAAGAATTTCGAAAATGTTTTACTATCAGAATCTTTATTATATGTAAGGCCATGTCCCTGATAACGTACTTATATAGCGTTGAACTTTTGAATAATATTATCTAATGATAAAAGAAAAGCGGTTTAGAACGATTTAACGTTATACAATTTTCTAATCACTTTAACGTTATTCTGAATTTTGTATGATCGAATTCTATATTCGAACGACGAATTCCATATTTATATGGATCGATATTTAATGATGGATATAAAGTAGTTCCAGTAGTAATCTGATTTTTGGCATAATTATAGGGTAAATGTACATATAATTATTTTCCAAAAAATACTCATTGTTAAATGTATATGAGGGGAAATTGTTATAGATAAGGCTATTATCGTCATTTATATTAATTGAGATAATAAACGACGTTTCGATTAAATAAGATTTTTTCATGTTATTGCTTCGATTTTTTTTTTAATATATTTCTACGTGTCACACAAATTCATTTAGAAAATATTACAATTTTTTTCATAAATATCTGAATTCCATTACATATGTGACATCGTTTTATAATAGAAGTAATTTTTTTATATATAAATTTAAAAAAAATCATTCGGATTATTGTGTATTCTAATTTTATTCATTTGTTAATATTAAAAAGTTATCGTAAATTTTATTTCGTTATTTCTATTACTAAAAACAATTAAAGGAATTACATAGAAGTCTTTTTATTGTTTTAAATAATGACAAAAGTTAGATTGCAAATATTGTTTAATTTCTAATGCAAACATTATGGATTACAAGAATGTATATGTAACAGAACATTGATAGGTAAAATATATATTATCAAAATTCTTAATTGTACAAAATTATCGATTATACAATAATTTTAACACATAACTTTTGTATTTAAAAAAAAGCAGTTTTATTTCAGTTGAAACGTACATGGTATCGTAAATTTTTAATAATATATTAGCTTCACAATTGTATAAATAATTATACACATTACATTAATTTTAAATAAATTTATGGAAAAACATTTTGATGCATTTATTAATACACAATTTAAAATAATAAATTTTATACTTGTACGTTCAAACTGTAGCATTAAAAATACCTATATCAATTTATTAATAATCTATTAGTAATAAAGTAAAATAATTAATTTCCTAATTTATAAAAGAACTTTTTTAAAAAAATGCACATTCTTAACTATGTATATAAATATCTCTATTTGACATATTATACAATAGCATATTGCTAAAGCGCCGTCTACCTGTTGCATTCACGACTACAAATATCTAAATTTCAGTTTCATCCAAAATCCTTCAGGAGAATGAAGGACTAATTGGGTTTCTGGTTTGAGATTACCGTTATATCCTTGTCATATTCATATAAAATCTGTAATATTTTAAATGTCAATTGCTTTTTCGAAACGTGAAAAGAACTTATAATTTTTATTGGAATGCTTAATATGCCTACCCTTGTTATATCTTACCTCAGTAATATTCTAGCACTTAACGATTCATGTTCTGGAAATGTAATTTTGCGTAAGCTTTAATAAAGCAGAATGGCTTTTTTGTGTCCAGTTCGTATACGTCGTGGAAAGAAAAAGAAACGTAAGTAATAAGATACTGAATAATTCTTCAAAGAAATTATTTTAAATTTGTGTTAAAAGTTATACGTATAAAAGATATTTTGCGGTATTATACATTTTATTGTAATAAAAATTTCTATAACTGAAAGAAGGTATTTAAGTTTGAAATTTAATTTTAGATATAATTAAAATATTTGTATATACTTTAATCACTATAAAAATATATTAAATGAAAATGTACATAATAATTTTTTAATATATTATTATATTCAATTATTTATTTTAACAGATAAATAAAGCACTATTTATATATAACCATTTACTATTTTGTACACAATATAATATATTAATGTACAATATATTTAATGTATTTTGTAACTATCTTTGACTTTAAAGATTACATTTTTTTGATTTTACTTTAAGCTCATTATCTTATATAATTAAATATATATCTAATAATTATAAAAAGAAAATAAAGCAATAAAAGTTCCAAATTTGTATATTACAGCTGGTGTGCATAATTTTAATTTAGAAAAAGATTGTGCTGGAGCAGGAGGAACAGGACTTGGTTTAGGAACAAAAGTACCATTGCCTCCTGGTCGTATAACAGGAAGTGCTAGTATTGAGACATTAGTCAGAGTAGGTATAGAAAAAGAAAATGGACTGTCACCAGATAGTAAAATGGTTATTGTTTATGATTTCACACCATGTGTAGATGATGAACTACAAGTAAAACGAGGCCAGGTTAGCAATTTTTTATTATACATGTTTTAAGTAGAATTTAAATGTGTCAATAACATTCTATGTATTTGTTCCAATTTTATATCTTTATATTTACTTTACATTCATTGATATTATCAGATATAAAGTTTATTATTAATTTTAATTTTATCCTTCATAATATTGAATACTGATTACTTTTTTTTTTATCAATGTTACGTTGTTTTGTTTTTTTGCATGTTCTAGGTTGTAAATGTTTTATATAGAGAGAATGATTGGGTGTATGTAATAGCAGCTGATACACGTATGGAAGGTTTTGTTCCGCATTCATACTGTGCACCTTACACGTCTCAGCTTGCTGAATTAACACTTGCTACTCTTATGAACAACGTGAAAAAAAAATTACCAAGATCTAATGAGACTGATTGCGATTTTAGTGGTACAGGTCGTTCACAAACAGTAGATGCACAACAGACTGACACTGGATCAGCATCAGATTGTGAAAGTTATGCTCGTAATGTTACTACAGCTGATGTAAATGTTAATCGATCTAATATTACACAATCTCAAAATTCTATTCAAACTATATCCTCACAGCCAGATGTGCACCCATTTTTTAAGGTAATGTATACAAATATATGTGTTTCATGTGTTTAAATATTCTTATATGATGTATAATGTGTGTATTATATTTATATAATGTACATTCTAGGATCCATCAGCTGGTAGATACATTGTACTTTATACTTTTGTGGCTAGAGATGAAAATGATGTTAGCGTAGAAAGGGGTGAATTTGTAACTGTACTCAATCGAGATGATCCTGATTGGTTTTGGGTACTTAGACATTGTGATGGTAATGAAGGATTTGTGCCATCTGGATTTGTATACCCAGGACATGTTCTTCATTCATATGCAACAACAAATACTACAACTACCACTACTACTACAGTAGCTACAACATCTACAGAAACTCATGCTTTAGGTTGGTTTTTATCTCTTTCTATAGAAATTAAAACTAATAAAACGTGGGAAACCTTAAATTTAGTTTTATTTGTAGTTTATAAACTTATTACAAATATTTATTAAATATAAATACATATTTTAATGTTAAAATATTTTTACAGAGATCCTTGTATTTTATACTAAATTAAAATGTAGTTTAATTTAATCCTATAATAATTTCAGTATCATGTAACAAAATTTTCACTCGTATTTTTTCTGTAACATAAATTTTCACTTTTTTATTTTTTTATTTCAAGGAAAAGGGAACAATATGTCAGGAACTGAATCACTGCAACAAAAAGGTTTACGAGATTTTCGAGATGACACAAACGGCACAGAATTAGTTGTACTTTATGATTATAAGGCGCAGGCGCCGGATGACTTATCTGTGAGAAGAGCTGACTGGATATATGCAGATTTAGGAAATCAAACTGTCGATGGTTGGTTGTGGGCATATGCGCCTAAAACTCGTAAATATGGATTTATTCCTAAAGCATATGCCCGACCTCCTGCGATGACGAGTTTATAATATACCTGACAATACTTTTCTACTTTTTTACATTTTATATATATATAAATATATATATGTATTCAAATAATAATATACTATTACATAGTATTACACATAAATTGGTATCCAAAAATTTGGATATACATCAAAGTTCTTTGTGTAAGTATTATTAAAATCATTAATGGGAGTATTGGAATTTTATTTTGTATATCTATACACTTTTGTAATATATTTAATGTACAGTAACATTTACATTGAGTGTAGCACAGTCTGATGTAATGTGACTGAGGAAACCTTCATGCAGAACTATACAGTCACCTGTTGAAAAAATGTCTTGAGGACATTGAGCTGTCCTTAATGAGTTTACTGGACCTGTATATGTTAGGCAACGCAAACCATCATTATCAATTTTGTCTACAGCCTGTTGTGGAAGTAGTCAATATGCATATCATTTATTATGTACATAAGTATTAATCATTTGTTTAACTAAATGTTTTTTTTTTTGTTAATTATATGATATACCTGAATACTACATAGAAGCTTGTTTGTTGTGTTTCCAATGTCCAGTCCAGCAACCCAAGCAATAACTATGTTTTTCTCACGAAAATCTTTCTTTTTATCAATTTTGTCATTAGATATGTGTTTATCTGTATAATGTAATCGAGCAGCTAACACTGGTAGTGGCAAACGATTTCGATATTTTGGGTTGATTTGACTACCATTAAATAATCTTGCAACAGGATCTCTTAGTATAAAGATTTAATGTTAATTGATAGCATTCTTTAAACATTAAAAAATTTTTCTTTAATATACAGAATATTTTTACGTGTTAAATCCTTTTATTACTATTAACAATTTAGAAAAAAATACAAATGATAAGTAAAATTTTTTATGTCAAAATCTATTCACAAACAAGTAATTTTTTTAAAATTATTTTTACTATATTGTTAATAATAATAATTTTTAGACGCATAAATTTTCGATATAATTTTTTATTTTTATACTTAATTAAAAAATATCCATTTATATTATAATAAATTTTTGCATTTTATACAAAGAATATATTTGTTTATACTTACGAGAGTTTACCAGAAACTAAAAGTAGAGCCAGACATCGACTAGAATTGGGAGATAAGGCCTTGAAACTAATGATGAGCGTACTTTTAATACCTGGTTCTACATTCAGAATAGGCACTTCCGGGTGATCGAAAATGAAATGATGTGTTAAAGCTGAAAAAGCCACGTTTATAGCACAATCAATTCGTGGACAACGGATTGGTCTACGAGAACATTCTGTAGTAATTTGTCCGTTAACTTTTGCCTCAGATACATGCGACAATATATTGTCTTTCTTAAATAAGTTACAACAACTTTGTTGCTGCTTTTGTTTGTCATCATTTCTATTTTGTTCTGCATAAACATCATTTTCGTCTCTAATTTGTTCATAGTCAGAAATCTCTTCAAAATTATCATTGTAATATCCTAATGTATTTCTTTCGATATTTTGTGCTGTGGATGAATAATTTTGATTATAAGACTTTGTATACGATTGTTCAACGTTAATAGGGGTCCACTGTTGTTGCCGTTGATGATGTTTTGGATAATATTCTAATTGCTGTCGTGACATTTGTGTCCTTTTTAGGTGCGCGTATGTGGAATTTAAACTGACATTACTTTCTCGTGATAAATTTATACACGATTGTTGATACTGTACATGACAAAGAATGCAGCCTGGGTCTGCAATATACGTTATTGTACTTTTACTTTTTTGAATATATTTAAATTATTTTAACATGATTTTAAAATTATGTTAGTTAACCTGATTGAAGTGAAAAATGTTGGATACAGCATTGGCACAAAGTATGTCCCTTAGAACAAGGAACATTTTGATTTAGATTAGAATTTATGTTTCCAAGAGCAAGGTGACAAATGGTACATAGTCCAGGCATCACATTCCTTTGCGACGTCAATAACTCTTCATCTTCTTTGCTGTCTTCTTCGCATTTTATTTCTTTTTCCTTGGTCGTTCCGATTCTAAAATGTTTGTTTTCTTGTATCCTCTTTCCATCATTGTGTTCTTTTAGTTGTGCACGCTGAAAGAATCTTTTCATGCTACTGTTACATTTAACTAAATCATAAATTATTATTTTTCTAAACTTCTTTCATTTTCCTAACTTAAAATTAAAATGCTATATAAAATATAATTTGTCCATTTAATATTTTCTTTCGTGTTTCATTTCTTTTATATATTATAATAAACAAGCATAAATTCTCTAACGTATTTTTACCCAATACGAGATAGGTTTCAATTAAAAACTATACTTTTTGATTATTTGGATTCTTTTTTATAAATGAATAATTATATAAAAGATTATTATCAATTTCAATCATTTAAGTATGTTGTAGAAATTGATAAATTACTTCTGCTATATGTACATACATATAATCATTACTCGGTTTTAGTTTTCGAAATATAGATTAGTAAGAAACTTTTGGTATTTAAATTTTGCTTACACGCGTACTCTCGTGAGTAATGTATGTGTTTGTATGCACCGCCACTTATCGCACTGTACTAGGCGTTTCTATTTATATACAGCTGTTTATATAAACAAAAGATGAAATTAAGGGTCTTCTTCAGTTTCTGTTTTTCACTAGGTTTCAGTATTTAGAAAAGTACGGATAGCTATGGATACAAATATATCTATTTTCTAATTAAAAGATAGTACTCTCTACTTAAAAAAACTAATTTTTGGAAAAATAAAATGGTATCTTTGATCTAGATATTTTTATTAAATTAGTGTTGATTAGGCTGGATTAAAATGTCTCTGTAAAAGCTTAATAACTGAAAAATCTACTATTTTATGTAATATCATGGTGATTGTTCTAAATACTACATTTTTAATATTGGTATAATTTCTCTCTATTTTATGCTAATTGATAAGATTATATATTCAACGAAGTGCATTTAAAAATTAAGGACCGCAGCTTCATCTTTAATTTTATAGTTTATATAAACAGCTGTAGAAACGTATAGTACGATGCGATTAGAGGTGATCGCATACAAACGCAGATGATGTTACAGATGCGCTTGTATATGCAGAATTCAATGTAGTAGAAGCAAAAACTTTTCGCAAATATCTCAAAAATTAAAACTGAAGGATGGTTATATACGTATGCGTATATTGGGAAATTTAAAATATTAATTTCTACAATATACAATTTAAAAATGATCGAAATCGGTGCTTTGTCTATTAATCTAAGTAATTATCATATAAAATTATAAATATTGGTTTTTCTTATACCACTTCGTAATATTATTTGTTATTATTATTTGTAATATTATTTAAATTACTGACCACATTATAAAATATATTTTTATAAAAAAAGATAAATTTATAATATGAAAAAAAGTATTTCTTCTTTTCTTTTCGTGATGAAAGACTAAAATGGAATTCAATCTATTTATTCACAATTTTAAATCTCGTTTCCCTTGAATATTAAGTCACGTGCCTCGTTCTGATTCTTTATCGGATTGCAGTTTGCTTTGTTAACTCGATGATTTTCTTTTTCCATTTCTTTATTTGGATTCTCGGGTCAGCTTGTATATCACTTCAGACGATAACTCTTTAAAATATTTATCGTTTTTCGTCGTTCTTGTTAGTACGTTCTTGGTGCTGTAAAACGTTACGAGTATTATTATATCTTTTACCAGTACTATTCATGTGCCTTTTGGTTCTTCTTGAAAAACAATTTTTGCATTCATCTCTTCTTAGTTTTGTCAGTTTGATAATTTTACATTTAACAAGGCAATACAATACGTATTTTGTAACTGCATATATCAAAGATAAACGATGTAATAATAATTTCCAAAGCTTAAAGATGAAAAATATGTTAATAAATATAGCTTTACCATGACGATTATATTGAATAATAATTCTATCGTTGAGATATATTAATAACTAATTAAGTACATGTTATAAATTATTTGTTTAAGATTCTTATTTATGTATGTGAGTGATAAATAAGAAAATAAAATTGAAATTTTATATAACACAATTTAATATGCAATTGCAATAATAAGAAATTTTTACTTAGTACAAAAATCACATAATTACCAGATTCAAAAATATTATTAAATATGTCGTCGATAAAATTCTCCAATTTCTTTGGTTTCAATAGTTTTATGAATTTCTTAAGACGTAATATTTTCGATTACTTTTTAAATAAATAATTGAAACGTATACGTAAAATATCTGTTAATCAAAGTTTTGGGTTTTTTTCGAATAATTTAATTTGCTATAATTTATTACTTGAAAATGTTTTACGTACATTAACGATGTAAACTTCGATACGTGTGATTTGTCAATTAGATCTGAAGAACCATTTTGACACCTACCTTCTTTGTCACTTTCCTATACCTTCAAATATTTGAAAATCTTTTGAAGAAACATATTTTTCTCCGTTTCCAATTTTATCGTACGTTATTTATATAGATTTATTTAAAATTTCATTCATCTTGTTTTCTCGAGGTTTTGTCGAAGAAATAATCCGATAAATATACAAAATTTATACCAATCATTTTATATATGTCATTTATAATTATATACTCGAAACTAATAAATTGATATAAAAATAATATTTCATTCTCATGTGATATATAATATATAAGTACACATATTTCGAAGTCGTTATCAAGACGCAAATTTACTTTTGCTTGGCTATTAATCGCATTTACGTGCAGTGATTTTTATATATGTACATGACAAATAACCATTAAACAACGATAAGTTGTTTAAAACTTTCGTAAACATAATTATCTATTATATATTACAAAATCGTGTGTACAATTATTGTGAAGTAAATGTTAATTTAAATTATTGTATTTAAAATGTGAATGAGTAAAAGGACAAAATGTATCAAATAACATTTTTTTATTGTTTGCAATCAAAGATAGTGACAAATGAATTACTATTACTATAAATTTTACTTTTTTTTTGATATTTATAAAATTATAAACCATGGTTTATTATTCATTTCCGAATTTCTATACAATATTCTATTAATTTAAAATTAAAAAATTTTATGAAATACTTTAGTATATCTTTCTAAGGTTTTTTAAATTAAAGTAAAATAGTAATGGTAAACTAGTAATAGGTATAAATAAATTGCATTAATACCACATAGTATAAATTAAAATATTACTATATTTTGTAAATATAAAATTTTAAATACCATAAAAATTTGTAATAAATACATAACTGATTAAAACAGTGTAATAAAACACGCTGGAAATAAACAGTAATAAAAAATAATTTAATGAATAATTGAATACAAATTTAAACTATATACTTGCTACAAAATATTATCATAAATATATAAATTTTTTTATGTAATGTATTTGCTTACATAAACATGTAAAATTCTAAACTCAGTTATATTCGAGATACAGAAGACATATGCAGGATGACTATTTTATCTGAAAATGAAGAATATCCAGAAAAATGACTAGAGATATTTAAAAACTCATTTAACAAAAGTTGTTCAGTATATCTCTGATTTTATATTAACTTATACAGTAACATTATGTATTAAAAAATACAGCGTCATTTAAAAAAATTCACTTGACTGTAAAATCTCTCATTTTTTCACTAAAAAAAAAAGAAAAGTTTTTATATCATATTATGCTTCCTTTCATACTAAATAACTTTCATTAAAACACCTTTTTATATATCTTTAGTCGCTTTTGATATATATTGTATTTCCAAATAGATTAGACATCCTGTGTGTTTTGGATAGTTATAATATAATTGTTAAACAATTCTTTCCTATAGGTATTTTCGTTGATAAATAAATCGTAATAAACCTATTTTATAGTTGTTTATCGGTATTATTAAATTTTTACATAACTCAAAATAAAAAGTTACACAATTTCATTTCTAAAATTAATAATTTAACTGATTAACTTATTAAAAAGTTCAGAAGTTTATATCACATTTGTTTAATTTGATTGCAATTTCTATTCTTTATCTCATAGCTTTTAGAAACGAATATTCTTTTAAGTTTACCAATTTTTCTGTACTTAAGGTTTTTATATTATTTGAGTGTAAATCATCTAATGATACAAAATTCTGTTTCTCACCTAAATTAGTCATACTAAAACTTTTACTCTTACTATTGGCCAATGAATTATTTTTCTCAAAAAGTGATAATAGTGGCAATTCATTTGCAATTGATTGTTCTTTTGTTAATTTTTGAATTGCAAAAGATTTATTACAATTAGTTAAATTTTTATTTGAAGAGTTTTCACTTGATAAATTTACAACTGATTTTACTTGTTTTAGTGATGAACTAACACTGGAAGATAAAAATTGTGTTGAATTAGACCTAAACCATTTTTTCTCTGGCATTACCTCTGTTTTTAATTGTAAATTTGTCTTGTTAAAATTATTTAATTGTGCATTATGCAATTTTGTTACCACATTTAGGCCATTATCATTAGTTTCTTTTATTGGAAACGATCGCGTATTATATTTTAAATTTATGACATGCTTATCAAATGTGAGATTCTCAGTCTTATCACCTACAATATCATCTAAACTTTGATATTTTTCTATAGAACTTGTATCGAGATTCAAAGATAAATTAATATCACTACTACTTTGAGATTTGTTATTACTAAAACCAAAATTAAAGACATTATTTGGCACATATTTTGCTATACTCTGACATATTCCGTTTTCTGTAAATTTCGAACTCAAATTAAATATATTTGTTCTTGAAGGACTATTATTTAACGACTTCGATACAGTATTCTTAAAGTTATTTTTATGTTTGTTTAATACTATTGAATCAATAATTTCATGCTTTACGGTATTTGATTCTTCGAGATGTGACATTAAAGAAATGTTCGTAAATGGACTTTTCAAAATTTGAAAATTTTTTAACAATTTTTTTGATTGATTCAAATTTTGCATAGAAGGATCTTTGCCTTGCAAAAACTTATAATTGAAGTGTTTTAAGAAATTATTTGATTTTGAATTTTCCTCACTATAAAAATGTAAATTAGATATACTTTCGTTTTTACTGTCTTGCCCAATTACAGTATTCTCAAGGGGTAATTTATTCAAATTTTCTATATTAGCTTCTAGTTCTAATTCCCATTGAGAAGATGTTGCTTCACTTCCATCAACCGATCTTTTTCCAAGATATTCAGTATCTTCTTGTAATTGACAAGTATTCTGTAATACAACAAACAGCTATGAATAGATGTCTTGTGGTGTACAACCTTTTACTAGAACGAAAATTTTCAAATATTTACTAACATTATAATCTTGTATCCTATTATACTTTTTCAGTTGATTATTCATAATGTCCTTTACTTTATTGCCATTTAATTGATTAAATTCTATGTCATAATTTGAACTCTTTTGTGGACTAACTAATTCTGCACCAACACCTGGTTCTCGAGGTCCATTAGCTATAAAATCTAAAAATTCAATTCAAAAGATATAATTAATATACAACGTATATTTTAATCTAAAGTTAAAAAATTTAACATTAGATCAAAATAATCACTTATTAAAATATTAATACATGTACCATAATCTCGACGCTGTTGATGTATTTGATTACTGATTTCTTCCAACCTACGAAGACTTGTAGCATAATTAATTTTTGCATCTTGTATTGCTTTTTGTAAACATTCAACTCGTTCTTTTTGAGTAGCTAACATTTGATCACATTGTGCTTTAACTTCAAAATATGGTCGAGCCTTTATTATGGAACGACGATGTTTCTCCTCTAGTTGCAGTAGTCTTTTTTTAGCATCATGAAATAGCACTGCCCTTTTGTAATGTTCTCTACGACATTCAGCTTTCTGATTTTCAGCATCTGTAACCTAGATTATAATATAAATAAGATAAACTAAACTAAATTTTATTTTTTATTCTTTCTTCATCAGATCTATTGACATTTCAACATCCTCATCTCACTATTTTTTTATTATACATTTTAATACATAACAATTTAACATATGAATAACTTACTTTAAGGGTTGCATGATTTAGCATATCCTGCCAAGCTTGATCAAAATTCCATTCATGTTGATGTGACATAAATCTACTTTCAGCTAATGCCACAGTTTCTTTTGCCGCTGCATGGATTTCACTTGCTCTTTGAAATAGTTGCGCTTGTTGTTGACATTTTATCTACATAAGAATTTCATTTATTATTTTTCAAACTTCAATAAATATTTTGATTACTGTCTTACCTGGGCTTCACGTGCTACTTCAAGTGCTTCATAATAACATCTTGCTTTTTCAACACAGCTATTTCCCACTTTATGTAATATTTCCTTTAATCTTTTGGTAGTTTCAGATAATAATTGTCTAAATGCAGTGTGAGCTTCCTGAATAATAAATGCAGTTTCAATAAATTTTACAAATCTTATTTTTAATACTAGCAAATAATTGGTTTAATGTTAATATATAATTAACAATATACATATATAATATCTTAATTATGAAATGTGTATCTTACATCCAATTCAGTTTCAAGTTTGTTTATATCATCTGTTGCATCATTTAAATTCTCCAACTCAATCTAAAAATGTTATATTTAATATTAGGTGTTTAAAAAAGGAAACTTCAAATAATTTATAATACAAAATTTTATGGAAAACACTTTTTGATACCAAAGCATAAAAACAAAAGTAATATTGAAAGTTTCTTTTCAAAATTTGAATTTAAACTTTACTTAATTATTTTTTAATTAAATGTATTTCTATAATCTATTTAATTTTATATTATTTAATAACAATTTTCATTAAATTTTATTTAATAATAATAGTATTTCAAAATATACTTGTTTTGTTATTTAGTATTTCTATCTTAGTTTACCTGTATAATAAAAATTATAAATAATATAATATAATGAAATTGTAAATTGAAATTATAATACTTAAATATAAATAAAATAATATATTACTTTTAATATGAATAAATTATTCTTTTGCTGTTACAATTTTCTGATTATCAAAAGATAACTATAATGAAAATTTATAAATTTTTATTTATAATGAATTATAGAGATAGTCAAATAATAATTCGTATTATAATTAGTATTTACTAAAATATAATGATAATTATTATAATAATAATAATTGTTGTTTTAATATGTTCTATTAACATTAACGATACAGAAATATACAACAGCACGTTATACATTACTTGCAAAATGAGGCAAACAATTATTAAAAATATTAATAAAATAACAAGTTACAATTAAATAATGTATTTACACTTTTACACAATAAAAACTGGTAATGAAAATAAAGTGAAAGCAAAGTGGAACGTGGTACCAGGCTGTATTAGGCATTACGATCGCATTTAGTAATCATTTATTTACGTATATAACCTATAAGATGATACTTTTTAAAAGTATACACTTATCAATATAAGAATAAAAAAATAAAAGATTTTCATGAAAAATAATTACCTGTATGCGAGGATCTAAATTTCCATCAATATTATCCGTAACATCCATTCTTTAATTTTTGACATTTAAGGAACTTAACTTGTAACTATGAAATTCAATTCATTATGAATTTCTATGAATATATGTAATCATTCGAATTGTAAATGACTTTCATAATTGTTGACGTGAAAAATTATTTGTTGTCATTCACATTTTGAAAGGAAACGATACTAAACAATTATGCCTAACATCATAGGCACTGCTAAAGAGTACTAACCAAACTGTTGTAAGCAATAGTAATATATATACACTAGTGAACAAGCATTATATGTAGACTAATATTAATTTTTCCTTACCAATAAAATAAGAATTATTTTTTTCTTTTCGTTATTTCTTACCATATTGTAATATTTGAATATTAATTTACTTTCACTATTTGCAAATAATGCTTTATCTAATGTAGGTCCACGTTTATAATATTTATTTATAACTAACACAGGTGATTAGTATTAAAAATGTTTGACAAATTTTTATATTTATATTTATTAAATAATTTAAATATAATAATTTAAAAATGAGATATTAAATTAATTGAAAATTTATTTTTTGATAATGTACTTAAATACAATAATTTGATGTTAAAATAACAATACATATCATCTATCTTTTATTACTTTATCCTACTTTTAATTTTATATATTCCTTTTTGTAATTCAATACAGGTATTTATAGGTTTGAAAATTATAAATATAAAATGCATGTACACACAGATGTTAATAACTATGCATACAAAAAAATCGTAATATTATAAATATGTTTATTTAATTCTGTTTTAAGTTTAAAGTTCTTGTTACAATCTTAATTTTTTTGTTTATCTTGTTTTCTTGCTTTTATGGCAAGAACTTTTTAAAATATTGTAATAATTTTAAAACACTTTTGATAGTAGTAACTATAATGGTAAAGATCTTTAAAGTAAAATAAATTAATTGAGCTGTAGGAATCTCCTTTCTTAAATCTAATAAGTAGAGTGCAAGTCCTTTCAGGTTACCGATTTAGTTGAAATTTTACAGGTTTGTAGATTTCGTCATGTAATTCAAGAATATATAATATTATAGCCTCAACTATTTAATAATTTTTAAAATATTTGCAATTAAAGTTTTATTATTCCATTAAGTATATATTTATTCGACCTACCTTCTAAATGGAATCGTGACTTAACGGCGACAGTCGAGAATTCACATGATAAAGGACCGCAGTTCGATTCCTCACCGTAGTTTAATAGCTTTTTTCTTCAATCTATTTTTCATTTTGTATTCATTTGTCGCCTATGAAAACATTGTAAATAAAATTTGTTAATAAAAAAATTCATTTTTTACGCTTTTTAATGCTAGTATATATTTATTACAACATAATGAGCATATTATGCAAGAAAAACATTATTCTACAGCAATCTTATTTACTATTAACTAATTATTAAATTAAACATTGTATAAGAATGTTACCTATAATTTCAACTTTGCTGCGCAGCTATAAATGTTCATGAATTAAATGCAGAAACTTGGAAATTTATTAATTTTCTACTGTCGAATTGATTTATTAAGGTGTATTATTAGCACATAACCAGAACAGGTATTTAGTTTGAATAAAAATTTTACCGCCTGCGATCAGTGCCATTTATGATTTTGGACCATCTGCTCGGAAAAGTAATAGGAACATAGAATAGGCAAGGAGGTCGTCGAAGAGCTCGTCACGTAACAGACAAGGGCAGAGATGGGACAGAAAAGGATAGAAGTGCTCCAACAGTGAAAGATTAATAAATTACTCAATTTCTGTAATTAACTTATGAACTTCTATAATTTCATTACAAAGTTGGAACTTCAGGCTAACTTCTTATATAATTTTCGTATATAATTTATTACGAATTAGTTAGTTATTAATTTTTGTTTCATGGCGTCCATGATTTCGTAAAGACGATCATCTTAAGTACCGACTAACGCGATCGTTCTTAAGTACCGACTAGCCTCACGACGTACTCTCGAGCACTCGATAACTCCATGCTTCGTAAGTCATTCAAACGATTCGTTCCGACACTTATCCTCGCCACTGCCACCCTTGTCATACGACGGTTCTAGGGTGCTCGGCGGGTTGGCACTCATCTGGGTCAATTCGAGGGTCAGTCGGGCCTAGTCGTCCTGGGCACCAGCGCGTGCACGACCGGGGTATGGGCTCTATAGCCGTGATACTGCAAATGGGCATGCGGTCAGACCCCATGGGATGATTAATTTCTCCCCCATGTGGCAGGGGCCTGCGTGACCGGCTACAGGGCCTCGCTAGGGACCCTCAGCTTGATTTTGGATGTTTCGCTGGTTCCTCGATCACTCTCGTTCGCGGGTAAGTCATGACGGGGTCTGTGGTAGCTGGATGTGCTAGGTTCGATCGGGAGGGTGCCGAGGCATGAAGTTGTCTTGTACACGAGAGTACGTCTCGTAGGCTAGTCTGTCTTTCGAATGATCGCGATCTCGTTCGGGCGCGTCGCGATTTTCTATTTGCTCGCGAGTTTGATATTTCATTCCCTATTTTTATGGGAACTTCAAAATATTTTAGCGTTGCGACAGGAGAGGTTTAGTATACCGAACCGAAGTCCCTTTTGCAAGACACGATATCTTGTAAAGTGTCAGTAGAGTCAGTAGAGTTTAACTTCTTTCGCTCCAAGTTAGACTAGGCTATCTTTGATACAGGTAGCGCCAGCAGGTTGCGCCACTAGGGCGCATGTCGGGTCTCGATGCGTAGCCACCTCCTCGTGGTGAGACCTGGTAATTGGTATCCTTCTTCAAAGACTTTTCTTTGCAAAACGATACCAAGCTAAGAGCTGCGCACAAAGTTTCAAATATTTGCTATCTCTTGTAAAATTTCAATATTTCTCTTCAACGTTTGAACATTTCTGAGGCCTTAGAATCGGTAGACGATAGACCTCCTTTCATGTCATGTATTCCTAATACAAAGCCGCAAAATCAGTTGAGAATTTCTCGCCGAGCCTGTCAGTGTTGTGTCCACGGAATTCTTAGAAATGACGTCAGTTCTTCGAACTGTCTCGATCAGGTATATTCTTTCATGTTACATATTCCTAATACAAAATCTCAAAATCAGCCGAAAATTTTCTCCACTGAATTCATGAAAATGATGTTATTTAAATACATAAAAATGTATAAATAGTAAAAAATAAATAGTTATTATTAATAATAAATTAATATCGTAAATAATAAATTGTTCACTGCGTAAATTTATATCAAAAGTAAAAAATTAATGAAATATTAGTCATTACTTGAATCTATAAAGTACTAACGTTAAAATGTACCTACAATTTGCAAAAGGATTATAAATTATTACACTTATTGCTAATAAGAAATTGCTCACAACGTAAATTTATAGTACAAGTGGAAAAATTACTAAATTATAGGCTATTACTAGTATATATAAAGTATTTGTGCGAAATTTGCATGAAGTCGATAAATTTCTACACTTATTATTAATAACAAATTAAAATTGATAATAACAAATATTTGGAACGTATATTAACGATAAAAGTCAAAAAAGTTAACAAATTATTAGCCCCTACTTAAACAAACAACATATTTGTGTTAGAATGTATCCATGACTTACAAAAAGTGAATAAATCATTAAATTTATTGTTAATAACAAATTAAAATCATTGATAACAAATAGTTTGCAAAGTATATTAACGATAAAAGTCAAGAAAATTAATAAATTATTAGTTATTACAGCGGAAAAGTAACTTTTAAAGGAATCGGTAAAGTTCGGAAATTTTCGCCGATCTTCGGTCGGCCGCCGCTATATAAGGGGCC